TTAGGAACAATTTGGCCGTTTCATTCTAATTTACTGCGCTTGCGTCAGATTTGCTGGAATTTTAATTGTAATAAAAGTTTTTTTAAATGTGTCAAGCTGACTAAAACTATGTAAACAACTACACATATTGAGAAATTCTCGCCAAAGTCAATCATAATGGAACAGTATTATTTATTAGTTACGATTGCTCAAATTTTAACCCCATGATCGGAGCAGCTGTCATCTCTCCTCAAATAATGTATTTGGCGCGGGAGAATATACAGTTTTTAAACAAATTAGTTATAAATAAAGGATATTAAGAAATTAATTGCATTCTTTACTTTCATTCCACTGTGTACAAATTACGTCTGCTTATTTATAGTAGCCACAGAACAGAATTTCTTTCATTCGATTGATCGCAATCCAAAAGCATCACTTGAAATGCTAAACGGTAATAAATTAAAATTCCCATTAAATTAGTAAAAAATTACTTTATGATGGATAGTATCCTGGCTACCAACTGAATTTATTAACAATCCTTTTCTTTCAAGAATTAATTTTAACACTACCCAGGAACCAATCAGCTCATGGGATCACGCTGATTTGTATAATATGAGAAGATATTTCCTTATCGATGTGTTAATATTATTGCTTTATTCGCAGATGTGCCCATCTCTTTAAGTTCAAAAGAAGTAGTAAGCAGCCAGCACTGTGTTAGTATTTGGGATTCTGAATTTGAATTTTGTTCTGACTTTTCACTGGGAATAATCTTTGCAGTCATTTCCTAAACTCTATCTCATTTGTCCATGAAACACAAAATTTTTAAATGTACTGGATCAAATTTTGTCGCTACCATTGATTTTTACCTAAAATTATTATGTGCAGCATACCATTTTTTTTTTTTTTTTTGACAGAGTTATTCCATTTATGAAATCAACACCTGGTATTGCGGACTCTGTTTGTTTGTTTTTGTTTTTGTTTTTTTTTTTTTTAATTTAAGGTTTTTGAATTGCTCTATTATCTGTGGAAGCAAAGAATTCGGATTAAGCTTTATGATTTATCGAAAAAAGAAAGGAAGAGAGAAACAAGTCATGAATTAATAAGAAATCTTGGAATGATGAAATCAGAAAAGGCGTATTGTAGTAATTGAAACAAAGTTTTTCGCATTTTGGTTTTAGGCATTTATTTGAACTCATAAGTTCAGAACTCATCCTTTTTTTGAACATCTGTTATTATTATTTTTTTGAATTGATTTTTTCTTTTTAAATTTTGGTATGCAGAAATTGCGCAATAAAGCCTATTCATTTCACAAATAATTTGTCCAAGTAAATCGGTTTCTGTTTGTTTTGCATATCTATTAATACAGCTGTCGACTGGATTAAAAGATGCGAGATGTGGAAGGAATAATGACGTAGTAAACTGAAGCTTTAATGCTCATTAAGCAGATTATTCTTTTTTCTTGTCGCTTATCACAAATAGGAATTAACAAACGGTATGCCACAGTGATCAGAAAACCGATTCGATACCATTATTTTATGGTATTACTGCATCCTAAAAAGGGTTTTTGCTTATGCAGTAACTTTTATGCATTTTTAAATCTATAAGAAACAATTGAAAAAAATACAGTTAGTCAGTATTTAGAGCTTTAAATATTACATTATCCTAAAGAAACAGATCATTACTTGATTGTCGAATTGTTACTTCATAGGAGTAGCACAAGGTAGCCTTTAATTCGTTTTGCCAGAACTATTGAAGAAAGGATTAAAGATCGTATAACAACACGAATTCTATTAAAGGTATGTCGTAAGCTCCTATTGATCTTCAAGTGAAGAGAGAGTAGTGCCCGAATAATTATTTGGTTGAGCTCAATGTGTAAATCGCTTAATGGGTATTGCCAAAGTTGTCGGTTGCTATTATACATCAAAGAAATAATTGTTTTTTTCATAAGTTTTCTCATAAAAGAACATAAATAGGGGTAAGGAAGTGAAAAGATAGCACTGATGGTTTATGGGTTTTTATACACTAACTAGTAAGAATAGCATTGATTTGGATGAAAGTTGGATGGAAATTGGTATTGCATCTGATCTGTTGCGCATTTGTGTCATAGAGAACAGCCAGTGCACTTCAACAGTTCAAATTTGTGGAAAGATGTCGTTTTTTCCTTTCAAATTTTCAAGCTTTTTTTTGTTTTTTGTACAATTTATTTGCATTTTTCTAACTGTTACTTATAATTAGATTGAATTTATATTAATTTAATGCGACAGTAAACGGGCATTAATAAAAAACTGAGTGAAAAACCCTGAGAATTTGTAGCAAATAAATTATTTGAAATAATGAGGTCAAAGTAAAGCTACTGTCTCATTGCTTGGAAGAAGATAGAAATTATTGGAATTTGGCTGACTGGTGACATATGGCATAACTATTGCTGATATTTGAGTGTGTACGGACATCAAACTGATAAATAGGTATCCATGCTACAGCATCTACGGTATCCATAGTCATTCATTCAAATTTGCGTTAATCTTCAAACTTTTCTTTTTTAATTCTTTGACCCTTTCTTGCCTCACATTGATGTATTATTGATACCAGTGTATTTACTGCCACAAGTGTTAGCTAGCGGTATAATATAAGCAATGTCCTGAGCGCTGCTTCAAAAAGCCGTAAACGAGAATTATCTCCAAGATTTCCTTATGTTAATTCCTCTTATTATTGCCGACTTTTGACCGGAACTACAAAGGTACCCACTGAAAGACGCATTTAACAGACACTCCATAGATTTGTTTAGGTGCATGCAATACATACATTTTGAATACTGAATTTTTATCTTGTCATTTATGGCTCAGCGATATTCTGATGCTATCAATTCAGTGCTTGCGTAAGCATTTCATGTCAGCGTGTAATAAATTGTCAATATTCGTTAATTAGTTTTTCGTTACTTCCACTTCTGTTATCGTCAAAATGACGATTATATCAAAACTGATTTTGTTTTATAAGTGCTCTTCATTTTACATTTATCAGTTTGGAAATAATAAGTATCCAACAGGTTTGATGTTTTTTCCATCCTTATGTTTGATGGAAAATTCCAATTTCTCGTTTAAGCTTTTGTATTGCTAATACAAAACCAATCATCTGTTGCCTTTTATAACGTCGAAGAAACAAAATAAAATTTCTTAAATCATAAAACAAACACTTGCGCTCACAGTTTTGAAAATAGTGAACATCTAAGAGAGAAGTAGGCTAGGAGGGACAATATTCTGAATAATAGGAGGCGTGCCATTAAATGAAAGTTGCATTCATCAGGAAGGGAAGGAGAGGAAGACTGGAGAATGGATGACAGAACATTATACAAGCGAAAAGTAAGGCAGGAGATGATCACACGTATCTGAATTTGTCCTAACCTTTGCTCACTTTAATTTGGTTAGTAATTCATAATAATGGCGTTATGAACTTACTCATTATCGACAATTATCTTACTGGAAATCCGCTCTTAAGTATATTGTAAAGAATTTCAAAATCTAAATACTACAGAAATTAAAATGAGATTAACTCATCTTTAATTCGTCTAATACTAACACACTATACTCATACACTCATATTCTCGCATAGTACAATTCGCTTCAGCTTTTCTAATGACCATTTTTTACATTTACTTTTCGTCTCGAATCGTTGTGCAAATTCATTTTGGGGTTTAAAGTGCAAATTGGCCTTTATTTCTGACAGCTTTGTACTGGGAGATTTTTATTATAATGTTTCATTGGGAATTAAAAAGCTTTTTTCCTTTAGCAGGTCTCACTTCTAATACTCTTTGAGAGCTTCATGCACAGTTTTATTGAATTTTGTTTACTTTTATCTAAATGGTGCTACCATCACAAAAAGTTTTTCTCCCTTTGGGTACTTCGGCCAAATAATCCTTCTTTCAAAAGCGAGTGAATGAAAAAAATTCCAATTTTTTGATTTTGGTCAGGCACTACGTCAACAACTGCACTCCTTTTTCATAAGTATTATTTATGTCTACATGCTTCACTTTCATGCTTGCTTACTTTTTACAGTGATTTTTTTTTCTTGTAAGTCTATAACGAATGTTTCAACTAATCATTATTCAAAACAAATGAAACTGCACATTTGGAAAAAAGTTTCAGTAAATAAATCTCTAGCCATATTTCAATTTTGAATGCATTTATTATCAAATTAAGCATAAAAAATAATTCTGTTTGACAAGGAATTCCTATGAAGTCAACTAACTGAAATTATTTTAACTCGCTCAGTTATTACTAACGCCTCTTCCCCTGCACTAATAATTCTTTAATTTACATAATTAGTCATTGTCCAGACTTCTCCTATAATTTTATGTTTCATCTCTAAAAGTTGTTTTTCATTTTTAAAAATGATGTTTCCTGAACATACTTGACTTCTAAAGGAAATGCCAATTTCATGAAATGTAATCTCTATGAAGTTTCGTTTTGGGCGATAAACTATAAAATTGCACGAATAATCCAAGCAATAAGGCGATTCCCATAAATTTTAGTAATCGGTCAGGAAAAAAGCAGTTCCAATAGCTGTGAGTGATAAAATTATTTTAAACTGCATGACTTGCGAAAACTAATTATTATTTGATGGCTGACAAATTCTCGTAAATTATTATCATATAAATGAACAAAGGGTAGATTTAAACTTTCTTGTGTGATATAAATATAAGGGGAGAGTGTGACATATTAATTCTCACTAAATGGTACTCAGATGTGAGGAAGACAACTTCCAATAATGATATCAGTCAGACAATCATTTTGTAAACTCTAGTATAATGAATTGCAAATTGATTTTATTTCAGACAATAAATAGCGATGTTCACGCCTTGCCTTGGAATCATCTTTCAGAGAGTTACCGATAAGAAAGTTACCGGACACAAACTGTTTCAAAGTTTCGTTCAGGTTATTCATCAGTTCTTTTTTATTAACTTCAAATTAATTCTCCTATGTGAAAGTAATATATTATCTCAGGAAAATAAAGAATGCTTCTGGAATATGAATTTAGTGGAAGCAATAAATTCCACGAAATATGTCGGCTACATCAAGCCATCAACATTATTCATAACTTCAATGAACGAACGATATATGCAGACATTGCGCGATGCTTGGATTCGGCGAATTTTGAAACCAGCAAAAGGATACCGAATCGAAACTTTCGGTGACATTTTTGGTCTTTCATCACTGACCACATCGTTTTTCCTTTTTTTAAGTTTGAACTGTAGTAAAATTTGATTATTCTTTGAATTTAAAAAGTCAGGTGGTTGGATTCTCAAGATACATTTTACTCTTAACAGTTTTAAACTTTTATTTGGAATAAATTCTGAATGTTGAAATTTAAGCATAATTTTGAAATAAGAATCTGGCAAAATAATAAAAAGGCGCTACAAGATAAAATGATGAAAATACGGATAAAGATGATGCTGTAATTTTTATAAGAATACCATGGGAAGATTGGATTGAGAGGAACGAAAGACAACACCTGTCGAGGGATGAGACGTTTTGAGGAGTCATCACAAGAGGGCAATGAACACACCTGTTAGCATGAAATTCGAGATAAATAGGAACAGAAAATAGGTACCATAAAAGATGTAATTCTGAGGAAATTTACACATGCAAACAGATGTCCATAATCAGATAACGCTGTTCATGTCCTGTCCTATAGCCTTCACAATTCAAATTCATTTAGCGAACCTTCTTTACTTCATCATCGGTCTTATCTCTGAGAGCATCGGAGATAAAATCAGTATTAGAGGCACGATTGAAATCAATGCACCTTTTTTTCGAGAATCTTCTTGAAGTCCTCATTTAATTTGAAAAAGAAAATGAAGATAATCTATATAAGAAGCACAGTCGAATAATTGGTATTAGAAAACAGTCAATTCCCAAACATCTGGCAAATTCCCAACATCAGGATGTTCGCAAATAAAACTCAAAAAAAAATTCCTTTTTTTTTCAGCTGATCAGTGTCTTGTTATTACTTATTTCTTATCTCTAGAGAACGACATTACTTTTTGAAAAATTAAGCATGTCTTGTAAGGATATATAATTAAATTCGAATATGGAGTCATGAAAAAAGAAATGGTTATATTTCAGGTGATGTGGAAAATATTAGGATGCACAAGATTGATCAGATGCATTTAGTACCATTGTTGGACATTATTTGTAATGTAGTATTCAAAATGAATCAGAGTGGTCGTCCAGCATTTTTGGATGTTTTGCTGGATGAAATTCGTAAAGAATATCCAAAAATTGAACCTCCCTCAGCGAAGACATTTCGGCAAGCCATTCACACCCTTCTGAAACAAAATATCTTGGAGTATGACCTGGAACAACTGTATATCTGTTTTCCTCCTACAGCTCCTTATCATTCCGCCAAAACGTTCAAATGTACCGTTGAATGCCAAACTGGACAAAGTGTGATGAACGGCTACGCCCCGTCAAATTCATTGAAAATCAAGAAAGGTCTTCAAATACATCTCAAAATTTACAATGGGGCAAGCTCGACTTAAGTTTTAAAATTTGAACCGTTTAGCATTTAGACAAAAAGGATGTTTGTAAAACATGAAAGAAAGTGAGAGAAATAATGTCAATTAAGCTGAGTTTCTGTTCAGGTATTCTGGCCAAGTTGTTCATGAAAAAAGACACTCTGCCAAAAGCAGTGCAACTTAGACAGAACCTCAGAAGTCCATCAGATCAACGAAAATATCTCGAAATACTAACTGCCAGTACTCAACCAAACAACAGTGGCGAAACATCTTGCGCAGCACAAAAGTAATGTTCTTAAAGCTCTCTCCTGAAAATGGTGGTTTTGTTTTTATCGTTTTGGGCTCATATTTAGCGTATTGTAGTTAATGGTATGGAGTTGACAGTATTTAGTCAAAGTTAAAAGACGGATCAGTAGACTAGCATTGATACTAAAGGTCGAGGTTTAGCAAATTAGTTATGAGACTTCTTATGATTTGCGGGATTATGAATGACATAGAAACTGTTAGGTTTAGTCAGAACAGCGACTAATTAAAGGCATCTGTGGTTTGCAACTTTAATCCATTAGAAGATGTTGTTGTGGAGTGTCAGTGTTAATTTGGCACACTTTGCTGAAAGTTGTAGAAGTTAGAGTTAACTTTTTCGAATACTGAAGTGAGTAGGAAGACTATGGACTCTTTTCCACTTATTAATGAATGACTGAAGAAACAGCTGAAACAGAATGACTGTCAGACGTCGAAAGGACGCTTAAATCATTGTGTTAAGGCATTGGTTCAGATATCGTTTTGTTTCATCCAGTGACAAAATATCCATTTTCTCAGATATACGACTTGTCATGCCATTACTTTAATCTGTCACTTTTGTCATGCTTTCATAACACTTCGTACGATTTTTCTGTTTTGCTTGCGTATACGTATGTGTTTTGTCCTTACTTTTCCGTATGTTTATCTACTTGTGTATCGTGAATGTACTTTTTTGAAGCCTTTTTTCCGGTAATTCTACTCTACAATAGATTTGTTTTCAACAAAAGAAATGTATATATTCGAAATTTTACTTGAATTCTTGTTGTGAGTATTAACTGTATTACTCAGTCCGCCAGTCACTTTCAGCATGATGTTTACTATTACTCTCTACTCCATTCGTTAAATCCTGAACGTATGTTATATCCTTTCTACACTTTTCCCCACATCCCATTTCATGTTTGTTTAGTTTTACATTTAAAAAAGATTTCATTATTCCTCACATTGTTTTAGGTTGTGTTCCATGCCGAATTCCGATGGTTTTTTTTTTCTTGTTTTGTTTATTTTAAACAATCCGCAAAATTCGTATCGCTGGGAATTACATTAATACATTCATACATTTAAGATTCAGAAAAACAAACATATTTTTCTGAATCTTCCATGTCTATTGTTGTTCTTGCTCATTCCCCAGTGATTTTTTTTCGGACTTCAAATGCACATGATTTATTTTTGAAGTTTAGCACTGGTCTTTAAGTCTAAAGAATGCGAAACATCCGAATATCATCAGTTTAAGTTAATAGCACCATCATATCTACTAGACATTTAAGGACATCTGGTGAGATAGCCTTTATTTTTAGGTAATTATTTTACATTTCATGCTAGAATTCTAGTTTATTACTGTCGGTTTGTATGTTTTAGAAATGTGAGGGTTTTGTTCAAGAGTGGAATTTAGGTTGACATTCAAAACCCGTAAAAAGTTGACATAGTCTTTTTGCAGGACATGCTTATTCCATGAGAACGAGTTTTATCGAAAGTGGATAAAAACGAACGATCAGTATTTGCTGAATAATTTCAGTCCTGTGAGTGGATCGGAGTATATCCCATTCTTGACGAATTGTAAAAATATTAATAATAAAATCAGGCGAAAAAAAAGATCGAGAAAGAAGAATGAGCGTAGTCGGACATCAACTCCTATTCAGTGGAGTTCCGATTCGGCATTTTCAGTCTCTCCCGTAATTACCAAAATTTCAAAGGATTTTTATAATAGCCATTCTGGTGATATCTCTCCTGATGAGCCGACTGTAATGAATCGAAATCATACGTACGTCAATGTGTTAAGCAGTGAAAGTACGCAGTTTGAGGACATCACACAAGCTGAAAAGATTTTGCCGACAACTTTCAGTGTTGCTAATGTTTGAATTATTTTCGTATTTTCATGGCGAAATTATACTTTTTAGAAGACTTCTGTTGGAAGGTCAATGAGTAAATATTGTTATGGTACCGGTAATTTAAAAGAAATCATGCTTAAAGACTACAGACTATCCCAGAACTTTATCATGTCTTTTATAGCATTTCAAAAGTATTTAGGAGCATGATTTTTTTTTTTCTTTTCTGATATGTTGTTTCATTTTTGTTTCACCGATGAAGACTTTCAGTTTCACTTAACGTAATTCTGCTTTTTACTTAGGATTTTTTCAAAACTGTCCTTTTTCATAGTTATTTGTTGGGTTTCAACTGGATGAATAATTTAAAAACAAAAAAAAAAAAAACGAATTCGGTATTAAATAGGAATGAAATCAAATAGGAAATGTAGAAATGAAATTTGCTAGAAGAATCAAATTCCTGAACTGAATTCTTGATGAATTGCTTCATTTACGTAAGCTAATTTGTGGTTGTATTTTAATGCAGCAATTACTTATTAAACGCTTAGTTATTAATCTGGTTATCACTTTCTTGTTATTACTTTTTTTTCAAAAAAAGGTTATCACTTTTTTGGTTGAAATTTGATTACATACAAGCAGGTTGTATTCTGGAAAGGAATTGTCGAATTTTCTTATCAGTCTATTTCAGTGTATTTATTACTTGGGCTTTGCACTTTGATGAATTTGATCATCATTTACTAACGTTTGATAAAGTTGTCTATTCAATTTGAAGTTTTCGAGAATATAGGTCCTTTGTAGATAAAAACTAGCAATTTTTAATGTAGTAAAGACATGCCAAGAAAATTTTCATGTCGATTTTTCTGTAGTTTCAGTACTCTGTATAAGATAAATAAAAGTGTGATATGCTTTACAAGTTAAAAAAGCACTAAATTAATTAGTACAGTGAACCTATTTTATACTCTGTCATTCCACTCACATTTTAAATTTGGTACTTGCTAAAACAACTCAAAGTCCTTTTTTGGTCTCATAAAAAGTTTTGAATCATCTTTCTTATTTCTGGATCATCAGATTTGGCCAGTTTGTACACATTGTTGTAATTCGCTGCTCGAACTTTCTTGACAAATCTCAATTATTCCTTTACTTTTCTGTTGATAATTTTTTGCATGATTTCCAATATTCCTTTAATGATTAAAGAAAAAATTATGGTTGCCACAAAACACATGGGTTATCGAAGTCGTGATCTACGAGATTCATAAGTAGGACAACCCGAAACACATTTGCGAAGTGGGACTTCATGATAAAGTGTTTGAGCATTAACGTGTGACATTAGTTCACACGAATTCACTGCTTTTATCAGTAAAGCACATTTTGAGTACACAGTAGATCAGTATGAGTTCAAGTTCAGGTTGTATTTGTAGGATTTATTTGTACTAAGATTAGAACATTAAGTGGTTAAAGAAGACTTGGATAGATCCGCTGTCTCGCTGTTGCTTTTTGTATCAGTTGCATAAAGAGACTGTAAATTGTTTAGGACTTAAATGGCATCCAGGTTTATCTGTTTATCATTTCGCTTGTAAATTTGACCTTATTTGAAACGTGCGTTTAGTGCGTCTTTATTCATTGTGTAACGTCACGTCGTTTAGGCAAAAATTCTTAAAAAATTGTTTTTGGCTGTTGGAGCTGATTGCTATTTCACTTATGGCTGATGAACAAACTAGTAGTGCAGCAGTGCAGTTGCCGACATCATATGAATGGTATCGAGAGCAGATTGCCGGACATCACCCGTCGGTAGTTACAAATGGCGTGCATCAAATTGGTTCGTCTGTCTTTCCAAAGATTATTATAGATTGTCACAGAATTTGTAAGATTTATATTAAATTACTTTCTGGGGTGAACACTCATTTTAGCATAAATTAAGATTCGGTTGCAGGATTTGCTTTTAGGACTTATAAAGGAAATTGGTAGCGAAACACTGTTGAAACCTGTACAGGAAGGCGTGCGAGGAGTATGTGAGGTTTGTTTATTATAATTCCAACAAGTGATTTAAAGATTACACGTATGACAGTATTCGATCTGTTTACTATCATTTTGTTGCTTCAGTAAATCTTCGAATCATTTGGTAATAAATGATATCTGATATTTCTTCTACGTCCATAGCATTCCATAAGCGCAGTATATTCAGTGTTAACGCAACTTTTGTTTACTTTGCTTGAAGCAGCAGGTGAACAAATAAACGGATATATCTTTTCCTGGGATATGTAATCTGTTGTCTGCCTTCATGCTGTAAACGAGATCTAGTAAATGAATTAATTTAACTACTTAATGGTTTCAGGTAGCATTCTATAGTAGTTTGAAGCATCTAAATGATGAAAATGATGTTTTAACGAGATTTGCTGTATTCGTTCCAAAATTCTATGGGTTAAAAACATTACGAGTTGGAAGAAAAGGTGATTTGATCTAAAAAAAAAGTTTTTGTTGGAAGAAACTAAATAATGATTTTTTAGGTTTTTTGATAGTGAGGTTGTAAATTTTCCCTTGTAATAATGGCATATTTCAAACATTGAACCTCAAGATAAAATGATGACACAATCTTCCTTTTTTTTTAACTGTAGGGAAACGGAATTATAGAGCAGATATAGCAAGAGCAGAAGTTGTGAGGATGGAGGAGGATAGAAGATTGAGAAAGTTTAGCTCACTTGTTAAATTTCTCAACATTAATCCAAATACATTCAAATTTTGAGAGATGGAATTTATCGTTATGGAGGATTTAGCATATCGTTATAAATGTCCGTGCATTATGGATATCAAAATGGGCAGAGTGACCTATGATCCGAGTGCAACAAAAGCCAAAAGATTATCCGAAGCGATAAAGTATCCTGAACAAGAAACACTTGGCTTCCGTTTAACTGGTTATCGGGTATAATCTGTATTATGGTTCATTTCGTATGAATGTTTCAAAATATTTCAATATTTCTTAATCATCTTTTTTTGAGCTACAAAATACAAGAATCTCAACTATTTTATAAAGAGTTTTATGTTCCATACTTAGAAATAATAATACAAAAAATCAGGTAGTTAATGGTTGAACAAAGAAAAGCTTCTGTGTTCAGTGAGGGAGGCAATTTTTTTAACCTCGTTTGGCTGCCTTTTAATTATGTGCTAATCTCTAAGAACACTCTGTGGGAACCTTATCTCACTGATTGAGTGGTGCAACTGCTCTTTGCCGGGAAAGTACAACCAGGCAGATCGCATTCAAATTATGCGCATTGCTTTCAATTAATGTTTTGACTATCGAGAAATTTCACAAAAAAAAAAAAAAAAAAAAAAAATACAGGTTTTTTTGAATTAATTTCAAAAAAGGAATTTCCTTGAAATTCACGATTTCTAATAATCATTTTACTAAGGAAACCTTGTCCATGCTTATTCTTTCTTGAGATGCGTTTTGGTCACAACGAAAATGATTTACGAATTCGTGATAAACAGTGGGGGAGATCCAGGAATCTGGAGAATGTTGTTGACGGTTTGTTCCTTCATAAACATTTTAAGTTCATTTTTTTACGAAACGTGATAAAGGCGATATGATTTAAAGTGCTAAGTTTCTTTTTTGTAGCCATTTGAAACGGAGTCTTTAATCAGTCGGTATTAAAATTTGGTGACGACTTTAAATTTGGCAAATTCCTCCATCAATAATGACACATCGAGGTTTAATTCTGCAGTTGCTTTGTCTAGAGAAATGAGAATATTTAAGCATAGTGATTTGCAATTGGAAGTTTGCAGTTTTCAATTCTGTATTTATGTGCAGAGCAGTTGGGAATAGATAATTTATGTAAAGTTGGTATTCGAGTCTACTGAACTTTTTGATTGTATCCCATTAAGGAGATTTGATTGAAGTGTGCTTTAGAAATGAATGCGGAAAAGTTCAGCTTAGTATAATGTGGTTGAAAAAGCATCTGGTCATTAGTCATTGTTGGTTTCTGTTGGAGAACTCATCCGAACCCATCCGTTTCCTATTATCCTTTCCTGATAGCTTCATTGCATAAATCACGCAATTGATACCTTGCACTGAACAAGTCTGATTTATTCGATAAGATAACTGCAAAATTACTTATGTCAATAATTTCTCTCCAAGCCAACATCGCCGGTAATATGTATCAGGAAAATTCATGAAATTTAAAAATTTTTCACATGTTTGTTTTATTTGTTGCTGGTTTGTATACAAATTTTACAGCCTTTCGTGAGTTTTTATCTGGAAGACTCATGGAAAAAAGTTTAGTAGCAGAGCAGACACTGGAGCAGTTATATAAGCTTCGAAAGTGGTTCAATTCACAGCGGGTATTTTATTTGGTGTTCCAAATTTTTACAAGTTCACCTGTAAATAGGCTAATTTAGTAGCAGCTGGTCAGAATCAAGTATCATGGCTCTATGATCTTGGCAGCAAACTTTCAAGTAATAGCTTTTTGGATCTGAATTTCACTAAACACTCAGAACATTCCTATTTTTCGGTTTTGCTCAGTTTTCATTTAGGAATTATAAAAATATTTGGCACTGTATATCAGATGTAATAAGTTACGATTATTTCAGGTGTATCATTTCTATGCTTCATCCATTTTGCTTGCTTATGAGGCGTGTGTGGAACGACCACCAAACGTTCTTATTAAACTGATCGATTTCTCTCATGTCTTTCCGGCAAACGGTGCTATAGATGACAATTATTTATTTGGCCTAAACAATGTGATTAATATAGTAGAGAAATATCGGGATTCATTCGATTCTGAGTCATACAGGATAGTCTTGAGTTCCGGGATTAATTGAAAGACAACACTTCTGAATTTTATAACTATGATAGCGATGTGTCCTACATTTTTGTTAGTGTTTGTACAGTCCGATCGTTCTTTTGTTGTTTACTGTAGCTCATTTGCTGAAATCTTACCCACACTGAAATTGAAATGGGTACTGAAATTAGCTGATGCCAGAAGAACTACAGGACAAAATGCATACTGTTTTCTGTACACAAATGCCAGAGTATAACGATGAAGCATCTTTGCGTTGCGCACAGCGTGTTATCGCTTTAAAGCTAATAAAGTGTTTGATATTAATATAAGCATGCTCTGAACAAGAAGGAACCTGTATCAGCACCAAATTCGAATGATTTTTATGAAATTCGTGTAATGTTCATTATTTAAAAGCTGAAAGACTTCCAAAACTTTCACTATGTACATTCATTTTATTAATATTAGAGGGGGGACTTCGGATATAAACGTCGATACATTTTGAAACGATACGGTGTTAATGTAGTAATTCATCTAATCCTCAGCTTAGTATCTTATCGTTTAAGAAAAAGATTTGTTTTTAGTAGTAAAGTAAGTAGGTACTAATATGATGGGAACGAAGTGGTTGAGATTAGTGTAAGGTTTGTTTTGTTTTTTTGTCAAGGAGCAAAGGAGAAGGAACTAACGGAGGTGGGTATCGTGCTGAAGTTCTAGAATGCGGCCTGTTCGGTCATGGTGTTTGATTACTGAACATCTTTTTAGTGCTGATTGCTAATCTTTTCCAAAATACCGAAAGGTGTTTTATGAAACAAAAGATTTTGAAATGACATTTTAGTCAAATATTAGGTTATTGAGATGGGATACCCGGAAGACGTCTGTCCTGTGATATTGGGATTGTATGTGCACTTTGAAAAAAGGAAAAAGAAATTAAGACAAAAAGAAAACCTGGCCAAATCTATGGAGCTTAATGTAATTCTCTGCTGGTGAGCAAGTTTTCGAAATTGTCTTCTGGGGTTATAAGAGTCATGAAATTCATTTATCAGATTTCCCAAGTTTAACTGAAGTTCGAGTTCTGCTTGGGGTTTTTGTTTGCTCGGGAATATTATTTGGCTGCAATGTAGCAAAACGATAATAAAAATAAGGCTTGCGATTAATAGATGTTGGAGTTACTGAAGTTGAAGTAAATGTAACATTATTGAGGGTGTTGCTGTAAGCTGGTCTGGTTCATTCTCAATCGGGTAGAAAAATTTGGGCATGTAAAGGTGTTGAATTTGGCTCAGATGCAGGCTGTTTTATCGATTTGATGTTCAGTTCTCAAAATGTCAGTTTTGCTAATATTCAACATCGTTTCCGCCCTATTCTCACTTTGTAATAATCTTTATCTTAGTTTTTGGTTATTTTTTGGAATTTGAGCTGTTTCTTCCCATTATTTGACTTATTATTTACCATTACTCCGCAACCAATAAAGGCAGCAGTGGTTTTAAAAGTCTCATTTTAGGATCCACAACAGTGGCAGGAACCGTTGTAGTAATTACAGGTAATCGGGACAGAATATTCTGTTCCATTTTTTAATGGGAAATATGGAAGCAAGCGGTAGAGAAATGGATAATCCAGACGCAGAGGAGTGTGAGAGTGCATCACTTGTAAGCCAATTTTTTTTTTGTTTTGTGATGTATCAGTTTTTGTAAATTGTCAAAAAACCAATTGTGAAGTTCTTTAATTTTGGATCTTTTTACGTAAATTAGACCGCTTTTTTTCAAACTGTTCTTTATTTCTGCATCGTCTAATGTGGAACAATACTTTTGGACACTTAAACTTGAGTTAGGAACACACTCAAATCTGAACTTCTCAAATGAGGCTCAGTATTCTATCTTGCATTTTTGATTCATTCTACTTATTAATTACGTTTTGGATGTAGAGACCTTTTTGAATTATCTGGTTAACATGGATTTTGTTTCTTCCTCTTTTCTAAAGCTTTCCACAATCTCTGATTGCACCCAATATCACTGTCATTATACTACGGCCGCAGTGCAGTGTGAATTCTAGAACACTTCGTGAGAGAAGCTAAAAATTTTCAATTTAGAAGGTAACATAAGAATTCAGGATTGAAAAAATTTTTTGATATTACATGCTCTCATGTTGCACAACTTTTCAGGCATTAAAAGCAACTATTGCGAATCTGTCACAAAATCTGATGCTGCCCATCCACACTCATTCCGTTACTAACGACTATAGGATTAGTCGTCAAGTATTTTTTTGGTTATTTTCTGCACCAGAGACGAAAGCATCTAACATGATGAGCATTTTAATGATGTTCAGCATAGAAAGAGACAATGATAAAATCTAAAAGTTGTTTTATTGATGGGATTTTTGATTGCAAAAGGCTAGGCAATAATGTAGTATTGGGATGATACAAATTTGCATTCGCATATGATTTATTTGAATCTTAGTTAAATAAATTAATAATACACAATTATTTAAACTCCGTGTTTCGATGCAAACATGACATACATTAGTAATAATTCTCAACTTCTTTGTTGCAGGTGTTTCTCAGACTTGTCTTGAAAATGATTATTATTTCAGACTTTAGTCTTCTGAATTATTTTTAGGTACTTGGTGTGGGAATCAATGGAAAAGTAGTAGAATGCGAAAGTAGAAAAACGGGCGAAAAGTTTGCTTTAAAGGTTGGTTCCTTCACTTTTAAGCACTTTTGGGTAAATATTTTAACATTTAACAAAATTTTTAGGTTTTACGTGATGTGCCAAAGGCCCGTCGAGAAGTAGAACTTCACTACGCTGCTAGTCACCATAAAAACATCGTTCGTATATTAGATGTTTATCAAAATACCTACAATCAAGTGAAATGTTTGCTTGTCGTAATGGAATGTATGCAAGGTTTCATTTTAATTAGAATAACTACGGTTGTTATTAGATTTCCAGTCAAAAAAGTTTTAATATCTTTTCTAGTTTTGGTGGCTTTTAAAATATTACAAATGTATTTGCAATATGCTGTGAAAATTAAAGACGTCATTTCAGAGAGCTGTAGATCATTTGATAACAGCTGAAAATAATTTGTTTCAGGGGGTGAACTCTTCACTCGAATACAACAGAGAGCACAATCGGCTTTCACCGAACGTGAGGCAGCGCAAGTAATGTCTGAAATCTGTTCAGCTGTTGCTCATTTGCACTCATTGAATATCGCACATAGAGACATAAAGCCGGAAAATTTACTTTACAGGTATTTTCTCACAATTTATTGCCTGATCATAGTCGCATCATTCTTGTTTTGCGCGACTTTTTTAAGTTCGTTATTCCATACAATTTATTTTTTATTTCAGTTGTGATGGGCCGTCAGGTATTTTGAAACTAACCGATTTTGGTTTTGCAAAACACTTGGATTCTGCAGATACCAGGCCACTAGAAACGCCTTGCTATACGCCATATTATGTCGCACCAGAAGTAATTCCCAAGTTTTTAACTCTTGAGACTCTATGACAGCTTGGATGAAAGTTTGGTGGCGGTTGTATTATCGGAACGCAGTTTTTTAGTGTGATATGTTTCACAGCTGTGCATTCACTTTCGAATGGCAACTCGTTGATCAGGCATTTGTTGGTTTGAATGATGAGACAACACATGCATGGTCATGATAAAAGTTTTGACCAGACAATATATATGCATCTCATTAGGCTTAAAGCCGCACTTATCATTGCTTTATTTCTTGAATAGAATATTAACACTCTAGGAAATTTCATTTTAGGTTCTCGGTCCTGAAAAGTATGACAAATCATGCGACATGTGGTCCATAGGTGTTATCATGTATATTCTGTAAGTTTTTTTAAACGATTTTTTCTCTTAAACTGGTCCAAATATTGTGAGTTACCACCTTTCTTAATGCCTGATTTGCTTACAATTTATAGCTTGTGTGGTTTTCCACCATTTTTTTCGGCAAATGGTTTACCCATGTCACCAGGAATGAAAAATCGAATCAGGACGGGTAAATATGCTTTTCCTTCGCCAGAATGGGATCGGGTTTCTGAAGCAGGTCAGTGTTCACCAAAGCTTAGTTGTCAAATTTTTGTTTTAATGTTGTTTCGGTTTCTTTTTTTAAATATTTTATTTCCTATTGGACTATCTGTGTACGTCATTGTTCATATAAAATGATTGAATAGTGGGAAGGATTTTCAGCAAAAGATTTAATCAGAAAGTTGTTGCGTACTGATCCTAGTGAACGTTTCACGATTGAGCAGACAATGAGCCATAAATGGATCATCCACTATCAAAAGGTTCCGGAAACTCCCCTTTTTACTGCTTCAGTACTTGAGGAAGAGAAATCTCAATGGATGGAGATGCAAGTTAGTTTTTATTTATTTTTATTTTTTGATTGTAGGGACCAAATTAATAATTAATAAGGCAGAAATGAGTCATACTTAGTTAGCTGATGCAAATAAATTCAGGACGAAATGGAGATGACTTTAGCAACGATGCGCGTTGGCAACGAAGATATCCACATTAAAAGTTTAAAAGATTCAAATAACCGTTTACTAAATAAACGGCGTAACAAAATAAACAAACGGTAAAAAAGAATAGTCCATAATTATGTGAGTTATCTGTTTTCATCGTTTGCCTTTTTCAGTTGTGTTATCCTCAAATTGATATTGTGAAATTCCATATTATTATTGAATTGATAAATATTCCATTGTATGATATGTTTTATAACGGTTTACTGTAAGCAAGATTTGGAACTTTTTTTATTTAATGCTATTTATAAGTGGCTGTTCCTGCAAGGTTGTGAAAAGTGCTTTAAGGAGAATGTCGCTGATGTGAAACAGTAGAAATGCATATATAAATATTATGTTAGGGTTTTACTGTACACTGATTGGTCTTTGTTTTTGTTATCAACTTTTTTTTCTAAATCGCATAGCTACATTAATTGTTATGTGCTTCTGTAACTTTCCACTTTGTTTTGTGATGTAAAATCAGTAATGATTTTGGCAGTCTGAAACAGATATGTTGGATCATTAGATTTCTTTATCATAATTTTTCTTATCCAAGTAGACTTGTGGGAGTTTGATGACCTGCGTATGATTTTGTGCTTCTTTGGTAACGCTTCCTGAACGTATCATTGTTTAATAATGTGTTATGTGCAATGGTAGTGCCTCTGGATTATATGGTGGTAGCCATTGACGAAATAATGTGCAATAGATGTTGCTTTTTGAATTTAGTGACGATGGGGGAATGGACGTTGTACTAACAGTTGACATAAATTGCCTCATCATGTACATCCTTACAGACCAGTGATACATTTTCGCAGGAGCTAGTTTGAAAACTCCTATGCAGTACATCCGCAATCTTTACTATCCTGGAAGATTAGTGAGATATTCAGATCGAATACGACTGAAGGGGATATTCTTTTCATTAAAAACTATTGTGTGTCGTAAGCTCCCTGCAGTATGTTTGTTTTGGATATGCAGTTGCGTTGTCACTATTCACGTTGAATGGTCCGGATGATTAAACCAAAAAGACGTGCAGTAATTTTCTCGGGATCTTAAATGCTAGAATTCCTGTGCGGAACGATGACTGATTAGCTCTGCATGCAACGAAGTTGCGAGACAGGTCACATTTCATAGCGGTACTGGTGTGATGCCACGGCAACACTATTCGGCTCTTAGAAGTCTTGGAGGAAAGGGGGAGGTGGTGCTTGTTTTCTTGTGTGGTTGGTTTGGTTTGTGTGACTGTTGTTCCGGATTTTTTTCAGATGTACCGTGCAGTAGCGCCACCAACTTTTATGCCAGCTGGACAGTCGGCTAGCGATAATGTGAAGAGTATGCGGATTACCTATCCAGGTGTTTCTTCTTTTTTCTTTTCATTACTTAAATCAGACTGTCAGCTAGGCGAAATGATAAAATGCAGAAGAACAAAGCTAAGTTAACTGTGATCGCAACATATGTAAATGTGTAATATTAGGCAGAAGACGCAGAGCTTTGCTGAGCAGTTATGTCAAATCTTGTCAGTAACTCCCTCATGAGTTCTAGGTGCAGTAAATACAGCACAAAATTATGTGACTTTGGATAGTGCCGTTCACTACAATGGACAGATCCCGCAGGTATCTCCGTATTTGCAAATTTTATTCGCTGTGTGTATAAAAAACCGCATTTTTGTTGCTTATTAAAAATGTTTGAAGCTGTTTTAGAATTTCGAATGTATTGATATATGTTGCAGAACATGGCTTTGCAAACTGGAATGGTATGTGGACAACAAGCATTTCCACCGCAGTTCACTCCAATTCACGGTTTGTTTTGCAAATATTACTTATATAGCCACCTATTCTTATGTGTGTGAACCCAAAGTAAAACTGCCATCGAAATTTTTTTCGCAGTTTTTAAAATTTTGAGAATTTGCAGAAATTAACGATGATAAGACACAGATTATGGCTATGAATGGTGGAGCTCATCTCTTCTCTAACCCACCCAGTAACTTTCCGAGTGATGTACAGCAGAATAGTGGTATTCTGTCAAATCTTCCTCATACAAGTTTGTTTTTCGGAGTTGTTTTCGATGGATTTAGTAAACAAGAATTTTTTCTTTTTTTTAAGAACTTTTAGAAAAATTCATTTCAGATTCACAGCTAATATCTCCTAAAGTTTCTATAACGCCTACCGTGACTGCAACTTTGTCATCTGCACCAACCGGAACCGCATCTTCAACGCAAACTTTTATTGGGAATATACCTGCTGTACCTGATGTAGGAACATTTTCACATATATTTTCTCACCCAATTCCACAAGTAGTACCTAATGCAGAAATTGCGCCGCGAGTGCCTTCGATCGAAGTTACATCATCATCAGATACTGAACAATATCTCGGCACTCATAATGCTCCACCAAGAATTGGAGATGAAGCTCCACCAAGACACCCAACATTTGGTGGTTCCATAGGACTAAGTAGTTTTCTGAAACCTGCTGGCAACAATGGTCAGCAAATGTCTATTCCCCCACAACTGCCTGAAGCATACAGTAGTATTCTTTCTGGTTCACCCGGCCTTCCATCAGTGCCTGGTGCACCACCTGTTAATTATTCTACTGTCGGTGCTGGAATGACTCGACCACCAATGCATGGAGAAACAATAGGACCACCTGCTGTAGGATTATATCAGCAGAAACCTCGTTTGGATCCTAATCTGATGCCAAGTGTGGTATGTTCATAGAATTTCCTCATTCTAAAAGCTTAGAACAAAAGTTACGCAAACTGTTCATGTCCTACAACTCTCCTCTTTTCGGCAGATTTTTCAAAGCATTTTTAAATTTAGGTCCAAGTAATCGAAGAAGATCGTTCAACAAGGAGTGGAACATTTCCAACTGGTTATCCTACAGCTGAACATCCACCACTAACATCAACTGAGTTTATTGCTCAGGATCAGGGTAAGAAATTAAAGTTTGAAGATCGTTTTGTAGTTCTAAAAACAAGATAATAAAGCGGTAGTTCTTTCATTCATTATGAGTGCAGCTGAAGAATTTCAAAAAGTCCCTTGAAGAAATGAGCTTGCTTCTCTTACTCATTATCTTCTATATTGCTTGATAGTTTCATTATTTTTTAAATGAGATGGATTTACAGTTTTTAAATGCATTTGAGGTATTCAAATAGTTTTTAAATTCCCTTTTCAGGCATTTGTAACCCGAAGTTCATGCGGTCTACACTTTATGTCGCGCCTGCATCATCCGATATGTTAAAAAATTCACAAATACCATTGGCAGTCGCTCTCACTCCATTTGCACGTTTGCATCCAAATGAGGTGTTTTATTATATCATTAGCTAGTTGAAATAGAACAAATAGAAATTAAAGCTGTGGGAAGTTATATTTATAACTTGATTTCATCCGGTCTGCCCTGATCTTTAAGAAATAGAAATTTGCAGTAGCATTTATCTTTAGCAGAATACTTTCATAATCTTAATTGGTAATCCATTTGAAACCATCTTCAATTAACCGAACACTAAAGTGATATTGTTTCCAAAAAGTAAGAAAAATAACTTCTGGTATATATGAGTACAATTTTGTGGCACTGAAATTTATTAAATACTGCGCGTTTGACATTTCAGTATATAATATCTATCTGTTGTATTTGTATTTTCATTCACAGTGGTTAGAAAGTACAAAGAATGTGCAAGAAGTGAGATATCAAAAATGTAGTGTAATTAATCATTTGCAATCAAATTCTCAGCGGTTTTAGCATCAGGCTTTTCAGATTTTAAAGTTTTTTTATCTCTTTCAATTTTGTTGATAAATATACCCAGTATGTTTTTTTTTAAAACATCTTAGATACCACCTCCAATCGTGGATCTTGGAGAGTTGGGTCCCGTGAGATGTCATCGTTGCAAAGCTTACATGTGTGCATTTATGGAATTTCAAGATGGTGGTCGTCGCTTCAAATGCCCGTTTTGTTTTACATCCACAGCTGGTATGTTTGGATTCATAATGATTTTGCTTACAAAGATCATTCATTTTGCACTTGTCTGTTTTTGTTTTTAGTGGATGATTCATATTTTGCTCATCTGGATCACACCGGACGCCGAACCGATATTCAACATCGTCCTGAACAATATCTTGGGTCTTATGAACTTGTTGCAACAAAACCGTACTGTAAAGTTTGTTTTTTTCATAATCATATTTTCGAATTTTATGAAACAGACTTCTTAACGTACTTTTATTCCGAGATCATTTCCAGAATGGTTTGAAACCAAAAGAACCTGCATTCATTTTTATGTTGGATGTGTCGTATTCTGCAGTGCAATGTGGCCTAGTATCAATATTTTGTAAAAATATTCGAAATTTGTTGAACGATTTACCCAAGTTTGTTTCCTTCATATAATGAAATGTGGCAATCGAATGAAAGTTCATTTTTATGAATTGAAAATTTTTCTTTATTCTTAACTGCCATAAGATAATATTGCAGAGAATTGGATCAGGTGAATTCGTCTTTGCGCATTGGATTTGCAACATACGATCAGACTATTCATTTCTATAATTTGAAAAGCCATATAGGTCAACCTGAAATGTTGGTCGTTGGAGATGTGAACGATGTTTTTGTGCCATTGGTAGACGGGTTTTTGGTAACATTGGAAGAGGCCGATGTTGTTCTGAATAGGTAGAACATCATATCATCTATGCATTCAAGTATAACTCTCCTTTGGTGATTTTTCACTCAATCTGCTTCCCAAGTTCACGGTCACAATTTCTAAGGTCATTAGTTTATTCCACGCTGAGTTCAAGTACTAGACTGCTTGAACTTAGTATCCAACTTGGAAAAATTTTTTCTCTTTTACTTAACGTATGCAAGAATATGGTTTGCCTAGATTCGATAAAATTCTAGCTCTTGTCATTCTTGCATGTCACAGTAATAGGTTGTCTTTGTATTTTAAGAAGAAATAAAGCGTATCACTTATGTTGACAGTCAACAGGATCGTTGTAGCAAATGACTTTATTTAAAATGATATATCAGCAACAATGAAAATTTGTTCATTTCATAGCAATTATTCATTTATATTTTTTGAGCTTGTTATATGAAATTGAAAAGGTCTTTGGCGAAACGCGAATCACTGAAACAATGCTTGGCCCTGTTATCCAGGCTGGTCTGGATGCACTAAAAGTACGCATGATGTTTTCCATTAGTTTGAATTTCGCTGCAACCAAAACTTTTAATACACAAATTGTAATATTCATGCAGCTTCATAGTCAAACAGAGTTTCAGTGTGCTGATAGAGCAGGGAAGTTGTTCATATTCCATACTAATTTGCCGTTGCTGGATGCACCTGGGAAGTTAAAAAATCGTGAGGATCGGAAACTACTTGGAACAGATAAGGAGAAGGTTATTAATTTAGACCGATGATTTGATTGGACTTGTTGTTTTGCATCTTAGGTGCTGTTAATTTATTTGCAGAAACAAAGTTTTATTTTGATACATATTAAATTCATATTATTGCTGGTCTGTATAGTGGTATCATATTACCGTAGTTGTAGTATGGTTGGTATATACTTTCATTCGTTGAACATTATTTGTTTCAGACTGTATTACAACCGCACATCGATTTTTATAGTAAACTAGGCGAAGAATGTGTGAAAGCAGGTTGCGCTGTAGATTTATTCTTATTCCCAAATTCCTTCGTGGATGTTGCATCACTTTCACCCGTTTGCTATCTAACGGGTGGTTCCATATACAAATATCAATACTTTGAAGTATACTTTAATCATTTTTGATTTTCGATTCATTTATCAAATGACGTGCACAACATGCTGTTCTTTTGCTGCCTTATTTTTAAATTTACTAACTAATTTGTTAATTATTTCGTTGAGTTTCATTTTAGACGCAAAAAGATAGCCAACGTTTCTTGGCAGATCTTTCCCACGACATAAGTCGCGAAATTGTGTTTGATGCGATGATAAGAGTACGTACATCCACTGGTAAGTGTTAGCTTTTGTTTGTTGAGTTTTTGAAGTTTTTTTTCTCTCAAAATAAATGGTTGGGATAATCGCGTTTCTCGACAACTGCATCTGAATGGTAACTTTTTACTTTTGCAAGTACTCTCTGGATCCTAATGGTTTGTTTTGGATCCAAGTTAAAATAAAATTAAAAAAAAATCCGGCATGCATGTAGGGAGTTCATGCTGCCAGTTGTAAGAAATTTTTTTAATAGTTGGTAGTTTTCTGTATTAATCATTCCTTTCAGGTTTACGGCCAACTGGTTTCTTCGGTTCGTTCTTCATGGATAATACTACGGATTTGGAAATGGGTGCCATTGATTGTGATAAAGTGATTTTTCCTTATAATAAACAATAACCGTAATTTTTTAATGTTAAATATATGAAACCATAATTGATGTTTAACATTTGTTTATAGGCAGTTCACGTAGAAATTCGACATGACGATAAATTACCAGAAGGAAGCGCCTACTTACAAGCGGCTGTACTATTTACATCATGTAGTGGACAAAGAAGACTTCGTATCCATAATCTTGCTTTAGCTGTTTCGTCAGATTATAATCAGTTGTATCGTGTTGCTGATTTGGACTGTTTAACTTCTTTCCTCTTTAAACAAGGTAAAAGGCACCTCAACCTTTACTTTCGAAATGTAATTGTTGTCTTCATAATGGAAATTCATTCGTTTCATGTTGAAGCATTTGCAGTTCCACGATTTTATTAACTTTTTTTTCAGCGGAATACTTTTTGCGAGACAAATCTCCTAAGGAAGTGCGGGAAGCAGTGAATGCACGTTGTGCGCAAATGCTAGCAACATACCGTGAGAAGTGTAGTGAACAAGCACCGCTTGGACAACTTATTTTGCCAGAATGTTTGAAACTTTTGCCGTTATTCGCAAACTGCATATTAAAGAATGATGCACTTAGTGGGGGTCGGTTTCCAATCATACAATTCACTAACTTGAATTATTTTTCCTATTTGAAATAAAGACTTGTTTAATTAGCTTAATTGTTTTTTGAAAAGGAGTCGTCAAAATCTTTTTCAGGTAACGATATGACGGTCGATGATAGAGCTTATCTAATGCATCTTATACCGTCCTTGAGGACAGAAGATGCATTAACTTTGTTGTATCCTACAGTATTCCCTGTTTCTGATCTGATGCTTGAGCAGCAGACAGCTGAGGTATTCAGTTTATATGCTTTTTTTTTTTTTTTTTTTTTTTTAATTCATTAGATTATTGTTTATTGTTAACTTTATTTTGATGTTGATTTGCAGATAACATTGCCAGTCTGCATACGCGCTTCTTACGATAACTTATCTCCAGAAAAAGCATATATAATTTTTAACGGTATCATGATGTTCTTATGGATCGGTTTAAAGGTATCACAGGATTGGATGCAAGATGTTTTTAATTCCAACTCAGTCGCACATCTCAATGTGGACAATGTGTGTCTTTGAAATAGTTCATTTGGAAATTTGAACATGCTAAAATTATTTCGCTAGTTTCATTCGTTTAACTCTCCCTTCATTAGGTAAATGTGTTTCAGCATGTCGTACCGGAACGTGACAATGCACGGTCACGTGCTCTACGTTATGTTATTAATCGGGTGAATTTAAATCGGTTGCGACATATGAAACTGTTCTTGATTCGACAACAAGATGCATTAGAAGCTTGGATGAAAAAATTTTTAGTTGAAGATCGTACATCTAGCATGCCCTCATATGTGGACTATTTATGTAACATTCATCGTGAAATTAGAAGTTTGTTGACTTGAAGATGGCATGTTTTCATGTTTTCCATTTCCGTATTTTATTGCCATCTTTTTATTCGGGGAATTGGTTTATCAGTTGTTAATATTAAACTTTGTAATGTGATATGCTGACTGTGACAAACGCCATATCTTTATAATAAAACCAGCGCTTAAAGCATCTTTCTATTTTAGTTTAACGGGATCTCTTCGTCTGGAACTAAAATGTTGTTTCTTTAACATTATAGTGTTTACCAATTTACTATTTTGTAGACCACTATATTGAAGCTCTGGAATGATATTTTCTTACCTTCATTGTATTGTGAGCAATGATTTTAATGGTAATTGTTTGCAAATTATGGTTATTGATGGTCATGACGAATAATGCGATGCATGAGCCATTGTTTGGCATTTGTACGCTCACTCATTGTATACTATTCCGCACTTCGTTTCATTTTCCGACTGAGTCCATGTTTGCATCATCCTTTTCGTTGTGATTGTACTGAAAAGCCTTATTTAGATTCATGATTTATATTTATATTCACACTTAGTTTTATCTTTTTCTTAAAGTGATTTGTTTTCTAATAAATTCATCACTTCCAGTTGCGTCGCTTAATTTCGTCCTGACTGGTCTTGGTATAGATATTCCTTAAGTAGCTAATTTGTTTATATATAAAATTAAAGTAGGCAGCGTTGTTGGTTAAGAGAAGTGGAGGGAAGTTTGCAAATAAAATTCAACATTTAGATTTTCTGAAGCAGAAAGAGTTAGTACTCTGGTTTAAATTGGATGATGCGATGGGGGTTGCATGTTGATATATTAGGAGTTAATCAGCGTGACTGTAATGGGACAGCAGTAGCAGTTCAGATTCTTATTGCGTGGAAATAGGATTGTCAAGAAGTTGGTCATGAATTGGTGTTGTTCATTTCATAGGAGAGATGAGGTTTGCGTCTGAGACTAGACTTTGTGATACGGGACATTATTGGGGAGCTGGTTACACAAGTTTTTGTATACACGTGATTCCGTTTTGTCTTTATTCCGATCTAGTCTTTCGCGACGTCTGGTTGCTAGTAGTGGTTATAGTTGGAGAATTGTACAGGTGGTTTTTCCAGTAACTAGTAATTTCGTATGTTCCAAATTGAAAATTTATACTTATAACTTCGGCTTATAAGTGTGCCATCTAAATCGTATTTATCTACTCGCTGTGAAGTACATAGTGCAGGGTACAGATATGATTATAAAGTAATTTGCAGTGTTAGGGACGAAAGGGCGCGAGATATTTGGACATTGCAATGGACGTCAACGAGCTGCAAGAGGAAAACGATGTATGCGAACGAAAATGAAGTATGCTGTAACGATGGATATGGGATTGGCTTTGGTTTTCGGTATATTGCAGAGGTGGTGGTATGGTTCTACGATATATTAGCATTGTCATCGGATTTGTCAGAGATTTATTCGGCTGTCCAAATCTCAGATATTGCTTTTTTTTCAGGGGCAAAAATCTTTTCGTAATTCTGATGTATATGATAATTCCAAATTTACAAAATGCTCATTCAGCGTAATCTTTATTTGAAAGAGAGAATTGGAATGCTTCAACCGCGTTGATGTCTGTCATAGTCCTATCTCTCGTAGTGATTTCCTTATTTTGTTTCCGAACAGTGGGAAGTTCTCTTTTAAACGAGATCGAATTGCATTGCTCCTTAAACTGGGTTTTTACAAGTTTATTTGTAAATAAATGGTGTGCTCTGACAAAATCTGTACATGCCAGTGCGGTTGTCGGAGTGCTTAACGGTTAGATGAGTTGCCACAAGTTTCATAGCGTCGTTTGTAACCACATCACTATTCTGAATTTAATCACATTAGTAATCTATCGTAAGCTGCGTAAATCATCTTATTTTTTCTCAGAGGTTATCAAAGAGTAGGAAAACAAATTCTTACCTAACAATAGAAGGCTTTTTTAGGATGTCGTGTTGGAAGAGCCTTATGGGATAGACAATGCCAAATCTTGCCATTGTTTCTCATCGAACATTTCTCTAATTCTGTTGTATAAAGCATTGTGTTATACATAACCATAGGAATGTTTACAGGTATGTACTTTGTAGCCAATTTTTATCTATCAATAACATTTCAGATCGCGTGCCCCGGCAAACTATGATAGTTCCGGGTCCAGGAGCAGTAGTTAATGATATCCGTAAGATGTCGCTAACCAAAAGCAAAACGACGCTCCACAGCTTTGATCATCTTGTCAAAGGTAAGCTGTATCTGTTTTTGATCTTTGATTGTTCCTCGTACAATTAGTTTTGCTTTATTTTAATTTTCTAGCAGAGACTAATTTTTTTTCACTGTTCTAGGTCGTTCATGTTTAATTTGACACGCATTTTTTTTTTTTTTTTTTTTTTCAACCTGAGCTAACTGATTGAGTCTACAGTTAGAATTCTTTCGTCAACTGTTACTGTTCATGTGAATTATATGTTTGCTAGGAACGCAAACATGAGTTGAACATAAGCATAAAGAAACATTCTGATCTACAAATGAAAGGTGGGAAAAAAAATGAATGTAAAAGAGGAAATAATGTGGAAAAGGAATTTGAAAAGATCTTTTAATAGTTCGTGCACAAGTTGTGTAATATTCAAAATAATCCAGTTTAGCTGTGCACATTACACTCCTTTTGTGGTCATTAAAGAATCAGTGGCATTATTAGATTTTTTTATAGATTTTGTTTCTGAGTTCCGCTGGATCATCTTTTAGAGATAACGTAAGCATTCGACAGATTTTGTTAATATTACATTTATATGTATATCGTTAATAATAGGTTTATTTGTCATAAGATGTCCAAGATGTAAGGCTGCTAATGGTGCTGTAGAATTTTTTTAAGAATTTTTTTCCGCTTCCATATGTATATAAGAAATAGTAGAAGATGAGAAAAGGAGCAGAAAATGGAAGATAAAAGAAGAGAGGATAATTCTTCATTATGATTATGTTTATATAGTTGATGTGATGAAGCACATGCTTCAGATCGGGGTTTTGAGTCCTTGTTGTTCTGTTCTGTTCCTGTTCCTGTCCCTGTTCTGGCTTGTGCCGTTTGTTCTGCTCTGTTTGAACTTTTCGAAGAGTCGTCAGGCTTTTTGTTTGGCTCACTTCCTAACTACATTTATTATTTTCATTAGTTACGTTGTTGTTGGTAATATTATTAGCATACTGCAACGTTTGCTAATAGTGATTTTGGGTATATGTGATAAATTATGTGTGATTACATATCCTTCCATGTGTACGTATTTCGTGTGTATCTATATTTTTGTTCATTTGTCCTTGTAGTTATATGTTTTGTGACAAGGAATGTTATGGCTTTTGAAACGGTGTGTGTTTATATAAAATTTCTTGTTAAAACGTTCTGTCAAATAGCTTTCAAAAATAATATTCTGACAACGATATGCTTCAGGTGCTAACCTTGTTTTGCATTATTTTTATGCGAATTTCTATATGCATAGACTCTGTAAATGAAGGCTATGGTCAGTTAGCTAAATTATTGTCAGTATTTTCCTTAACTGATGAATACCTGATAGTATTTACTAAGTCATTTCATTCCGAAACTATTTTATTCTCCACTCTGATGAAGTGAAAACTTACACCTTGTTTACAGTTGCTTCTACAGTGTAATGTATGTCACAGTTTAAGTTGGCATGATTTTTCCTACATGTGTTTGACAGCTTTAGAGCAATATAATAAAACGGTTAGCAAATCCGCTCCCAGATTTCAGTCATGCTACGAAATAATTGTATGCTGCAGCAGTAGATTGTTCAATTATGTAACCAGTAGCAAAAATAACAACAGTGAGAATTTCAGAAACAGAATACAGTTGTTAAGGTATTACAATGAAAAAAATGTTTTGTGTATTGTATTTTTTCAACACTGCTAACGTTTATTTTGTCAAAAATAATTTGGTCTTCTTAGTTGAATATTTTTTTCTATTATCCAGTAAGCACCCCATTTTGCAGCTCTTTGATGTGGCAATAATGCTACTGTTTACTTCTGTTCTGATCCATAATATCGACGGAAATCTCTTCTTATAGGGCTCGACTGTTTGTTTTATAGCCATTGTCGCGAGAATGCAGCTGCATAATTGTTACCAGCATTTGCATCATCGTTGTACTGTCACTACTACGCATTTTTGATGGGAGATGTTTCACCTTTTACTCATGGATTTGAACATATAAACATCCACAAAATGAATGCCAAGATTGGGCGTAATTAGGAAATCTTATTTGAAATAAAGGGCATCTTCCGGTGACTAAACATTAGTACCTAAAGGATCAGCTTTGCACAAATCGTAGCATGCTTCCCTTGGCTAATTGGTATGCAACAAAAATTGCGATCTTCTGGAAGAATGAAAAATGGGTCGTTTTATTGCAAACTCCATTCTATCATTGCGTGCAGTTTGTTTGTGATTTTTCCAAAAGATCTGTTGTATTTTCTTGCCGTTCTGGATATACGCATTTTGAAGTGTTATGAATACAGTCTTCCGCTATTGCTGTTAATATTTTGTGCTGTGTCTGCATAAATTTCGAGAAATTCAATGGTTCGGGCAGCGCTATGTGCAGCCAGTAGTCGTACAGTTGAACATATTGTTGATATGAGCAGTAAGTTGTTAATCCGTCTTTGGCTCTTTGTGGAAGGATTGACTGATTCGAGATTTCCAGGAAATTGGAAGATTGAGCATAGCTGTTTTCGTTCTGTGAGTTCTTGTGGAGTGGGACTGATGATTTGACTGATGTTTTAAGCATTTGAGAGCATAAATCCATGCTTTTTTTTGGTTTAACTTTACTTCTACTGCCGTAAATTTAAGACACTATTTTCCATGAGAAACACACAGCTGCAATAAAATAGTCATCTGCGGAAACTCAAGTTATTTTTTGAGACTGTTCGTTGTGGTGAGACTCGAAAATCAAGTTATACGTCTTTATTCTCATGTGGATATTTGGTATGAATATATGTGAAGTGCAATTAAAGATGAAAACTGCCTTGTGTTCATCGTTTGAATTTTCAGAAATCCGTTCCCAACTAAATGACCAATTGCGTTGCTTGGAAACCCGAACGGAGGCGCAGGTAACTCACAGACTGTAGTTTCTTCTGCATAATTCCAATATTCTTGTAACTTTTCTTAAGTAGTACTTTATTATTTTGAAAATTTGGTTCGTAATAAGCTGTCTTGAATGCAACTGATTTTTGGAAATTTCATGTGAAGTTTCTGCAGACTGCTATTTTACTGGAACTAAATGATTACTATCGGAAGAAAGCGGAACTTGATGGCGAATATGGAAAGCAGCTTGAAAAACTTGCAAAAAATATTATGCAGAAACATAAAAATGAGCGGTATAAGTAGGTTTTATGTTTTTTGTCGATTTGTTTTTGCGAGTTACCCGAATTTCATAGAAGATAAAGTGAACTAGAGGACCAGTATTTTTTTCTTGGTTAGTATTTCTTATTAGATAAGTGATAAGGAGGTGAGCATAACAGTAAAAACACTGGTTCTAAACGGAATTTTAATTTGGAGCAATACAGCAACAGTACTTTTTATATTCGGAAAATTTTCTTTTGATATGCAAAAAAAATGACGTATGACTGGTTATGAAGGCTTTACGCTATGTTTAATTCCTTCGTTTTTTTTTCTTTTTGCATTGTACAAATCCTAATTTGATTGGCACTGTTGGTCTTTTTTCACTTTCACGGAGTTTGCAGGCGTGATGCTTGGACTTTACATTCAACGTGTGGGCTATGGCAACAGCTGGTGGATCAGACAAAGGAGGAAGCTAAGCAGAAGATGGCTTTGGCTGATTTATACGCAGCTCGTCTTACAGTACTTATTACTCAGAGAGCAGATGATTTACAGCGTATTTCTCGAAAAGTATAACTTTTTCTTGTAGAGTTATCTACATAGGTTAAAAATATATTCTACTGTTATTGTAGGACTAGCAAATACGCGACTAATTGTCTATTTTCAAAGATTTTTGGTGCTAGGTTGGATGTGAATTTTGATTGTTAGTGTTAAAAACATTATTAACATAAGTCCGTGTGTGAAAATGTTGGGTGATAAGCATGAATGATTAAGAAATCCATTCTATATATTGATACAGAGAACCAAGAAAAAAAAAATTAATGATAGAACAATATATGTGATAAAAATGGCTTAGTCAGATATACCGGAATAGGTTACTTTGACGGATGAGATGAATTTGTTTGAGTACATCATCTCAGAGTCATTGTTTATTTTACTGTTTATTCTGTCTGAGTTTTCGTTTTCATAAGTGTGATATCATAGAGGCGGATGCTTTCATTTAAGTACCATCATGCTTGTTGCCAAGGCATTTAATCACCGCATCACTTACATTAATAGTAGACGGGATGCATTCTTCCTTTCATTAATGTGCATATCTGTAATATATCCCTTGATTGTTTGCTGCAGCAAAAAACAGTTGTCTTCCTCATCGACTAATATGTTCTAATACTAACTTTCCTATATTTGTGGTACAATCTTTATTCATCAAATATCTGCTAGAAAAAATGACGAAGGCCATGGAAAGATGTTTGCAGTATAAACATGTTTCTGAAGTTTATGAGCTTAAATAATGAAGTTTTTAATGGAAAAAGATTTGAATATTGTTAATGAGCCGTTTATCTTCATAAGAATTTTTGGACCAAATTCTTTTATTTCTTCCCTACATTGCTTTATCATAATTTTCTTCACCCAAACTTTTGAAATGTGTCGTAATATTCTCGTTTTGTTCATAAGCTTGAGGATTTATATTTTATATATTTCATTTCTGGTAATTTATCATCCCGAAAATAAGTCAGACTAACCTAAGCCTTCTATTATGATTATCACTGTTACAGTGTCGCGAAATAGGTGCACTTGCTCACGGTGAAATATGTCGAGTGATAAATGAACTGCATACTGCCATGAGGACTTACCAAGTATGTTATCATTTTGAGATGATCATTTCCAAACTCTATGTGTCACTGACTTTAGGTATATTAATTATCATTTTGTGTAGGTAGTGTCTCATGTTTCAAGGTTTTATCAATAATGCATTGTAAAATTGTATGCTTCAGGGTTATGCATCCTCCAGTTTTCAGTCATAATTATATGAGTTCCCTTTGTTTATATGAATTACCTTTCAGAAAAAGTTTTCTTTTTACAGCTTTGTTTTCTTGAATGTTCATCTCTAGAAAGCAAATTTCGCCAAGTTGAAGAAAATAAGGCAAAATATGAAGAAAATAATCCAACGAAGCTCGGTATTACTCGTAAGCATCGGTGTTTAGCAAAGCTTTATAATAAGGTAAACTTTAAAAATTATTGCTGATAAGAGTTTAATAAGTTATAAGAATTTACTTTCTTTCTTTGTTTTATGAATTTATTTTTTAGAGGCTGGAAAAATACAATGCGATAAAACTAAAATGTTTGAAAGCCAGAAATGAGTATCTGTTATGTGTGCAGGCGGCCAATGCAGCTTTGCATAAGTATTTTGCTGACGATCTTTCTGATCTCATCGATGTATGTTTTACACCATTCTAATAAAAAAACATTCGTAATCCAGAAATTATTTCAATATAATTGTATTTTTATTTGGATATAAGAGTAATTTATTTGAATGTGATTGTAATTTTATATTTTTATTTGAAATAAATTATTTGAATATAATTGTAATTTTTTCAGTTGAAGGATTTTATATTGTAACTTATCAATAAATTCGTTTAGTGCATGGATCTTGGTATGGATCAGTGGTTACAGGGTTTTATAAATTGTGCCGTGACAGCGCGGAAAGATATGTGTCAAAAGGAAATGGATGCTTTAGCAGAACTTTGTGGATTTAAGGAATCACTTGATTCAAAGACGGATAAACAACGGTTTATTGAAGCAAATCATGCGACTTTCATGCTGCCAAAACGATTCGAATTCAGGCAACATTTATGACGTGTTTTAAGTTCCCATTCGACAGAATATCAACTTAATTTGCTTGGACGAAACTTTTCTAACAAGTTCATTTCAAATCAAGTTATTTATTTGGTACTTTCTGTCCTTTTCTAGCTGTATTTTCAAAGCAAAATTTCAGGGGGCAGATTGGTGATGCAGTGTCTACGGTAAGTGCAACCGATGTCGTTGCTGAAGAACTGCAACAGCGGCATTTGCAAATCGAACGGAGACTTGCTAATGTGAGGTATTTAATTTTTGAAATTGACTTTCACTTCATTCATATCATTTTAGGTTCAAACTTTGGCTAGATTCTGATGTGGTTTATGGTCCTTCACTAATGTTTTATTTTTGCCAACCACAGGTATTTCTCAAAGGAAGCCCATTAACAAACAACGATTTCATTTTCCTTGTTAAATAATTTCAATTTTTAAGAATTGAGTCGGAAGAAATATGGAAAACCTTGGAGTCCACAGAAAAAGCGGTTGCTGAACGTTTTATGGAGGCGATGACTAGTTCGGTTGCATCTGCTGAAATTCCAAATGATACATCACGTGAAGATTGTAATGACTCAAGCATTTACAACTTTAAAAATAGACTAAATGCTAACGAATTATATGACTTTTATCTTGGGGTTAGTCTAATCATTTATATGAGGTCTTAATTTATTTTTTTTTTTTTAGTACTGCTGTGTATAATTTAGGGTAATTCATTTTGGTACGAATCAGCTTAAACGGGTTTTTTTTTTCAGAAATTCAGTCATTATATGCTGAATAGTAACTTAATCGAACGTCTAGAAGCACGGGCAAATGGAATTGCCTTAGCTTTGAACGGGTATTCCAGCAAAAGTTTTGATGGTAGCACCAGCTCTGTTGTTGTTCCTACCCCTAACTCTTTCTGTCGTATGTTTTTGAAATTTCGGTTTAAGTATAGTTTAGAGCAAAAAAGTAATTACAGTTTAAGTATTTTTCATATTATTTGTCTCTTTTTCGGATCTTCTTGTCGATACTGTACGGTGAGGGAATATTATTTTCAGAAGATGGCGATGACAGCGCAATCTTTCCTTCCGTTCGTAAAAGTGCGAAAAAAAGAATTGGCAGTGGTTTGCTATCAGATGGTATTAGGCGTCCGAAGCTCTTTGGCGGTAGTTTGGATGAGTATGTTGAAGCAACAGGAGAAACAATACCTCTCATTGTCACTTCAACTATACGGTTAATAGTAGTATATTGTCGGTCCATAATTTTTCATATTATTCCATTTCATTGAACTGTCATCTGAATATTTTCAACTATCTTCTCTTCCAGTGTATTATCCCAATTCGCTTTACATCATCAAGGAATATTCCGTATATCAGGCTCACAAATTGAAATTAATATATTTCGAGAAGCATTTGAAAAAGGTAATAACATATTTAATTTTTTCTTTTATTCTCTTCTCTGGCCATGTAAAAATTAGCGTACTGGCGATACAATTGTAGGTGAAGATCCATTACGACATGTTGTTGATGCTACAGATGTCAATTCAATTGCGGGTGTTTTGAAACTTTATTTACGTGAACTTCGTGAATCCCTTTTTCCTATATTTCTTTTTGATCAGTTAACAGAGTGTGCGAAATGTTCAAATGCTGATGAATTCGTCAAACAGGTTTTTTCTGTTTTCTTTAATGAATGCATTGTTCTGAAAAGTTTAGATTTTGAGTTTGTTTAGAGCTTAGCTTTGAACGTTATCGTTTAGACTTTTGAACTTTAATTTTTCACTTTTTTAGTGGTGCTGCTGTAAATGATATTTCGTTGCCAGATTTCTATTACTCTTCAGGTTGTACCGCTTATCCAGAAATTGTCACAACCTACTCAGCTTGTATTACGATATCTGTTTGCGTTCCTCAATCACCTCAGTGAATTTAGTGATGAAAATATGATGGATCCGTACAATCTTGCCATCTGTTTCGGACCTACACTTCTTCCTATTCCAGAAGGAAAAGATCAGGTTGTGCGACTTACATTTTCATTATTCATTGTTAAATGCTTCTTGCAAAATTCGGAGTCAATACAGCTTTAAGCACGATGAAATTATCTACAAAAAACTCGTGCCAAGAACTCAGTATTGTCGATCTCTCCCTAAATAATATCTTTTTAGTGATTTGTAGGTCATCCTGCCAAATCAATTATAACTCAGTAGCGGTCAGAGTTTAAACTTAATAATACTGAACGGAAAACGAGCACCCTTCTTTGTTTCATCCTTCTTTTTTTTGATTGAGACAGGTTGATCGGACGACGGACTTTTCTGGTGTGCCTGCTCCTATTTGTGCTAACATTATGATTGGTAACATAGGTCATATCTATGATATTTGTTACTGCCTAGAAAAATATATCTTTTTTAGGAAAATGACGATATTTCAGGTCTTTTACCATAATTTTGTAAATGAACTTGTGAAGAATTTGATTGTTTATCACGAACAAATTTTCTCCACAGTATTACGCGGTCCGCGGTATGAGAAGTATCTAATTGAATCCGAGCAAGCACTCTTTATTGATGAGCAGTAAGTAACTGCTTTTCTTTTAGATTCAAATTTTTGATCAAAATTTTAATTCCCAATTAAATGAAGGTCAGATATGTTACTGTGTTTTGTTTAATGCATGTAAGTCAGGCTTTATGCAACATTATAGTTTTTTAGAGAAAGTGCCGTTAGTGGTGATGAAGAAATTATAACGACACCGACTGATTATTCAAACGAAAAATCGTTGACGGGACTTAAAGCACTTATGGTGGCTCCATCTTGGAATGCTGCTGTGGAAATGCTATCACCAGCTTCAGATGCCGCTGCATGCACATTAGACAACCTTCCAGAATATGCCGTTGCTTCAGCTGACCAGAATCCTGTGCTCTCAAATTTTTTTGACAATTCAGCGTACGATATTACTTCTTCTATAGTGCATTTATGTTATTGGGTTCACTAAATTTGCAAAACTTCATTTCAAATTCTCAAAGGAAAAAAAGAATTCTAGGCATTTTTTAATTCCTGAGTTTCCAAATTAGGTGTCGAGGTTTTTTTGTTTTAAGGTTGTCAGCAAAATTAATGCCTGGACTAGATAATGATGTAATGAGGCGTTTTGAAAGTAGTAGTAATACAACTGTGGCAGGTGCTCAGAACCTTTTATTGATTAACAACAATGAAATCTCGTCGAAGCAGGTACATCCGGAAATATTTCAATCTATCAGTGAAAATATTTAGGGCTTTAATTTCTTGATGTCTCGTTTAGCTGCTGAGACTTGTCGGACGATTGTTTTTGTATGGCGTTGTTTTCTTAAACGGTTATCAGTAATTAATTCAGAAAGCTGACATTTTTTATGGTTAACAGTTTCAATGATTGAACTATTTGTGGATACTTCTATCACTAGTCGTATTTCTCTTTAGATATGAATTCGTGAAGTTAGGATGATAAACTCCGTAATATGTGGGCAGGTTGGAATTTGATTTAGAGATTTTTTTTTCAACAGCTGTAATAAACAATGTAAATTATTCTTAGAAACGAGCGCAGCAGCAGGTCTGGTCTCGTCGAGGATGTGGCGTGAGTTCGCTACGTGAACAGCTGCACCACAGTCGAGTACAGCAGCAGGCTTTTACCAGTGATAAGTTGTTAGTTTTCTCTTTTTTTTTTTTTTTTTTTTTTAATAATAATTCTTAATTAAAACAACTGTTTTTTCTAAAAACTTGTAAGAACTTCTCGAATTTTTCAGTAGTAAATTTACAAATTTGATATTTGAAATCTGATTTCAGATCACCGTCATCATCTTCTTTAGATGCTGTCATTTTTGATAATCGTTTCGATGGAATAATGTTCGGAAATAAAGTGTCATCAATTAGTAACGAAACTCCTGAAAGGAAAACGGTATCTCTTTCGAAGGAAAATGCTTGTTTCATCTAATCGTTTCCTGAACACTTTAGTTTATAACTTTCAGTGATTTACTTTTTCTACTTATACTGTTGTCTAGAAGGGTAACTTTGTGCAACTACTTGATTTGTGAACAATTTTATAATAGTATTCCAATTTCTGGTAGAGCTTCTATTCAGTTTTTCTATAGCTGGAATGATATTTCAGAAGTCGGAAAGTTGTTTTTCTCTTAATTTCAGTTTATTTAATTGAATTTTTGTTCTAGATATTTCATGAGAAGCTGAGAAGTATGGAACCAGATTTAGTACGCTCTCTTCCGCATGATATGATTACTGTTCATCCAAATCAGCCACCAAGAAATACATAGTAATGGGTTGTGCGTTTTGAGACCAAAAGAAACATAATCCCATCATAAATCACATTTTTTTTCTTCAAAGACATGTTAATAAAGCGGTTATATCAGAGCTATTTAAAAAAATTGTAATTGTAAAATTCCGTAGTATTAAGCAGTTTATGCATGTGTTCTAGGGACTTTCAATAATTTATACATAAAAAATTCTGCTTTGTATTTTGCAGTATTCATTTGCTTTAATGCGAAACATATCTTCCATTACATGTTCGTTGAGATACAAATTTCTGTTTTGTTATAGTCGTTTTTTATTTATGTATGTTACCGAAAAAATAAAAGATTATCCATTGAGAAATATTTTGCGATGAGCAATGCATTGGTGACCAACATTCTTTCCAGTTTCAAGTCAATTGAACATTCAGTTCAATTGACTTGAAACTTTTTGGATAGAAAAGAATTGTCGGAATTTAAGATAGTGCTCAATATCTTACAAACATTGGTGTATATATCTTGCAGTTTTCTGAGGATGGAAAGGCATGATCAATTGTGATTGCAATTTCAATATTTTAGGTTCAGATGCGACGGGTCTTCACTGTCGCTAGCAAAAAAAGTGGCCGAACACCGTATTTCTTATGCATACGTTGTCGAGCAGATGTAAAAGCAGATTCTAACAAAGAGTTGAATTTGGATAATGAGTCTGAACGGATGACGACATCCTCTCGGATTGGAATTGTTACTCCTGAGGAAGCGATCCATCACTTATGTGTTCCTGAACCTCCAGATCCTGGGGCATGTTGTGCGTCTGGATGTGCAAATTGTGTTTGGATTGAATATGCTACCGAACTAATGCGTTACTACAGAGATCGCCCTTTGCATGAAGCTATGAGTGAAATTGACAGAGTAGTCCCAGACATTGGTGTTCGAGAATTTGTCAAAGCAGAAGTCCGTGAACGTACCAAATGTTGATTATGTAATAGGCTGTTGTTTCAAAATTATTTTCCATTCTCGGGTTCGATAAATCTCTTTAAGCTTGACTGTTCAATACTTTTCTCCAAGGAGGTTTGCGATTTCTGCTCTGTTTCAGTCTTCTGCCATTTCGTGCTGTATCATTTTGCTAGTTTATTTGTAGCGATGCATGAATATTCATTCTAAAATTAGTAGTATTCTATATGTATTAAAAACTTCATGATTTCAAGCTAACTTCTGCATATTACCTAATAATATGATTTTGCGATTTGTGTGTCGAATCTTAAAACTACAAATCTTAATTTTTATATATTATATGTGAATAACATCCGCTGGTAGCTCTGATGCAATCACTACTTCAACGCTATGTGTAAACGGCTAGGCTTACAGCGTGATATCAAATTAATGCATTTTGACAATATATTGTTATTTAATATGTCGTGGTTTGTTTTTATGTCTACCATTACAAGTGAGACACGTTCTGGTGTTGGTAGAATTTCTATCGAAGCCCTTTACAGCTTTAGTTTTTCTGTGCTTAGTAAGATGAATCATGGGAACTCCTTGCAAATATACTGCTGTTGAATAACTAAAGCTAAGCACTTCCACACATGAATAATATAGAGTAAAGAAATAGTTTAACAAGTGATACTGTTGTCCAACTAATGACGATTCAAATAAAGTTTTATTGTATAAAGTTTATGGAAACAAGCTGGAAGTATTTTTTTCGGTGTTCGAATTCATGAAAGCGTGAACGAAATTGAGTAGCTTGCAAAGTTTGTCCTTTCTTGTATGCCTGAGAGCTCAGTTGTCATCCAATGGACAGAGACCAGGTCCAGGCAGATCCAGCTACGAACTTTTTAACCGCAGCAATGACGATATACACTTTGCTATCGTCATTATCATAGATGTTATAGGTGAATCGATTTCGACTTATTATTATAGGTGAATCAATTTCGACTTATTTGTAGAACAGTGGAGCTTAATTCGTTTAGCGAGAGATTTTTGAGGAGTGATTTATTAAATTTCAATTATTTAAGTTCATTAAGTTCTTCAAAGCATCACAATCGGGATTTAGGTTTGCCTATCATCTATTTTGGAAAAAATATTTTCATGGCTTAGAGCCGAAACATTTTTAAACCTTATTTAATGACTTTTGAGTGATTTAGTTTTCGATAGTTCTTTTCCAGAATTTTATTGGAAAAAAGTTTTTACAAATCCCTACTCTAAGTAATTGAAGACAGTATGGCCTCTTAATTGATGTAATATCCCAATTTTGATATTACAGATCAAACAGAGCAAAGAATGAAATATGTGTTGAAATTTAAACCAGAAGGATCTTTATGACGCATAAAATCATGTAACCAATTAGGAGCGCATCTATGACTACTCGTGCAACTTCAAGCAAACAGAACTGTGAATACCGCGGGATAAATATGAAAATTTTTTAAAACAATGGTCTACAAGGAAATGGAAATAAAAGTTAAAAGATTAATAATAAAATAACCTCACGAGCAAATTTGACAGCATAAAATAATTATTAGTAGTCAGTGAAAAGTTTAGCGGAAAATTGAAAGAACGGTTAAAGTTGAAGCCTATAGAGATCTTAAAATTGATAAGGGAAGGTACAGTTCAGTAAAGAATAATTAGACGGACAAACTAAGCCATCAAAAAGTATTTACAATATTTGACAATAAGGTAATTAAAGTAACTGGATTTCCCAAAGAAACCTCAGAATGTCCTCACTATAGCGTTTAATTTGCATGACAACTGGGCTGAAAGTGGTCAGTTACTCTCAACGGAAGTTTTATTTTGGGAACGAAATACTAGCCTGTATACAGAAGCATCATTTTCCTAATTCAATCCAAAGGGTAGGACATACGCAGTTCGAATCACTTCTAGAACATTTGTTTTTCCTCTTCTTGTCCTCAATTTTCCGTCGCGAACAAATTTTTAACCGTTCAGCCAGTGATGAGTGGTAATATAATAAATGTTGTTCTAAAGTTTACGTAGATGAGTTTTGGAATTCCTGCGGCCGAGAATCCCAACAATGTGAGCCAACAATTCCAGAAAATTCGTACCAGAGGGTCAGCCTAAAAATAAGGCATCTGTACGTATGTGCATGAGAATGAGAATGAAAGATGCTAATTCTTACTTTAAAAATTATAGTAAAGTACAAACACTATCTGAACATCACCAGATACGTCACTGATGGTTCACCTTATTTCATATGACGCCTCAATAACTATCCAAAGGCTATGAATATTTCAAGCAGCTGTGGGATTTAATGCTAAACGTACTCTTTACTTATTTACTGAAATCCAAACTTTTGATTTATTGCAGTCCTTTCTCGTCATCTTTCTTTTTTTTACTATAAGTATTACGAGCATCAAATCAAAGTAATATATCGGGAAATGATTTGCGAGAGACATACAATTCAATAATTTAATTTTTGTATGTCTGGTATGTTTTATAAATGGACTGCAACTTCAAAACTACTTCAGAATCCTAGGCAGTGGTAATTGAGATAAGTTAACTGTTGGATAATAGATTATTTGAGTTGATTGCTCCTTTATTTTGCCTTCTTTAAGGCAAACATTCATATCATATCTAAGGTTATATGACTTCCTTTATTTCACTTATTATGTTAAGACACTGAAAGTAAGTTAACTTTTCAGCATGTTTTATCGTGTTAAATTTATTCTTTCCGACAATACATTTGATGTTTGAGATGAGATGGCATTTCACAAATGTCTATCAAACATATATTTTTTTGGAGTGGAGAGAGGATGGGTAAGATGAAGGAGAACTAAAAATTAGCAATACAACCTACAAAATTCCTCCAATACCCCTCTATCAGGGTGACCCCAACAGACGTGCAAATCTCATGGGAGGCCGCGTTTTGTTTGTCATTGATTAAGCGCAGGCTGGTGTATTTTTGATATCATTTTGTGTTTGCCTCATTATCTCAGTGGTAAGGAAATCTCAAGGCAGTTCTCCTGGTTGTTAAATAATATTTTAGGCATGTTGACGAATAAGACGGATCGTCCCATATAACCTTACTACTTTCGGACCATTTATTCGTTTAGCGATTTCTTACTGAGTTCCAAAAGGAAGGTGATGTACTGTCACTTGAATATGCAACGCAACAATATAGTTATAATTGGATAATTAACTAAACAAGTGAGTTTATTTTTATTTTGAAAGTGATGTTCTTGAAAAAATTCAAACTGATGAGAACTGCATTTGGATTTTCAAGAATTGAAAGTGCTTCAAATTGAGACATAAATAGGAAATATGACAGTTTTCTTATTATGTGTAGAAAAGCCACTGCACTGCAGTTGTAAACAGTGGTGTGCTAACAAAAAGCTAATATTTCTTGGTAGTCATTGAAGGATGGAAGGAAACGCTAGAATGGAAGACGCTGATCGTTCGTTGACTGTGTTGCATTTGCGTAAGACATTTAGCGAGTACTGCAGTATGCCATTAGGTGGTTCGAAAGATGGAGATCGGAAGTTTGACCGTGTGCTTCCACTTTTTGGAAGGGTAATGGAAATTTGAAGTCGAAAGAAATTTGAACTTTTTTGTTTGTTCATTTTAATATCAGCTTGAAACGAGCAAGTTGTAAAAATGTTAATATTCTAAAAGATTCACGATATGCTGTGGTTGCGCAGTCATTCTCTAACTGCACATAATTATAAGTGATGTAACCATCAATATTTTTAGATTTTGCACCACTAGTTGGGTCAAAAAAATCAGGAATACTGAGTTAAGTTGATTACGTCATGTATAGAATTGATTGCACTACGAAAATTTTTGGAATTACTTTTTTGCATCCTCCTATAGGTTATGGTAATGTACCCTTCACCAGAAGAAATTGTCGATAAATTCAAAGAACTGTGTGCGTTTACGGGTTATCTTTGTCGTCACCTTGTACAGGAAATACGCTTAAGAGCAGCGAATGAATGTACTCAGTTGGCAGCTTCTGCTATTTTAAATTTTCTGTTACCAGATGTTGCTGATTGTCGCGGCTTTACGCTATTGAATGCAGCGTGCTATCTTAGTTACACGTTAGTTTTGATTTTGGTGATTTTTATTCTTAGTGATTTCATTTTTTTGCTGATGAATCAGAGTTAATGTATAGTTCACTTGAGTGCTCGTACAATTTAAAAGCAATTTGATGTGGGAATTGTTTATTTATCTCTTTCACTGGGTTTGATCGAGTTATTTTTTTTTATTGAAAAGGATTTCCAGGAAGCAGGAACAGGTCATTGAAGTGATGTGTAAAGCAGCATTGCCTTCTACTTTGGTTAAAGCACTTTATTTATTTTTCGATTTGCCTCCTTCATCTAATGAAGATGTCACATTATCCAAACAGAAACTTTTCATAGTTTTCCAAAAAGTAACTTTTTGTTTTCTCTCCATGAAAATGAAAAAATAAGGAAAATTCAAGACTGTGAATGCATTAATTTTTTTTATTTAGGTTTTAAAAAAATTATGTGAATTTAATTGTGTTGGTGAAGAGCTTACTCGGAAAGATGATTTATTCCTTCTCTTTGCTGGTGCTTCTTGCGCATGTCCTGCAGAAAATGTCGAATGGAGGGAAGCTGTATCTCAGTTACTTGTAGTGGTAGCTTCGAAAAGTTTATCCTCATCTGTAACGAAATATATCCATGGTATTGTTTCCTAATCTTCGAGGACTGTAGGTTTAATAATCACTCTGTATTTTGTGGTATGAAATTAACAGGTTTGATGAAGTAAATTTGAAATAAAAAGTGGGATATACAGAACAGTGTATTGATTGGCGTGTTGAAGAGGATGATAAGAACTAAATTACGTTCGCTTTTCAATTATAAGCTAAAGTGTGCTGGTTATGGTGGTGCTTGCACTTTTAAGTTTAACTTTCCGAAAAAATGGTAGGAAGAAAATATCCGCAAAAAAATTTAATTGAAATGCGAAAAATTCATTAACTGTATATTCCATCGAATGGTATTCTAGGAACTTTGTTATGTTAGAGATGAGTAGTTTGCAGGTTTATTATTTGTTTACAGCCAAGAATTGTATATCAGTATTTTTATCAAATATATATAAGAAGGATGAAAACTTATTGGATCAGGAGCGCATCGGAATGTTTATTTGTTTGCTGTCTGTTTTGAAGGACTCCGCTGCCATTGTGAACGTTCTGCTGCAGGATTTTGCTCGTGCCAATGGTTATCTTTTATTACGAGACTTTATTTTGAAATATTCAGAGTAAGTTTTAGTTTTAAGTTAACATTGCGACCTTTTTCAAATTTCGGGTTTTTTTTTTTTTGTAAATTCATTGCACCTCTCCAAATTGCTGCACTCGACTTTAAACTACTTTTTTTTTTTTTTTTTTAGGAATAAAGAAGCAGAAGAAGGTATTAAAAATATCTTATTACTTATAATGAGTTTGACGACATGTGGCATTGCTGAACTGAAACCAAATTATACACCAGGACTGATTGTACTTCCCGCCTTTATTCTTCCAATTCCTTCAAATAATGGTCTTACATTGCGCAATATCGATGCGTTTCGTCTTCTTTTTCAGATTTTTATGCAGGTAAGGTTTTTAGAATTTAAAAGTTTGTCTCATTCTTTTGCCTTTGATCTTTTATTTTCATCAAATTGTCTCTTTACGAACTTAAAAATTTTATTTTTAGTGTAAAAATGAACGAATGTGTGAGGCAGTTGTTGATGCTGTTCATAATATTTATGCTTCTGATGCGGTTAATTATTTTATTGCTGATAAAGAATGCCCATTATCTCAAATGATTGAACGAATGGGATCAAAGTCTCCCCAAATACAGGTTCTTTTCGTGAATATCATACTATGAAGTAATAATTTTTTGTGGACGGTTTCCACTATTATTCGGTAAGAGATATATTAGGATGCTCAGCTCCATTTCACGTTGCATTGCTCTGTGATATATTTGTGAGGACAGTGAACATTTTTTAATATATTCTTAGCAACAGATAGAGTATTTAAAAGTGCAGTTAGATAAGTATAATGTAGATGTTAAGATGCAAGTTTGTGATTCCGAGAAACAGTTTTCAATGCTTTAAATCCCAATCTATTGTTATGAATGAATTCTAACATGTAACATGTATCAAGCTGGAATTGTTTCTATTCCTACTTGCTCAATTTATTTTAGCGAAAAGTTATGGAACTTGTTGAGTATGTAGTATTACATTTGAATCATGTTCCCTATAAAGAGCTTATTGCGCTAAGTGTTCTCCTGAAAACAGAGATACTGGATAACGGTTTTGGATGCTGTGTACTTTTTCTGCAGAGTGCTTTCAGGTGTATTTTAATCGTTGTTTTAGTAATAATAGGTTGGCTGCAAGCTTGACAGTAATAATTTTCCGTCTTTTTTGGTGTTATTTCTGCTAAATGTTCTCTTTGTTTAGAATATTATCTGCCAGTGCACTTCTAAAGGATGCTTTCCGTGAAGTTGGACTTGTTGAATCATTGACTTGGACGGTGTTGCATTTCATATCAACCGAAAAAAGTAACGTTTGATCTGTTCTATCATTTTCATGACAAAAATATATAATTTCAAAAACTATTTCATTTTACTGTGACCTTTTTTTTTTTTCAGTTCGACCCCTGTCTGAAAGTGAAGGACGAGTTGCTTTGTTGAGTACTGATATACTTTCTCTTCTTGTCAGCGGTAGTCTTGCTAATGCTTGTAAGTTGTTGGGGTAATTTATATACTTTCTTAGTATCTTAATGGAGGTATTGAAATTTAGGTATATTTCGTATTGAAATTTAGGTATATTTCGTAAGTTGCTAAATTTAGGTGCATTCCGTGAAAGTGCTGGTTCAAAGGTAATCATCGATCTTATTTCTAGCAACAATGATGAATGGAGAGCTTCTGCATTACAGGTAATTTTGCTTCATTACCTATGTTGTTGGCTGCAATTTTTAACTGTTAACTATTTCTTCCCGCTGCATATTTCCTTCGTATTTTAATTGCAGCTCATGAAGCAGCTTCTAATATCCGGTCAAAGTGAAGAACAGCTTACAGCTGTGCTCGTCGTACTTCATACTCCGACATTTAATAATATGCCTTTGAAAGCAATTTTGTTGAAGGTATATGATTGTTGAAGACAATTTTTTTGTCACTGAAACAGACGATTTGAAATTAAAAGTTTTCCGCATTCTATTTCAGTCTCTTCTTTGTGCTTTACGTGAAAGTCATAAAGTGCGTTTAATGTTTCGACGCAACGGTGGATACTTGTGTCTGATGTCTCTTTTGATCAGTCTCGAGGGGAAACTAAGCTGTAGTGCGGATGAAATGATTTCGGAAGTGTCTCTTGCTGAAATTGTCAGCCTTCTGAGGTTTACAGAAATCATTTTCAAAGTGCTGGCAATAAGCATGCGGTATGAGCCATCCAATTCAAAATATTTTTCTCATGAGGTAATTTTTTTTTGTTTTATTCATATATTTTTTTCTACAAATTGTTTTTTTTTTTTCATGTTTTACAAATGTGATTGCTTAGTTTCCATAATAAATTTAGGTGACGTGGGATAATTTGTGTCTTGCTTTACGGGTCAGTGGAGCTTTTACAAAGGATGTCGAGAAAATCGACGCAGAGCATGTAATATGGCAAGCTGAGCCATCAAAAATTCAAAGCAAGGTTGATGCATGTCACAGAATCTTCGATTTCAATGAATGTTTTAATATCAGGTTCGTGTTTTGGATTTTAGTTCGGAAAAGTTTAGTTTTTTGCGACAAAAATTGAAATGTAGATTTCTTATAGTTGCATGCCATCTGATAAAATTCCGACATCAATATTCATTGCTTTGTCGATGCTGCGGTTTTTGGTCAGTTTAGCTCTTGACAGTTACGAAAAGTAAGTTGTACTCACCTGTATAAAAATTTGTTTTAAAAATGGTAAAACTGGAGAATTATGAATCCTGTTTTTGGTCAAATTAATATAGCATTTCGTTCTTACCTGGATAGAAGGCGTTATAATTTAGGCCTGAGGCAGTTTGGCCATCAAGTTTGGGTTCGGGAGCTGGAGATCAGTGTGCATCCCTTACATCCTGGACAGCACGTACACTCGTCCATCCTGGTGCACTAATTTCAGTGTTACATCTCCTTCCTGCAATACAATCATCTGCATATCAGGTTAGCTCCTGATTATTTGCTTAAAGTTCTGCCAGTTAACGCATAATTATCACTCTGAATGTGAATTCTCAATGTCAGCTTCTAATGAATGTGATAATCGATAAGAAGTATCAACTTTACTTTTTTCTTTCATAAACATATGAAAACTCTGTCAAATTTAGTATGTTTAGTTTGAATCTGTGAGCCTAACAACTTTTCCTGTCATTTTAGTGGACCGCTGCAGCTCAGTATTACTGTGCTATTCTTATCAAGGCACTTTTGCGGCCGGAAAAAAACCAGCAAATTATGTGCCAGTCAAACATGGCACACAGCATTTTGAAAATTGGCGTTAATGTTTTCAAGAGCGAAAAACACCTCATGCTTGCACCATTTTATTACATCCTGGAACGACTTTCATCACATGCGATAACTCCGTCTGATTTAAGGTTAATCTCATTCTCGAAGTCATCTATAGATTCTCACTTATTTCTTATCACTAGTGTTCCAATTGATTGAAGGTTCCCGAACCATCTTCAATTTTTTTCGCCTTTTAAAATTTTAAATCTAGAAATGTGTATGATCAGAACATAATTTTTACGAATTAGGAACTTTTTTATGACACTTCGCTACAGGTCCTTCTTGCGTCTTGATATGCCGCTATGTTGTCGAAATTTAGATGAGACGAAGGATGAAGAACCAATGACAGAGAATGAAGGTAGTCCTATTCCTATCGCAAGGCAAGTCCTTCTTTTATCTTTTTGACGAACGGTTTGCTATGTGCAGTATTGAAAATTGTTTCTTTAAAAAAAGAATTTTCTTAACGACGCTTATTAGAAAATGTAAGGAATGATTAATAACTGTTAAAATGATTTTGATATGCTTTTGTTTCATAGTTTTAGGGTGAAAGCGCTGGTTTCAATGATGACACCGCGTGACCATCGAATTGCTCAAAATCCATCGTTTGTGGAATTCGATATGGCACCTGAAGGTTTCGCTTGTCTTTTAATTCCTTCTCTTGCACCACTTTCAACAGATTTTGGAATTGGACATGGTGAACGGATATTTCCTCCTTTAAATGGTTTAACAATAATGATGTGAGTAATTTATTACATCATAAGGTTTGTCTTATGGTTCAGAAAACCTTGTAAAATTTTTAAGGTTCTACGTCATTTCTTCCACAAATTATTTTTACTGCAGTAAGTCTAATACTTTTTCTTCCTAAATTTCGTGACAAGACGCCCAACAAAGCAATTACTTTAGGTGGCTTTGCGTGGAACAGTTCAGTGATAAAAGAATCGATCCGCATCCTATACGCTTACTCACAATTTATCGTTCATTTAATTCTTCAAAAAAAGACGATAGCTTAAAGCAAAATCCTTCACTTGTTTGCCTTTCGGTGCAGGTACTGTTTCGTTAACCGTCTTTAGCTTTGTGAAGTATTCATTGTTTGATCCACAGCTCGAAATTATAAAACCAATTTCAACTAGTGAAAATGTTTCGATTTTCTACTTCTCACAAATTTATTGTAGCTGAGTTCTATCGATCATTCACTCCTGATTTGTACCGCCGAAAGCGAAACTACGGGTAATGATCTTGAAAAAGAGCGGAATATTTCGGATGAAAATCTTATTCGTATTGCATTAGGAGATTCTGTATACATTGGACAGTGGACCCATATCGCTGTGGTACTAACCAGATCTGTTCTGAAACATAGCCAGGTAACTGGCTTAGCTGTTGCTCTGATTGATTAACTTTTTTGGAATTCCTACATTCACCTCAGTACTGTTAACTTCATATGAATTTCATCTTTTATGAATTTTCCATTTCTATAGGCGGCTGTTTACATTAATGGTCGGATGGAAGGCATTTACAGACTACATTACATCATGCAGAATGTTGGGGGTGGTACGGCTCATTTGTCTTGTGCCAGTGGAGTCCATGCTGTTATTGGCACACCACCAGCTTATCGATCACCAAGCAGGTAAATATTTTTTTTGCAAATTAATCGTCAGTTCTTACTTATTAATTTGAAGCAAGAGCTTTTATAGTGATGAAACTTTGAGGTTCATCGAAATCTTAAAGTTTTTTTTTTTTGCAGGCTTTGTTTCAAAATTGCTACTTTTGTCATAGTCGAAGAACCACTAGGTCCAGAAGCATTAGCGCGAATATATGATTTGGAACCTCATTACATTGGAAATTTTCAAGTACGCTTATCTGAAATTAAATTCCATTATATCTTTTATGGTGTTCTTTAATTTAATGAATATTACAGACTGTATCCGGAGATACCGCTCTCATTGCGGAGGAGCGCATTTGTTTATCTTTATCGGCGGTGGCTAATAAGGAATTAAGTGCTTCACGAATTGCTTCATTATATAGCAAAGCAGATAGTGCATTCATTGCACGTTATGTATGTTTGCTTAAAATGTTTAAATAATAATGTATTGAATACAATGTATGCTGTCTTCAAAAGGAGCCATCTACCACATAATTTTTTAGGTTGGTGTTTCAATACATGATAGAAGCACTCCATTAAGGGTTCTTCTCAATACGGTAACACACACATCGGGGCCAGCACGATCCTTCGGAGCAGTACTTCTTGGATATGTTGGTATGCCTTTCTTATTTTTTCCTTTTTTGATTATTATTTGTTCATGTGAATATATTTTGGAAAAATAAATTAGTACAATATCATTGCTGACTGTTTTACGTATGTCATGTTTTTTAGGAATGCGGTTGTTTACACCATATCCTGTAACTCGATTGTTGGACTGTGTCGGAGGTGTGTCTTGTCTTTTTGGTCTCGTAGCAATGGCAACAACATCTCAGGAATTGTATGCATCATTGAAAGCCCTGAATACTGCTGTAAAGACGGACAAAATTATATCAAGGCACCTGATTAATACTAGATCTTACCAGGTGAGCTTTTTTCATCATTATTTTTTCAGTTATATAAAATTATTTGAACTTTTAGATCCTTGCGATGCTTCTAGAAGGAAAAACCGAGCTTCTGAATTCACATATTCTCCACTTAATTTTGTCATTGGTTGGCACGTTGGATACCAGCAAAGACACATCTGTTATCCCAAATCTTTCGGTTTTTGAAGATATGTTATGCGATTTGGATGTTTGGAAAGATGCTAGCCCCGACCTCAACAGACTACTTTATGAACATTTCTATGAATTAATTACAGAGTAAGTTAAAATTTATCTCCTCAGAACATTGTTTTTTTTTTTTTTTTTTTCAGGAGCACTGAATTCTTTTTGTTTACTATACACAAGCTAAAAAATAACGAACAGTTATTTCAGTCATAACAGTGATAACTTGAATATGGTACGCCGTAGCTCATTACCATCCCGTCTTCTTATTCGATTGTTTGATCATCCGAATCTTATTTTTGCTGTTAACGATATTGTCTTCAATCTTCTTGCTGCACTTTTGCAGCCTCCTGCGGATAATTTATTGTTACTAAAGTGATTTTTAAACTTTTCAACAGCATTCTCTTGCATTCACTTAAAAGAGAATGTTAAGATCAAGACTACCCACTTGTTGACAACCATATCTTTTTAATGAACGGCAGTATTTTAAACTGCTGTGATTTATTACCGGACCTGCAATCTGTTTACATGTGACAGAAATTAAATGCTTTCATTCATTGGACTGGATTTTAATGGTTCATTGATTTTGAAGTTTTTTATAAACTTTGCATTCTGTAATGCAGTTTCGACATTTTATAGAGTTGGTCAGCTGATAGCTGGAACTCTTCCAGTGCCAGATTCGTACCAGGACGAAACTTCATACGCATTCTCGATAGCTGATATACAAACAGCTTTGTTTGCGAATAAATATTCGCCACATTTTGATCGTTTGCTTTATGACATTTATGTGCGCAGTCGTATTCTCAACATAATAGCAAATACTTTGGCTCATTCAAGTGTAAACAACAATTTACTGTTAGTTATGCTTTACTGATGTTACTTCGGACAAATTTTAGACAACGTATTTCATAATTGGACAGCTTTTTTATTGACTAGTTAGTTATCTTAAGCTGATTATTTCTTAGGGCTGGTTGATCTAGGGTTCGATATATAAAAAACATAGCTCGAAGTTTATCTTTCTGTACGCGACTTGACAAGAATATATTCTTTTCACACTTTGCTGTTCAGATTATGTGACCTAGTCGTAAAAACACTTGGTTTCGATTGGGTGTTGGCTCTTTTCACATCAGGTGTCCACTGTACAACTGTTGTGCTTGGTCTACGTATTCTTCTTGCCTTGTTGAAACACGACCATTTGATGCAGAAATTCAGAGAAGGCTCAGCAAATGGTGGTTGGTTAACAGATGCAGACTCATTTGTTCGCAACAGAGCTGCGGTAATTTTTTATCGTATTTGTCGAAATTGATTCTGTGAAATGTATCTATCGATGTTTGCGTGCATTTGTCGGATATTTATGGAATTTTAAAACAATTGGCGGTAGATGATAGGACACATTTTCATTGTTTCGTTTCTTTTATTACAGATTCTTAATGTTTTAGGTTTTACTTGGTTTCTCAGTATCAGCTTATGGAGGTAACGTGGGAGCCCATGTTGACATCAATCCAGAACTCTCTGAATGCAGTGGTTTTATAATGTTGGAACACTTGCTTCATTATCACTACGAAAAACCGCAATGCTATTTAGCGATGTTGGCATTATTAGTTGGCCAGCCAGTGTCAAGCATCACTCTTGTGGATAATTTTTCTCTTGATCTCATTTGGTCCCATGTTTTTGGTCTTTCTTTATCAAGGTTATTCATTTTTGAAATCCTTTGTCTTTTCATCGAATTGTTGGATGTTTCCAATTTTAGTTCAAATCTTAAAAATATTTCTTTGAAGTTCTGTATCAGAGGCCGTTTCTGGTATAGAAGTCTGTTGTGAGGCAGTTATACCCTTACTGTCGATGGTTAGAGCTGCAGTTCATGCCACCGTACGTTTCAGTGTTTGTTTTGTTTAATTTAGTTATCTTGTTTATAGGCATACTTTCGAGAATATCTTTCCAAGAAGTAGGTATTTTTAGTTTCATGTTATCACTATTATCAAGAAATATATTTAGGTTGAGTCACCACACAATGATAATAGATTGGTATATTCTTCTACGGTGATTCAAATGTTTACTTTCTTATACCAGAACTGTCCCAACTTCTGTAATCTCTGCCACACAGAGGAGTTCATAACTTACCTGTTTTGTGTTCTTGTACCTCTGGATGTCATGGAATCAAGTACAATCAGAGATGAAAATTCGCTCTCGCCACCGTCCTACGACATGCATGCTGGTATGAGTTTTTATTTTAATATTTTCACATAAACAAAATATATTTTATGAAACCTCTTTTTGTTTTTTATATGGTCTTTTAGTCCTTGAAGAAACTTGCTGTCGAAGTATTTTGGATTTAATTAAGCGGATTTTATATGAAGATATATATCGGAGTCATGGTGCCAAACCGGATTCTTTATTAGATGCATTAATCGAGGTATCCATAAACCTTTCGTTCTGTAGAAATTGAAATAATTTTTGTTGGTTTCTTTTAACAAGTGAGAAATGAAGGTTATTTATTTGCTAATTCATTTGTTCTTTCCACTATTTACAGAACATTCCTGAGTACGGCTATTCCCGTCGATTTTGTACTTTTGTGCTTTCCGAAAACTTATCTTTGTGCATGGAGTACATGATTGCTACTGGTGAGTTTTTGAATGATTTATTAATGCAAAATTAGATGCTCATTAACTTAATTCACTCTGTCTATTTTCAGATGTTTTGCTGGAATCTGAGAAAACAAGCACGGCAGCAACTTGTGGTACATCGACTGCAACTTCTGCTGTTTTACTTGCAAATTTTGCTTATTTTGCTTCCAGAATTGTTGACTGTGTTTGGAGTGGTAAGTGTCAAGAAATTTCTACTGACATTCTATTTCCAGATTGCTTTTCTTTCGAATTGCAGATTTGTTTGAAATTCAAGACTGACTAAAATATTCAAGTAGGCAAATTTATAGGAATTTACGTTGGGGAAACAAGTCGTGTTCTTAGTTTCTTGTTGAAAGGACTTGCTCTTACTCGACGTAACGACCCGAAATCAGTTTCCTATGATTCGCTTATGCACTCACTTGACCGGACCATTTTATTTCTCTTGAGTAGGCCTATCGACAATGCTACCGGTATGTTGCAGCTACTGTTGTCTAAACAGGATTAAGACTTTGTACATTATATTAATAGTGAAGTCGTTAATAATTATCGCACGAAATTGTTTAGCCTTCATAGTCCAGTTTTCGTCTTGTTTCCACGTTTCTAGTCTATTGTTTCTTTCGAATATCATTTGTTATTTAGGTCAAAAGTTAGAAAAACGTTTGCACTTTCCTACGGTATTAAGTATTCCAAAAACTTTTTTCGCTGCTATTACTGGTGAGTTGCAGTACAAATGTCGATTTTGAATACGCTGTCGGAAATCATTCTGTATCGTAACGTTATATTGTCTCCAACACATAATGACCCTTTGTTTTTCGGTTCCCTTACCCATCTTTTATTTATGCTTTCCGTCACACCGGACATTCTTCCAAGAAAGGAAGGATTATCGAATCTTGATCGTGGAAGTGCTCAGGTGAGCTTCTTGTGAAAGCATTTTCACTCCTAAAACATTTTCTTTTTAAAGTGTTTGTGTATTTTTGTATACATTTAGGGGGTTTTATTTTAGGTTGCTTTGTGTGCTTCACAGGTTTGGAAAGAGGTTTGTGCAATGAAACGAAATCTTCTAGAAGAAGTTTTTCGGAGTGGTTTCGTTGCAGAATTAAATGCAGCACGTGCCTTATTATCGCATGCTGCCAGTCTCCAGTGGTTATCATTTGTTGATTCGCAAATGAATTCTTGTGCGCCCAAAAGTGCCATGCAATTTCAACAACAACTACAGTCGGTGGGTAGTTGTAAGCATTGTTAAGTTGAAAATGTCTGGGTTTAAACTTATGTAAAATTTTGGATTTGACTTGTACTGTCCTTGATAATTTCATTTTTAAGAGAATCACGAAAGTTGCTACTGGTTTACAACGTTTGGCAATTCGCAAAACACTGAGCACTTCGAGTTCAGTCTGCAGCTTTACATTCTCACGACAGCCAAATGTCACTACGGAGGTCAGCTCGGAAAATATGCGTTAATAATTCCTACGGTTATGATTGAATTTAATTTCCAGTTCAAATGGTGATGTATACATTTTTTTTTATGGACGATTTTGCAGGTAGTTCAAATGTGGCTGCGTGTACATATATCGTTAATCAAAGAACTTGTTCGCACGCAGTGTCTATGCTATCATGAATGGCATTCACATGTGCAGAAGTGGTGCATGCAGGACTGGCGTTCTCTTGAAATGGAATTGATAAGGTAATATACAGGAACTCTACCAAATTTCTGGAATATCCAGGTCTTTCTTTGTTCGCTCAGACGGGAACATAAAAAAATCGATTTCTTCCAGGGAACGTGGGATTTGGGGAGCAGAACTCAGTTCTTCTCTAGACAAGTATATGTTAGATATGACTGAAGGACCTTGTCGCATACGACGAAAGTTGATTCCAAATCCAACTTTCTATCATCATTATCCCTATCGTCCATATCTTGATTCTCCTGAAGCGGTGATTTTTTCATTTTTTTTTTTTTCTTTTTGTTTTCAGTCCTAGCGTTTTATAAGTGGTTAACACATTTTTTTTTTAGTTTAAAATTTGGAACTCTGAATCAAAAAAGAAACATCACATTATATTTGTTAGGATTTGGGTATCTGTAATAATATCATTGGATGCACTGTTGTTGTTGTTTTTTCTTTTTTTTTTTAAAAAATTCTTTTGTGCAGAAAGCTATGCGTGCCAAAGTAGCGGTATCAAAAGACAGTAAACTGTATTATGAAGCTATAAAGCAACGGCGTGGGAAAGTACCGGAACAAAGAATTGTCGATTTGTCATCAACAGTTTATACCACATCTGAAGAATGCTCAGATCTGCTTTTTACTGACATGCAAGGTTTCTGGGATTTTTTTTATATAAGTGAAGAATAGTTACTATTTGAATTAAAGCTTGTATTTAATAGTACCTCCTTCATTTAATTAGTTTTCGCTTATTGGGAGTGCGAAAACATCTTTTTCTTATTGAATTGCTAACAGATGCGTAGTTCTGTCACATCTAGTTTTTATCAGACTCCTCTGACACGTAAAATGGGATTTGGAAGATTGTTTTACCTATTAGAGATCAGTACGTCAATGATTCGTCGCGTATCGATCAAGCATGATCTGAGTAAAGACAATGATGAAACGGAATGTGTTGTAAATGAGAAAGATGTGAACGAAGCGGACGAGGGAAATGTTGAAGAAAATGGTGTAGATGAGGAAGATAGTAATACTGAGCGACAGCAGGCAAGAAATGAACAGAAAAACGGTATTCAAGAAAATGAATTAATATCTTTTAAACTAAAAGATGGAGGCATGGAACGGAAAAGAGGACCCGATAATCAAACATTGCTGAGACTGCTGGAGCAGGTATTTGAAATTCAATGAATCTTATAACTTATGATTTACTTTTCGGGACTTTCTCTTCTATTCGTATGCAATGTTTTTTCATGAAACCTCCTGTACTTGAAATAATGCTCTGCTTCATTATTTGCTGCTAGCAATGATTCGTCAGTTTACCTTTTCACAGGGTGAACTACTGCATTCCATGTTCCGTTGTGCACGTGTGCAGGGTTTGGATACAAGCGAAGGTCTGTTACTTTTCGGAAGACAACATTACTATGTTGTTGATGGTTTCACACTTCTGAAAACAAAGGAAATCAGAGATTTGGATTTTTTACCACAGGAGTAAGCTTTTGGAATTTGAGAATTTAGTTTTATTCTAAAAGATCATTTCTGGCTAACGTTTTTTTGTATCTTTATTACATCTTCTGTATCTTTCTGAGCTTTTCCTACTTTAATGAGTTCGTAAATTTAGATTGCATGATCCAATTGTACCATACATGGCCTGTGGCACAAGCCATCCTGTGCGACGCACTAGACTATGCAGTAAATTTTCATACAATGATATTCGTGAAGTTCATCGACGTCGCTATCTTTTGCAACCGATTGCTATCGAAGTATTCTCAGCAGACGGTCGTAATTATCTACTGGCTTTCCCGAGACGTATGCGTAATCGAGTTTACCAGAAGTTCGTCATTTGGATATCTTCTATCCATTCACGAAGATTTTTGTTAATGTGAATGCTGCATTTATGCGTTGAAATAGCTCAAACAAACTTCGCTTTATTTTGTGCGTGAAAACTAAAAGTATGCAGTAGTTGATTTAGAGTTTCAATGACTAACGGTTGCAAATAATAACTTATTTGTGAAAAATGTAAATGATTAACAAGGAAATGTTTCTTTGCTGAAAAGTCGAAATTTTTCTAAAATCCTGCTGCTTTAGTTTTTTGTTCTCTTCTGTAATATGTGCACAGAACCAGTTTATTTTTTTCTTTTACATTTAGATTTTTATCGTTAGCAAGATTACTGAAAGACAGTGGGTCCGAATCTGTAGGAGGACAAAGGTCAACTGCACCAGTGGAGCAAACAAGTCGTGTTTCGCTATTGACTTCATTAATAGGTATCTTATTAATGCATTTGACTCGTTTGAATGGAAAACTTCGTATTAGTAGAATTCGATATAGTGATAATCTTGGTGTTGACGTTAGAACTGGGACTGTGTTTTTATTTCATTTTAGGACAGCAGTCTGTCACACACCGATGGGTACGAGGGGAAATCAGTAATTTCCAGTATCTGATGCATTTGAATACTTTAGCTGGTCGGTCTTATAATGATCTTTCTCAATATCCGGTTTTTCCTTGGATATTACGAGATTATGAATCGGAGGTGATCTTTCCTCGTTTAAGTAATCTTGTAAATGACGGATTTAGTAAGATGTTTTCACACTTATTCTCTTTATAACTTTTACATTTTTTTGTAGGATCTAGATCTGACAGACCCACGTTTCTTTCGTGATTTGAGTAAACCAATGGGAGCACAGAATCCAGAACGTTTGGAGCAATTCCTGAAAAGATACAGGGAATGGGATGATCCAACTGGTGAAACGCCCGCATACATGTATGGTACACACTACAGCAGTGCTATGATCGTTGTTTCTTATCTTGTACGTCTGGAACCTTTCACACAGCACTTTTTGAAGCTTCAGGTATTCTTTTCTGTTCTCATGCCTGTGTTAATAATTTTTGATGGGAAGTTTCCATTAACATGAAAAGCTTTTACACTATTATCAGCACAGCGTTTCGTTAACAAAATGAAATTTGTAGGGTGGCCATTTCGATTTGGCTGATCGAATGTTTCACAGTGTCGGTGATGCCTGGCTCAGTGCAAGTCGTAATAATATGGCAGACGTAAAAGAGTTAATTCCAGAATTTTTTTCTCTTCCTGAAATGTTTGTTAACTCAAATCATTTCGACTTTGGTGTCAAACAGAATGGTGTAGCACTGAATGATGTCGTACTTCCAGCTTGGGCAAAAGATGATGCCAGAGAATTCGTACGTATGCATCGACAGGTAATTTCTTGTTTTAGTGGAGAAGTCATTTTATTCGTTTTGGTATTTCTGGTTTGATTACAGAATTGCAAAATGCTGGAGTTTCCAGAAATTCTATTTTTACGCCCGTTCATAATTCTCCAGGCACTGGAATGTGACTACGTATCAGCAAATTTGCACAACTGGATAGATTTGATTTTCGGATATAAGCAGCGCGGAGATGCTGCAACTGAAGCGAATAATGTTTATCATCATCTTTTTTATGAAGGAAATGTTGATTTTGATAGTATTGAAGACCCACTAACAAGGTATGAATGAGCCAATGAATTGTTTAGTCCAGGTTCTACATTTGCCGGTTTTAAATGACTAAAGCCATATGCAATAATGTATCTGTTGAGTTTGCAGTAAATGGAAGGCAAGCAATTTATTGCAACTATTCGTAAATATATTGAATATTCTGATTTTTTTATTCTAATTTTAGAAACGCAACTATTGGATTTATCAATAATTTTGGACAGATTCCATCGCAGCTGTTTAAAAAACCGCACCCACAGAAAAAAGTAGCATACACAGATGTTTATTCATCATTCCCTGGCGTTACAACACAGCGACTTTTTTACCACTCTTTTGATTCACTGAAAGTACCAGCTCAGCCAGTAAAAGGTGGTTTTATTTCTCGGAGAATTGAAATGCTCAACATGAAGTTTTAGTCCACTGATTTGTTAGACTTTTCAGAGTTAAAATCTACTGTTGGAAGCTTAATTCCACTCGAGAAAGGTGGAATACTTGCTTTGGAAACAAATCGTGCACTACTGTCACCGAATCGTTATATATCCTGGGGTTTTCCTGATAGAAGTATAAGAATTGGTGCTGTTGACAGTGAACGGGTGATTTTTATGTCAGATTAAATCTATAAAGATGTGAAGACTCTGCTTCAAACTAAGATATTTATGTTTCGACGGTGTTAGGAAAATGAAGTTTTTATTGTAGTTTATATTTGAATGGCAATAACAGCACAAAAATTTTTCTAGTCAACCTGTATTCATGAACTCTGTGAAAGTTCTGAAATTACTTGCTGTGTATGTGGTGATTCACGAACAATTTTCACCGGTTCGAGTACAGGTAAAGTTTCTGTCTGGGATCTGACCGAACGACATCCTCGCATTCGCTTTCGTCGCACATTAACAGCACATACAGAGGCAATCACTGCACTTGCTGTTTGTTCAGCACAAACCTTGCTTGTGAGTGGTAGCCGCGATGGCACTGCTATTGTATGGCATTTAAGTGCATTAACATTCATTCGGCAGTTGCGACCACACCCATCTGCAGTGACTGCTATTGCTATCAATGATGCAACGGTTAGTTTCAGAAATTAAATCTGTCTAAAATTTACGAAGTAAATCATATGAAACGACCAAAATTCATACACGACTTGAATTGCAGGGGGACATAGCTACTGCATCAGGATCCACGCTGTTCCTGTGGTCAATCAATGGACGACCTCTTTCTGTAGTTGATAGTGTTGACAAAGCTTCGTTTGATCAATTTCCTAATGTCATTTTATCACTGGCGTTTTCTACGGTAGTTCATAATCTTTCAGTTGTCATTCGCAACAGTAGCTATAATGTATTTTACGTTTGGTATATAACTATTTTCAGCTGTATGAATGGGATCCAGAAAATGTGGTTATGTGTGGTGGTAGTGATGGTACTGTGCGAATATACTGTATGGAATTTGTGAGAAATGAGGATGACTTAAATCCAAGAGAAAGCCGATTACCAACGTATGTTCAGATTTTTCTAAAAATTCAGTTTTTCAATTTAAAGTTTGTTCCCTGCGAGACTTCATGATTTTTCGTTTCTCAGGTTTTTACTGACTCCTATTAAAAACGTTTAAGAACATTGCAAATGAGTATAAACAGCGCTGTTGCTCTGCAACAACGGCTTGAACGACAACGACAACGCTTACAGTTTTTATCGTCAACAACTTCATCGGACACTCCTTCTGCTGGAAGTCAAAATGGTTCACCAGAATCAATTTTCTATCCTTCTATTGATTTATACACCGATGAAAAGTTGGATTGTAGCTGGGTTAATTCAAGTGTTAGTAATTTTTAATATTCCCCTCTTTTAAGAAATTTTATTTGTTTGTTAGGAATATGAGTAAAACTTTGTTAAAGAAATGGCAAGAAGATGGAAGTGTGTATTCGGAAAAGTCGATTTGGAAGAAATTGTTGGTACCGAAGTTTTCATTGACGACTCATACAGCTTTTAACCGTAAGGATAATCCACATCCTGCCTCAATTACAGCCATCGCACCGTCGAGGTTTGTAAAAGTGATTTCATACTTTTTTTAATTTAAAATTTGTATTTGTTTGAGGGATTTCAGAGATCATCGAACTTTATACGTTGGAGATAGTGTTGGTCGCGTTTGGAGCTGGCAGATTGGTGATGAAGTTGGTACACGCGCAGACCACTGGGTACAAGACCCAAGTAGAAGTACTTGTACACAATGCATGCAAAAGTTCTCGCTTGCCGAAAGGCGACATCACTGTCGAAATTGTGGACATATCTTTTGCAGTCGGTAAGTCATTTCTTCTTTTGTTGGAAACTTTATGTATTTTTAAGCAAGGAATAAATTATTTTTATCTAATTTTTGGTAAGGATATGAAAAATTGCTTCCAAATCATTGACGTTCTTGTATGGTCCGAAGTCTTTCTTTAAAACCTGTAGTCCACTTCAGGTGTAGTCGATTTGAAACCGACATAAAACACATGAAAATTTCAAAGCCAGTGCGTGTTTGCCAGAGTTGCTTTCTGCGCCTAAAGGCAGAAGGGGTTTCCTGAAAAGGAAGAGACATGAAAAAGAAAGGACTTCCTCCTGTTTCTCTGCTCCTGTTGGCATGTTGTAACTTATTATTACCAGCTTATTTAAAATATTTTTAATAAGTAGCAGTTTTCTAAGGATATTCTCTTCGATCTCAGTCTTATAATCCGTTTGGTGTAATTTTGTGGTTTAATCCTTTATTTCCATTTTTACCAACGTTCTTTGCATAATAAACTGATTTGACTGTAAAACTGTTACAAATAACTGGTTCATCCAAGATGATACCTACAATAGTATCCGGAATGTTAAGCTAGAAGCAAAATGTATATTAATACTGGTATGAAGAGAGAGAGAGTGTGTGTGCTAGTCATATTAATTTAAATTTGTGCTTTGCTGCATAACTTAATAAACTATAAAGTTAATATTTTTTTTAAATAGGTACATTAGGTTACTTCTGGTTCATTTAGTTTATGCAATATCACAGCATTGTGTGTGTGTATGTGTGTTGTGTGATAGAGGATAAGAAAAGTATGTATGTTCATGTTAGCATCTGTTCTAGATTGAAGAAATTCTTCATGCTTATATGGTTTTATTTTATACTGTAATGTGATAGTAATGGCACCTAGATCTGTTATCGTTTTTGTACTGTGTCTGTTTCTGATGTTGGTTGCTAGCTGCTCTGCTTCGTCTTCAAATAAATCTGGTTCAAATTCAGTTATAAAGGTGGAAGTTTAGGTTAAGAAATTGGGAGCTGAGGGCGGATGAGCTTTTCGAAGATAAATTTCTGGGGCGTCATTCTTCATTTTCAATACAGCATCATTCCTCGTTGTCAGGTTGCTTTCCAATATTGGGTATAATTTGACGGCGTGTGGAAATATGCAGATTTTTTCAAGAAAGCCGCGTCTTTTCCAGTTGAGTTTCGAACAATTTGTATGATCATACTCATAACAGCGAACTCCAATATACTAAAACGCTACGTAAGACTTGAAATCCCACTGACGACGGGTAGCTGAAAGATCGAGTTGGACAAGTAGAGCGAAGTAAAAAATTGCTCTAGGATTTCCCATCGTTCGTTTATTAGTGCACACCCGTGGAGCTTTTTTTATAAATTACCACTGGGACTTTGCAATGGTTAGTGGATGAGGTCGGGGTGAGAGTGGTGCTTGTGAACTGTGTAAAAGGCTGAGGTGGGATGGGAATTTTCATAAAATTCCAGAGATGTGCTGTAAGGCTACCGTTGTTCGCTGGATGTCATACCTTGGTGATGTTTGTAGCAGGGATAATGGTGGGACCGTTAGAAATTGCTTCGTATTGCTCGTTTTAGCATACATGCTCGAGCAGAAAAGTGTAGTATGTTTGTTTTATCGAAAACGGTCGGTTAGCAGCGTGACTAGAGTAGAAATCAGTAGTCATCATCCGCTCTGCACTTTACGCTTTTTCACTTATTTATCCATTTCAAAATTTAGTTATTTCGTTTGAAGCTGTTGAAGACGTGCAGAAGTTGTCAGCTGTAATGGCACTGAAACGGATTCAGAAAGTAAGTCAAAAGAAGATTTCAAGATTTTATGACTTTGCGATATGAATAGAGAATAAATCCTTTGCTATTTGGTTCATTCCTTGCGATCTATTCTCTTTAATATCACAGTAGGATTATACTTTAATTATTGTAGGAATTGCAAGATCTGGGCAGAGATCCACCGGCGCAGTGTAGTGCAGGACCAGTTGGTGATGATCTTTTTCACTGGCAGGCTACTATAATGGGTCCACCAGAATCGCCATATCAGGGTGGTGTGTTTTTCCTGACAATTCACTTTCCAACGGATTATCCATTCAAGCCACCAAAGGTAAGAACATATCAGAAAGCTTAGATTTTTATTTGTTTTTCAGCCACTTGGCATAATAAAAGTATAAGGAAACCCAATTAGTTTATCACTTTGGTGAATTTTCTTAAGAAGAGAAAATGCAAAACAAGTATTACTGTAAGGCATGCGTCTTCGTATCGTTCTTTTGACTGTTTTGCTTCTTGAAGTTATATGAAATTACGTCTTTGTCGAAATGCGGGGAAACATCATGGACGAAAGAAACGGATAAACGGAAAGATTATATCCTTTTTTTATAATCGAACTGCTTTACCTATTCTTTGAGCGGCTATTTGATGGAATTTTTGAGAGTGATTTTGATTCCATTTGCATGTTTTTTTGCAGGTAGCGTTTACAACTCGCATTTATCACCCCAATATCAACAGTAATGGTAGTATCTGTTTAGATATTTTGCGTTCTCAATGGTCACCTGCTCTCACAATTTCAAAAGGTATTACTTTTTTGGAACATTTTCACTCGCACACATGAACTAAGTACGCCTATCTTATTCGTTTCTCTGACTTAAGTAGTTCTGGTAATAAATGCAGTAAATTGTTGCAATAGAAGTAGAGAAAATACTTCACTCCATCCTCCCAAAATCAATGCTCCTAATTTGATGTCTAGCCCGAGTGCAGGGTTTATTTCAGTTATTTGATCAAGAGAATATTGGATTATAACCTATGAGAGCTATGCCGTACGGTTTAGTCAATTAAGTTGTCATTTCTACATATTAACATTGTAACAGCGTTAAATGTTTCGTAGGGCTTTGACATAATTAAAATCTTATGTTATGCAGTTGCAGTATTGTTGTCAATCTGCTCATTGTTGTGTGATCCGAATCCTGATGATCCACTGGTGCCTGAAATTGCACGCATTTACAAAACAGATCGAGAACGGTACAATCAACTAGCTCGTGAATGGACCCAAAAATACGCAATGTGATAAATTAGGACTTATATATGAGCTGCAGGTTGATGCGTTATGTTGCCTTACTGAGTAAGGTGATGCATCTGCATGCGTTCTCTAAATAAAAGGCATCCTAACTGTTACATTAATCAATTGAACAATTTCGCAATTTTTAGATTTCATGTTTGTTAGAAATCTTATTTGCCTTTAAAATTTTTGAAAATTAAGTAGGTTGGTTCGATGAAGATGTCGTTTTATTTTATCGCTTTTCCTGAACTTTTGAAACAGTGTATATCTACACCTTCCTTTCCTTGCAGCACTATTTTATTGTTATAGACATATTTGTGAGCGCTGTGCATAGCAAAAAAAAGGAAAAAAAATTTATTCTTCGTCAATGATCTGTACTGTGTAGTATGAAATCTCCTTTCTTCCTTTCACCTTTTATGCCGTTTCATATTTTCTTCATCTTGAATCATCCTGAACACATCCAGTTCAAGTGTTCTTTTTTGGAGTTTGTTGTTCATTCATTCTGTGAATTTCCGCGACTCTGCGCTCATTTTTTTTTTTTTTTTTTTTTTTTTGTTATGTAGCAATCTGTGCTGCGTGCAAATGTTACACACAAATTTAAATATTTACCCATTTGCATATAAAATTTTGGAAGGATAATTTACCTTCGTTTTTTTTTTTTTCACTTTCATATTTCGTTGTCAAGGACATAGCGTGGTATTTCTATTGCTTTAATTTGCCTTTTTCAAGTGAAGTGTGGTTTAGCAATCCTAAGTCCTACGAATTTAGCATTCAAGCCAAAGCTGAGTTCGATAGATCAGAAGCAGGGGAAAGCGATAAGTTATGGTCGATATGTAATGTCACCCAGTGAATTCAGCTGATCACATTGAGATACTTCAGGCTGCCGTGATCGTGAGTGGGGTACAGCACTTTTGCAAGTTAGTGCTTGCTAACTAGATGTCCACATGCGGTTATGTACGTTAGTGTATGGATCTTTTTTTTTTTTTTTTTGGAGGTATTTTGGTATTTATTTCCGTGCTCGCTGACTTCAGTTCTAGAAGTGTAGTTTCTTGTGCCCGTATTGGTTGACGTCGCTCGCAGTGGAACATATCATCGCCCGATGTTCGGAATATGGCAGAAAAAATTGAAGATGGTTTAGAAACCGATAAACAGGCAGTTGGAAGCAAATCATGTGTTTATTATGTAAATTTTCCTGGAGAAAAAATGGCGATTTAGGATTAGTGGATGATTGTATTACTAATAACTGAGTAGAAAGCTTTGTATGACAATATTGCAGGGAGGTTAAAACACATCTGGGATAAAGTCTGGGTTGGCTATTTTTTTTAATTTTATATACATGTATCTTGATTTTAAAATATGTCATTAATATTTAGTTGTTCAGATTAAGTGGGTAGATGTAGAGGGTGTTGAATACGCAGTCGTAATGCAAAATGAAAATGGGCCGTGTCCATTGTTAGCTGTTATCAACGTGCTCCTTTTGCGAGGTCATTTTTCAATACTTTGTAATTTCAGTTGAAGTCGCTTCCTGACTTAGTAATTAAAATAGGAAAAGTAAGGCTGAAATTTTATGGAATGGTTGAAAGAGCATGAAAATTAGACCACTGTTTCGTTGTTTTAAAATGAAATAAAATGTCGTCTTTAGTTTCAAATATTTACAGGACAGATTACCTTACCATGTGGTTCTACAGAAGTTAGTGAAAAGAAATTGTTACAGTTCGTTGCGGATTGTATACTTCGTCTCAAACCCAAGGTTAGCGCTGAAGTGATTTTATACTGTTTTTGCATAATTGTAATTAAATTATTAAGGCTGCTGTATGCAGTACTTTCACTTCAAAGAGGAATTTTTTAATGTCGCATGCACTGTGATAAATTATTTAGGAATATTAAAGAATTTGCGAAATTTTTGCATATAAATTAAAAAAAATTTTTTTTTTAAATTAATAATAATTAATAAAAGCATTTTAGTATCGACATCATATAATTTAATGAAATGAGTCTGTGTGTTTTGTTTCAGGACATCGATGAAGCCGAACTACCAAATTATGAACAGAATTTATCAGATGTACTCGCTTTAATACCTTCTTTGCCTAAGGGTCTCGATGTGAATATTCATTTTACTGGGTGTGGTGCCAGTTTTCTTGCGCAGTTTTACCTTGCACATTTTTACTTTCGATTTTTTCTTTTGCCTATGTGATTCAACATTCCTTGACCGTCTGTCATCATCTCTGTGTATTTCATTTCTTCTTTTCATTTTTGTGGTGGAATCTTTTACAAGAATTCCTAAGTGATTTATGGTAGGAATTCACGTAATCTGATATTTTCCAGAGTAAAAAGATTTGAATACACTCCAGCATGCGCATTGTTTGATATCTTGAATATACCACTAATGCACGGATGGATTATTGACAAAGCCGATCAGGAATTATGTGGGTTACATCTCATTTTGGATATTTCTTCGAAATAGAATAATTCTGTTTTCATACTATATTGATGATGATAAAATATAGGAAGTATTACAATCTTTGTTGTTTCATGCAGTACTCGTATCTAACAATTTTTTTAGTATTTTTATTTAATGATTCGCTCTTCGTGATGAACTAGAGGATTAGTTTGCGAAGAAAAGCATGTTTTTATAAGTAAGAGAGAGTTTGTATAAGTGAATGCGTTTATGAAAGGTAGTGATGGTGAGTAATAGATTTTGATAATTGATTTTTAGTTAGAAAATATCTAGTTTCATCCGCTCTCTTTTATCACTACGTTTTGTAGGTTTTACAGCTGCTTGTTATTGTGCTTCAAAAAAAAATTTTTTCAGTGAGATTGATAGATGGATTAAGTTACAATCGAATAGTGGAGAAAATTGTTAGTACAAACAATGAATCCGAAAATTATATGCTGAGAAATTTCCTAGATTCTAGTGCATCTCAATTGACAACGCAGGGAATTGCCGAACTTCTATCTAATCTTAACGATGGTGAAATTGCTGTGCTTTTTCGAAACAATCATTTCCAAACATTAGCAAAGCAAAAGGTTTATGGATATTCATATGCTGCGAAATTACATACATCCGATAATAATTCCTAGCTGTTATTGTGCCTCATTATTTGTTAGTGTCTGAGTGACTTACACGAACTGCATCTTAGTGTCTAACACAAATTGTTTGGATATCTTATTTTAGGATGCACTGTATGTTCTAGTTACTGATATGGGATTTCTGGGGGAATCTGCGGTTGTGTGGGAAACATTGGATTGTATTGATGGGAATTCTACCTTCGTCAATTCAGTTTTTAGCACATCATATAAATCGAGCATCCTTGCTAACGAGAGTGCTGAGTAAGTTCTAATTTTTTTAAACAATTGTTTGCTTCTTTAACGCCTGAGATTTTATTGTTTGATTTCTTTTTAATAATATTTGCAGGCGAGTTAAAAATTTGTTTGGCTAATATAAATTAGATTAAATAGCCTGTCATAATATCAAAATAGTTTTGGATCATAAAGTACTGGAATTTCAAATCTTCAAGGAATTATCTTTAAAGCTCAGACTTGTTGTTCCTTTCTGTCACTTATCTCAGTTCAGCACTTCTAAAAAGATCTTTTTTAGTTTCTTATTAGCTCTCTCCATACAAGAAGCTGAAAAAAAAAGTATGCAAAGTCGAAGCACGTAAGCATTTTTCCTTTTTCCGCTTCTTAAGTTGATTTTTTATTTAAGCATTTTTCCTTTTTCCGCTTCTTAAGTTGATTTTTTTTATTTTTTAATCTGTCTCTAACAGTACGTTTTGAAATTTCATGTTTTGCGAGTTTTTAAAATGAATTGATACTTGAAGCTGCCACTCTGATTGGTTGTGAGCTCCATATTTTGGAATTTGATGAATGTGCTTTGCTTGATATATTGTTTGTTTTCTTGCCTTTCTTTTGTAGGAATTATTTTTAGGCACATTAATGAAACAAGTACATCAGCTGAAGATCATTATGTGCAGCATGAACGAGTACGTGTATTACCTTCGTCAACACAAGCTATACGACCAAGCAAAAATTACAACGTTTGTTTATTTTAATTTTTTCTCTAGTCTACGGATTCATTACTTCGATGGCTGCTTTTCATTTGCACGAATTGCTTTCAGTGCTTGATATTGTGAAGCAATGACTGCCAGCACAAAATGTTGTCAGAATCCTTTAGAGCTTCACTGGGATACCTTCAGTTCGTTGCCTTCTCAGAGATTGGGGTAACTTCAAATGCACGCCTTCAGTTTTGTCTCGACATTTTCAAGCTGCCAATTACTTTAATATAGTTTGTTTGTATCAATATCCAAATCAGTTTTCTGAAGTGCGAGGAAAAGTCAGAATTCCTTACAGATGGAGTTACTAGTGGAGTTAGATGGAGTTACATGCAAATGTTTTAAATTTTTCTAGTTTTTATTGATTCCATCTCGAAATTTCAACTTTTTTATATACTGTTATGTTTGTCCGTGTTTTTCTGAGTTTTTCGTTTTCCCCTCCATTTGAAAAAAAAAAAAAAAAATGATGCAGTGCTATATCGTCTTTGTCCATTGCTGTCCCACTGGTTTCAAATTTTGAATAGAAAACACTTGGTATATATATTTATTCAGGAAATCACTGTATACATATTAATTCTTTGTAGAAACATCCGAATTATTTACTGGCTAACAAAAAAAAAGATTTATTTTTTCGTTAGCCAACCGATGAATTTACCAACTGATGTTAATATGTGTATATTTGTACATATGAAAAGCACTGCATCTTTTTTCCTGGGGAATTTCTTGGACATTTCTATCTTGTTTCAATATTTCAATATTCCTTTCTTCATTAAATATATATAATTGCGCTTGAGGCTCAGAAATTAATTGGTTATAGCCTTTTGCGTTTTTTCTTTTTCCTTTCAAAATTTCTCCGCGTTACTGTGTTTTTAATTATCAAGTGTGCTTTGATTGTTTTGGGATTGCTTCTTTTGATTTATTTCGTCGAATTTAATGTATCCTTTTTATTGCAATCATGCAAACATAAATAAAATGAATGAGTAAATATCGAGCTTCTCAACTGTTGTCCATCCTCGGAATTGTCTGTTGCAGTTTTACATTGAATATAATATATAAATAGATATTACACTGAATATATAAATAGAGGTTGAAGGGATTGAAGGATGATTTGTCAAATTTCAAATGGCTTGTATGACATACGTTTTAAGAATTTTTACGAATTTATTGTATAATGTACGGATTAGGTAAAGAGTGCCGTAACCACTAGTATTGCAGTGAGGTTCATATTAGTGTTGAAATCCCATACTTTTGTTAATTATTGAGCTCATTTGGAGGAGATTTTGTTTGTTGGAGAAACTGCAAATTCGAATCGCACTGTTTTTGTTGATTGGGATTACTCAAACGAATTGAAGTACTGTGGTTGAGATGGCGGTAAAATTTGTTTCCTTCACAACTTTCGTCGACCCATTGTTTTGGGATGAGTTGGGCATGCGCAAGTTGAATGACTGGAAGTTGGACGAGCAACCACACTCAATCACTGCTACATATTGCAACCGTAATAGATTTTTTTTGGTTTTAATTGAGTTTTATTTCAAAAAAATCTTTGTAAACAGTTATCTTTTGCAAAAGCGTTCGTCGATGAGCTCGGTGATTTCTAGTTACCTTTTAAATAGGTTGCTGTAGTTTTTATCTACAGTGGCATTAACCTTATCCTATGAAAACGATTACTGGCCTAATTTTGCATAGAAATATTCTTTTCTTAATAATAGCACTGATATAATTTGTATCGTATTTATCTAGGAGTGCTTAAGTTTATTACGGGTACCGCTGCGATCCTAAACATTTTGCCGAATACAAGTGAAATTGGAAATCATTTTTCTGTCCAGTTTTGAGATTCATTTATTCTCTAATGATGATCTAATTTGGAGCATAATTTTTCACTTAAGAGTTACTTGTACTATAATGCATTTAAGATGGCTAATGAAACGGAATACATAGATTACCATTAATATAGCAGTGTTAATTTTATAGTTTACTGAAAGTTAAAAAACAATTTGTTAGATGGTGAAGTTTATCTCTACCGGGACAAATTTTCATTATTCTAATTTATCGAAGTCTGAATGGAATTAATCTGTTTTTATTTGCTTAGATTTGATAATAAATCAATGTTACAGAAGATCCAGGGACATCAAATACGAGGTTGTCCATATCATTTGATGCATTTTTGGCCAAATCAGAGTGGAACAAAAATGTGGTTCCTGTGAATGGATTAGTGCTTGCTGTAAATACTCATGAAACATTCAAAAATCTTGATAGGAAGCAAATCTTGTGTAATGCTGCTCAAAAGGTTTGTTCTTTTTTATCGTAGATGTTTGCTTTCTGTTTAACTTTTTTCCGACACTTCATTCATCAATTTAGATATTTTTATCTAAAATTCAGTTCTTAGTACACTTCAATCTTTTTTTTTTAGTTCTTTTATTTAGTTGCTTCTTCATGCTGGAAATATAAGATTTCGAAGATAGTAAGTCACTTTTCGTAAATTCATATATTCAGGTGAAAAAGTGCATCGAGTCTTTGGATTGGCTTGAAAAACCGTCTTTATTAAATACATTTTATCTAACGGTGTATCCGGTCAGTTTTTTTGTTTGCTTTCCACTTTTTTCTTTGTATTTTGTCATTTCTTTGTATTTCGAATTTTTGGAAATTTTTGGGATTGTATTCACGTTAATAGCTCATCTTATCATGGTAATCATCATAATTCCATTATAGGATCTGAAAAAATATACCTTCCGGTATTGGAATTGTATTCCTGCACTTCTTTATCCACAATCAGTAAGGATGTTATCAGATCCCACACAGCTTTCAGCCGAAGTGACTTCTTTAATTCAAGTTTTCATTGCATTACATCACAATGAACCGTTTTTGCTGGTCGGTAAGACGCCCACTCCTTTATCTTCAATACTTCTAAGTACCTTCGTGTGGAGCAATGACGTCTATGTCGTTTATGCAGATCCATCTACCTTGGCAGCTTTTCCTGGATGGCCATTAAGGAACCTCTTAGCTGCGATAGCTTATGTTCGGTATGTAGATTTGATTCAGTATTGCAAACCAAAATTATTTGTTATCTCCCGTGGTTTTGAAGTCATTTTTGTTCAGAAAAGATCTGAAGAATGCCAAGTTTGTGTGTTATCGAAGTGGTAGTGTTCCTAGTGTCATTATGCATCTAGCTTGGGAAGCGAGCGGTATTATCAGCACAGATGCAGTTGGGTGGGAGAGAGTGAAAGGTTCACTCTCCCCTGCGTTTATCGATCTACGTGGAAGCCTAGATCCGCTAAAGTAAGTTATGATTTCGTTACTCATATTAACTGGAAATTTGAGGAGAAATCCAGAAATTCATGATGATGTCTTAGTGTAATTTTTTGGCTAATTCGAGTATTTGGATATATTTCTTGCTGTAAAAGTAGTGAAAACGAAGAGATTAAGAAACTGTAAAAGCATCTAACTAACCTTGGTTGTCATGTGGTTCGTTTACTCACCCTTATCGTGCGTTTTTTTCTGACATTTTTGTCCTACGCCTTCCTTCTATTTTTCTTTTTCTATATTTTGAAAAAACTTGAATGCTAAATGAAATGCAAACGAACACTTTTAAGTCGAAAATAAATCAACGTATATAACAATACGAGACTCAATTTCGCCTCCTACAGTTTTTATTAGCCTTAATAATGACTGTAGTCTGATTGATAGTACTTTGAACAACTTCTCATTTCAGATTAATGGACTTTAGTGCTGAACTAAATTTGCGCCTGATTCGATGGCGTTTGGTGCCCAGTATCAATCTTCAGCGTTTTTCTAATTTAAAATGTTTGATATTAGGTGCTGGTACACTGGGTTGTAATGTGGCACGTTCACTTCTTGGTTGGGGTGTTAAAAATTTCACATTTGTCGATAATGCTCGTATATCTTACAGTAATGTCGTAAGGTCTATTATTTTTTTGGTTTTAGTCTTATCTAAGTTCGAGAAAACTCTGCTTTTAGTGAAATATTTAAATGGAAAAATTGTTAATATTTAATTGGAACGTAGAACTAACTAACTCTATGTATATATTCCACTCTCAAAGTTTCACGAAGTCAGTGATATCGGTGTATTTGAATCAATATAATTTTTCCAGACAATCACTGTTTTCTTTCGATGATGCTGCGAATGGAGGGAAATTAAAAGCTGTTACAGCCGCGGAAGGTCTTCGTAAAATAAATCCGTTAATAAACGCTGAAGGCGTTTGTTTGAAAATACCAATGCCAGGTCATAGCGTTTCAAAACAAGGTTCATTTTTTGACGTTGTGTGATGTACGCGAATTAAGTAATATCATTACTTCACTGCAGTTGTCTTTATACTTTTGTTACAGAGGAGAAAGAAGTTGAGGGAATCGTGAAACGTTTGGAAGACCTTGTGAAGCGTCATGATGTAACCTTTCTGTTACTTGACAGTAGAGAAGCAAGGTGGTTGCCAACACTTATAACAACTTACCAATGCAAAGTTTGTTCTTTTCGATCCCATTTGTATTTTATTCATTCTGATTTTTTTGACTGTGCTGTGTTGAGTTTTTTTTTTATGTTTTTAGGTTTCTAATCCAAAAATTCCAATTACTTTGTTCGTGAATGATGGTTTTAGTTGGCAATTAGCGTTGCGCTTGGCTTCGATTGTTTTGTCGTAATTCGTCATGGTGTTTCTGATGATGAAACCAGTGAAGAGCAGTCACAAAGTGATCTTAACACTATCCTTGGTTCTCAGTTGGGTTGTTATTTTTGTAGTGATGTGACCGCACCTGGTAATTCTTCTGTTGATAGAACCATGGACCAACAATGCACGGCGAGCACTTTCTTTATTTCCTTTTGTCACACTAATTCTTCCTCTTTAAGGGAATGTTTATTAACTAAGTCTTAATCTGGTCAATTACCAAATGAGTCCTAGTTAGCCTAACTTGAAGACCCAGTTTAATTATCCAATGTGTTCCAAAAAAAAAAAAAAAATCTGAAATGAATTATTTGCTTTGACTTTGCCATGAATTGCCTTTCAGGTTAGTCGACCAGGTATATCTCTAGCTGCTTCTGGTGCAGCGGTTGAACTACTTGCAGCGGTTGTTCAACATCCTAAGATGGGAGGCTCTCCTGCTCGTCTTGGAGAAAATGATGAGTCAGCAACTGTTCTCGGTGCAACACCACATCAAATCAGATCTTTCCTTTCAAGATTTACGCAGGTGAAACACTTACAACAAGGCCGTGGTGGTTTCAGCGGTGAAGTTTTTAATTTATATTAAAAATTCCTCATCTTCAATAAAAACTGTTTGCAGATGACCCCAGCCGTCAAGCGTTTCGAGCGTTGTGTCGCCTGTGGAGCTGCCGTGCAAACTGCATATCGCTCGGAAGGCTTTCAATTCTTGCTGAAAGTTTTCAATAGTCCGCTTTATTTGGAACTAGTTTCTGGACTAGATCAGTTGCAGGCGACTGCAATAGAAATGGATCTCAGAGAATTCGACGACAATGAGAGTGTCTCATCTATCTAATAAATTTTAAATAGTTCGACTTGTTTGATCTTGTTTCCTTCCTTTGTGATATGGATTTTATATTTGTTTTTATTATCATTACCGTAGTGTGATTTTAACTCATTACCCATAAAATAGCTGCAAGGAAATACCAAATCTTCCTGAAGATATTGTTTTCAGTGATTACTTTTTAAATATAAGTTTTTATTTTTCGAAATTTTTTTTCCCTTTAGCTGACTCTACTTCAGCACTCTCGGTGTGTCAGTTTTTAAATACTTTACGTCCAGGATATTACAATCTATCAAAATTTCTGATCACAATTAGTTTTGATTTCTAGCTTTTGTTTGTTTTATCGTTTTACAGGTCCAATTTTGCTTCTGTAATTCAGTTTTGAAACCAACCCATAACTCTGTAGCATTTTAATTACCTGTTAATGAAAATTTCGACTTCCTTACTTACTACAAAAGTCGAAAGTGGTTAGTTTTAAAATAAGAAATTTTTTTTACCGTCGGGGTGAGGGAACAATGATCGAGTAGCACAGTTTCTATTCGCGAAAATCATTCTGCTGAATTAAACACAGGTGTGATAATTAACACGAACATATGAGTCGTATTGGAATATATGACAACAGATATTTGCTTTAGTTGAGTCGCATGCAATGGGAACTGCGGAAATCAAGGTATGTGTTGGTTCCTGAACTTTGCATAGCGCTCCAATTCATCCAAATTGAAGCTTTTAACTTTTTTTGCCAAACTCTGAATAAAAGGATTTTTAGGGCAGGCAATCAAATTCTTAAAGAAGGAAATAGTTCCTCAAACTAATTATATAAATGTTTTGAAATTTCAGCCTCGGTACTGTAAAATAAAAGATTTGAAATCCATTGTGGATCTGAAGTTTTTTTTCCAGAGAACTACATATTTTGATCTCTTATTAACTAATTTTAATGCCAGTTCGGCTAATGTCGTTTCGTTTATTAATGCAACAATTTTTATCGAAATTACTAACGAATTGGTATCTCTCGGTAATCGTTGGCAGGACATTTGGAGGACAGTGATCAAAAAGAAAGCTGCTCAAAACTTTTGGGACTGTCGAGTTCATGTCAGTAGATGGAACATAAACAACATTTATTCGGCTGCTATCTTCGATACCGTAAGATCCAAGACTCGCCTCTGCACCTACAACTCAAACTCCCACGGCTGGGTATTTATGTCCAGTTTCGTCCTTCGATATTCAAAGTAGCACGAAAATTATCTTTAATTTTAAGATAAAGTCAACTTCGGTAAGAAAAAAAGCCAATCATGCTATATTGACAAAACCTGGCATGGAAAACATTTCGCTAGCATAAATCAAGGAGATCCAATTCAAAACAACATTATCTGCTTTAGTTCCCGCTTTTGTTATCAGAAGTATGCAATCATACAAACGTGCTATTTTAGTTCCTGAAAGGAAGAAATTCCAGAAAACTTACTGCTGAGAGGATGTCCTTGGTGAAGCAAACGCACAGCATCTGGAAACAGGTCCAGAACACCACCAATTCTTTGCTTCAAACTTGCTACCGTATCTTTACCATCAACCTAAATACAACAGGTAAAACTTGATAAAAATATAAACAACTTCATTATTACCTACTTTTACAACAGATTAAAATTACCAAAGATAGAGTAAAGCAAAACGAAATAGGAGAAGGTTACAGTGATTGTGAAGACGCCACCCTTTGCATTTACTCTTTTCACATAGAGTTTCATCACTTTTCCAACTTCTAGCAAATAACGACTTAGCAATTCTATTGATCAGCAATGATTTCTGCAACAATAATCCCACAGTAGTGAAATTCAACACAAAAAATTTATGTCACGACCTTTTTCTTGAAGGAAATGTTACACAACTCTCCAAACTTTGTTGATCCACACGTTTTAATCAGATTAATCAATCTTACCGATCTCCCAAGCATTAATCTCCCATCCTCAACCACACAAATACATGATTTGCTTAACTTTTAGGTCCTCTAAAATCAAACTTCTCATCCGACCTCGATGAGTCCATGTAGCCAACTAACATAAGGAATCTGGCTCTGGACAAATCCATTCTAGAATATCCGAGAGAGATGACGCACCGAAGCAGGTGAAGGGAGATGAAAGAACAACGGTGAGTCTAAGGGAGAAGGAAGTAGATCGGCCAGCCGTGTTATGTCACACGGTGGAAAAATTAGGGACCCTGGTACGGGCCCTACGAGAATTTCTTTGAGCTACATCTGACGAATTGTAGGTAGTAACCACAAGAGATAAACAGCAACGCAACTGTACTGAATTACGGCTCGCGTTGATTGGCCGAGGATAATATCCCTCAGTCTAGCAGGTTTATGCAGTCTAGAGACTGGATTTATCTTTCTAGCTATTCAGCCACTGCAAAGGACAGGAATGCTAGTTACCAGGACACTTGGTCTGTACCACAGTCCATACTAAATAATATCCTCATGATTAAATGTAAAGCGTCAATAAATGATATGCGCATTTCTCAGTTTATTCTGGTCAAAGGGAGTTACGAAATGGATCCTTCGACAATTGAAGATACTTTTATATATATGTATACTGCAGATGGAAAGACAATTGATTTTTACTCGGAGGAAGTTGTACAGCTATCATACATAAGCTCTACCATAAAAAAAAAAAAGGGTAGAAAGCATACTAATCGATATACATGAAGAAATACAAACAGGCTGCAAAATATGAGTGACGATACACAAAATTCCCATCATACAAAGTATATGAATATTACCAGTCATTTCTGAGCAAAGTTTTTTTGAGTGTTTGGAATTGAGTAAAAAGAAGTCTTCGAAAGAATGCAAATAAAACCATTTGAAACAAATAATGCACGACGAAATGCAAGGCAATGGCATATTGGGAAACAATAGCTCGCTTGTAAGTTAAGTACGGACGAAGAAAGACTATAACATTCGCAGCGAAAGCTTGGGGTGTTGTTTAGAAATCTTATTCAAAAAGTAGACTGAATTTCCTGTTTTCTTGTGAACATTTTAAATCATTGTTCTAAACAGATAATGAAGGCCTCATAATGAAATGTGAAAGAAGCATAGGGAGAATTAGTTAAAACACTGCTTATATAATAGCTTGTAAAACGGAAGGGTAGTATACAGCAGCAACATTAACAATAAGACGTAAATCGGAATAATCACAGCCAATAACACTCACAACACGTTCTGCCGTGACTGTGGACGGTGTAACCTGTGTTCTGCCTTTGTTTCCTGTGGTACCACCCAATAGTTCCACCAGTGACAATGATCGTGTCAAGATATGACTCAAGCAGTCTTCAATAAATGATAACAAAAATGTTGGCGCTGCGCCAAGCCGATACAAATCACCGAACTGCTCAAGCATCGTAACTACTGCATCACATGGTGCCGTCATTAGACTTTCACCGACATTTGTATCATCTCCCGATATCATCTGCATCACACAATTCCATAACATTAGGGAATGAAATTCAACAAATTATCAATTTATACTGTACTGATATGTTATATCGAAAACATCATTTCGTAATTGAACTCGTTAAGAAAAAAGTGTTTAATTCGAAAATTTAGAAATTTTAAATCTGCGTAGTTGACCTTCTTGTGGAATCATTCATGAACAAAATCAAACCTTCACAGTATAGTTCGTGGCATCGGCAAGTACTACAACAGTTGGACTAAGTGGTGCAGAATTAGCAGCTGATGAAAAGGACGACTCGGGAAATGATGTGTTGATCAGTTCTGATTCCCCATTTTTTATGTGGCACATCACTGAACAATAAGTCTGGAAAAGTAGTGCGCAACTAAAGGTATTGACATGAACAATTTAAACTTTATGTGCTCCACTTTTTAGTGCTTGTCTCCCCAGGTATTCGTTCTTTTTTTTTTCTATGTCGCACAGCACAGAGTGATAACACATTAAATGAAGCTTTAGTCAAAATAAAAACTGTTACACATCAATAGACAACAATTAAATCCTTTATGCAAACAAAAAAGAGTTTGACAAACGGCTGCATATTTAAAAATCGAATGAATTCTGTCGCTTTTAAACAGAAGCATCAAAAAAAAAAAAAAAAATTCTGAAGAATCAGATTTATGAATGTTGAACGGTTAGCAGATAGATTTCCTCACAATGCAATAAAATGAACACAACTTAATTGAAATCTACATAAACAAACCTCTTCCAAGTCAATGGCAGCCAAGCGTAACCCGCATATAACAAAGTGTGAGCAATAAGAATCACAAGGACCAGCCAACATGGACCAAGCCAAACTTGAATTCGTCGAATCATCAGTGTCACATGTTAACGGAAAACACCATCCAGAACGTTTCGCATTAACACCCGGTTCTGCTGTCTCCCGAAGAACCACGAACTCTGGCTCTTTAGCTTTAAAATTGTATTTCAGCAATATTCATAACTGAAAGCTTTCCCATACTCCAAATAAATTCCAAGAAAGCCGGTTTTAATTTTAGACACCATACCTTCCTCTCTTAACGAGTATTTCTTGCCAAAATCAATATTACTATTTTCGTTACAACTGGTCGGTGAGAAAGACCTCATTCCTGGATGTGAATTCCATTTGTCAGCTGTAAAAACCTGATAACGCTTGAAAATTCACCGATGCTACCCGACGCCCTTTTGATGGGTATGGAAGAGTTCCAAAGCTCAAACTTCATCTAATAGTCATAAGTTCTTGTGTATTAACTTGTTAATTAAGAAAAATCGATTATCCAACAAACAACCAATTATTAAATGCAACAAAGCAGTTCAGGTACGTGAAGATTTAGAAATACCTTTACTTCCATTTGGCTGAATTGCTGAACATCGAACAAAATATGTGAGGACATAAAGCAAATGCGTGATTAATTTCATGTCATTTCCGATGATAACTGTTCGAGCTAAACGTGTAGCACCGCCCACACTGCCACTTATTTCCATATACTGAGCTAACTGCGCATTGTAGGGATAACGCATACAATCTGAACTTCCGCTCTGGAATTCAAAATTTAGCACAGCTTCAAATTGTATAATTACAGACGAATTTTGGGATATACAAACCAATCTTATCATGATTTGCACCTGAGCTAAGAAGGTCGATGTAAATGTAAGGTTTTGAAGATACATTTCAAATTCTTACCGTTCCCATCAGAAGCGAACGATGAAGATCTTCACAGTCTTCCGATGGAGTAACACTGGCGACCCACGCAAGATGGTTCATCAAAACACAAGATAATAAAGTGGATAGAAAGCTGAAACACTTTCAATTTCGAATAATTAAGTCACACTTATAAAACATTGTAAGCGAAAGGGAAAAGTTTTTTTTTGATAACTTTAAAGAGGAAAATAAAACTCACTATCGCGTGGATTTCAAATCATATTCACAAATCAGTGCAGCTAAATTAGTGCAGAAGTTGTTAGCTGTTGAAGCATACTCCCTTTCATTCATTAAACTCAACCAAACGGGAGAACGAAACCTGTATGAATTGTACAACAGACAAACATTATGTACAAATTCTAACCACGCCTGCAAATAATCAAAACTACGTACTATATATTTCTGCAAAAACTTAATAAGTCCGTATTTAAACAAATATAAAATAATGACGAACTTAACATTGAAAGTCATCTCAGCAAACATTTAGGGTCATCTTAGCGGAACCAAACCTATAACAGCACAAATTTTCAAATATGAGAAATACATGCACCAAACCAACCTCAAATAATAAATGCAAAAAACGGGTGCGAGAAAGTGTTGCTTTCAGAATTTGAGCTTCCAGTTTAATGATTTCAATTTCAATAAGAGGAATATGGCAAAGCAAAAACTGTTTCTCTTCTTCTCTGGAAAAGACAATACATGGAAATAAAACCATTCACCGGAACTCTTGTTCGGTAATTTGAAAACTGGGCTATTCCAACGCATGACAAGCAATATATGAAATACGATATCTCATATACATATAAAGTTTCATGATGGCCAAGACGAGAGTACTACGAATTGGTCGTTTTATAAGTCAGCATAAAATTTTGTCTGGGGAGTACAGGTTAGCTTCCTACCACTTTTCCATCATTTCAACCAGAGTTCCAGGCTGCTTGCATAAAGTCATGTGTGGAGAACAAAGTACTGAAAAAAATTCACCGAAATAGAACTCCAATTGCGATCTGTCTCGATTCTTCGTCTGCTATTGAACTACAACTACTCAAACGACTTCGCATGCACCAACGACCGGAATTATCTGAAAGACAGTTTAATTATTGCTTAAATATGAATCACAGCAATAATAATTACTACAGTAACAGCAAAACGCAGTGGGAAATTGTCAAATTTTGGGAGTTAGAAAAGTATCTCTAATTAATTACAGAACAGAAACTCTTAACAGTATTTCTTCTGTGGAAGATAAGCAACTCCATAATGGATAAAACAATTTTGGTAATAATTTCAATACAACCAGATTTGTTATTTCTTAATACCTTACTTTTCTTGAATCCCTTGCCATATATTCACAAAAAAGTGCACATCTACTCTGAATTTTTTTTATTTCCACCTTAGTTTTAATTAAGATAAATCCAGCACATTTATGGGAAGGCATATTTGCATTTCTTCACGTTGATTTTAAACCTAATTTTTAAAATTTTTTTGGAACTTTTTTTCCGGTACCCAATATCATAAAGCATCCGTACTACGAATCATTAATACCTTCTATTTGAATAATTTTCCTTCATCTTGCAGACCACTGATTTTTGGTTTTGATACAACAGACACTACCGTTTAGAGAAGAAAAAAACGATTTAGTGCTACTTTTTTTTCTCATTATGCTCTGGCCGGTATTAAGGCAGACCCTGATATCACAGAGATGAAAAAGAGATCTTCCATCCATATTAAAATCAACAGAAAAAAAATATCATCTCAAAAAATCAAGGAACTAAAGAATTTTACAGGAATGAAAAAGGTATTACACTGTAAAGTCGCCTGACGACAAATGTTCTCAAACATAAAACAAGAAATCAAATAAAAGGTAATGCCTAACGTACAAATTGGAGAACACTTAATGAAGTCAAAAGTGACGAATGGAATGAAGTGCATCAATTTCGGAAATGAATTGTTTCATAGTTTATGCATCAAGAAACCCTGCTAATGTAACTTTGTGCAACTTTGGGAAAATGAATGTTCGCTATAAATCGCTTATTGTCTTTAAAAAAAAGCGACAATAAAATCTTTGATTTTAGTAATGAACTTTTGGATTATGTTAATCTCAACTTCAGTAATGGAGACTTACAAGATATGGAGAAGTTTCTGAAGACTTTATGTATACTTGAGAATCTTGAGTGTATACAGTGAATCTTGAGTTCATTGACGATTCCTTACAGATAAGTAAGGGAATCGTCAATGAAAGACAGACACAAAATGCATTATCCTGAAGTTACTGGACATAACAGAAGATACCACAAAATGTAATATTGAACACCTTGAATAGTAGTCTACAATAGTTTATTTACAGTTATTCTTGAAAATAATAGTATCTCCTTTTTTAAGCAAAACTGAAAAAATTAAGAATTTCATAAAAAGTTTAATAAATTAAGAATTTCATAAAAAGTTCTAATGACTTATTGCAAGCTCAATAAAATCCGAAACAACACTTATTTTTTACGATTTCTTCAATCCAAAATTACTCAAAACACCAACTTTTCCCCATCTTAAGCCCCATTAAAGGTAGAAAGGGGGAAACACCATAAATCACGGCATGAAAAAATGATAGCAGTTAATATTTTATTTTAATCAGGGAGTATTACTTTTGGAATGACTCTTATTCTATCAGTTAAAATGTTCTCAGTTAACCTCTTCTATTAGATTTTATGGGTATTAGTCATATGAAACTACTGATGAAGCTTCGGAAAATGCAAATATTTTACTTTCATCACATAAATTGCCCCGCTGTGCAAGTTGCATACGACGATACCGGGAAAGACGACTAGGTGAGAAAGACCGGCAAGGCTTTATACTTCCTTCTTCGGTGTCCAATTGTAAGAAAGCATCCCGCACTCGGATAAAACCTACAAAAAATTCAATTCTACTATATTCTAGAAACAAATTTTACATGCGTCTTTCAGTAATTCAACTGTTGCATATAAATTTCATCGAGAAAATCAGGGTACATAGTCACCAGATATGGAGTGTTTCAAAATTATAGAGTGAGTCATATAAACGAAAATAAAGTTACATAAACGGAGGTAATTTTGAAAAAAGCTTAACATGTCAACAACTGAACGATCGCTGGTAGTCCAAACTGGAATGTCATTAGTCTTTGTGATGTATTCGTTTGTATATCTATATAATTTTTTTGCATCAATGTAAATGTATTGTTTTAAAACAGTAAAACTAAAACAACAGTGATTTCAAGAAATATTAAGTGAAACCTTCAGGAGGATCAGTCAATTGTGAGCTGTAATGTGGTCGACTGCGCAATCCTTCCAGTGAGCAAACTGTTGAATAAGTGCTTTCCGAATCAGCACTACTAGTACTACCAACGGGTATTTTGTTGTAGCTAAAAGAATTAATGCAGATAAATCCTCAACACTTAATTCTGTGAAAATCCATATATTCGATTAAATTCAGAATAAAAAATCTGAATTACCAATCCTCTCAATTTTGGAACTGAGAAGTAAAATAATAAAGTCGCAGCAGTGGGCAGGTCGAAATCAGATGATTTGGCAAATGAACTGCAAATATAAAAACAAAAACACTTATGGCACTATGATATTAAAGTGATACCTGTTTGATTGTCCTGCCATTTTCGGGACTGAAATAATGCGACTTACCATAACTTGTTTACTACCACTGAAAAAAAAAAGTTCTGAAAACTCTACTCTTATGTCATTCTATTCTATGAAATATGAAACGTATAAAACCAAGGATTTAAAAGAGAAGAAAATCTGGCCAGCGATAACGTAAAACTCGCCCTCACTATTTTTCAAAAATTTAAAAGGATTTTTATCCTTTCGAAACTAATCGCTAGCAGAATGAATCGTTAGTAGTACAGGAAAACCCAGCAAAAGTAACAAATAAATTCTTATACACATACAGTATACTATTCTGTCAAAAATTCAAAAACAATGAATTTCTTGCAGCACTATACCTACATTTTCCTACCTAGATCACCAAGGCTTTTTCTATTAATCCATCTACTTCCTGTTTGCACCGGATATGTCTGCATGTACAAATCATTCTGACAGCTGATCACATCAAAGCTTGCAAAAGCAACGTCACTCTCCATGAGATGAGAGGATGTTACGCTAATTTTAACAGGTGAAATCTGTAGACTGTATAATTTTAACAGGTGAAAACTACCTTAAAGAATGTATTTTGAAAGATTCATTTTTTGTTGTGGACAGCGAGCCAAATATCATTTGTCCAATACAGGGAACATCTGGACGATGTCTTAGAAACTGAAAACTTTCGGTAACATCATCGTTTCATATAAGTTTCTATCGAAAATGACTTTTTCTTAAATGAATGCTAACAACAATATCGACATCCACTGAATCCTCATCAGAACAGATACAGCCAATAACAACTTCTCCCATAAAACTGAAATATGCTGGTCTTCTTTTTAAACCCACGAAAGTACGTATGTATTCTGAAAGAAATTCATAATTTACCCGAAACCGACCACAGTTTGAAAGTGGTGTTTTAGCCGGGATATCAGGCGTATTCACCGGCAAAACAGTTTCGCTATCGAACAACAGCCGCCGTTCACTTTCAGCCAAAATAACCAGTCGTAGTGATTCTTTACTAAGCTTTTTATCGTGACAAAAACTAAATTAGTAGATTTTCGGTAATATCTCATTATTTCTACATCAAAATAAATAACTATAAAGGAGGATCAATTCAGTCTAACAGATATTCCGAGAAGAAGTAGAGGAAGTAGGAAGGAAAGTACATTATTCTGTTTTCTTAATCTTAATTGTAACAGCATCCCCAAAACCTGCTCAAAATACCGTACCTTAATCTCAGATGATCAAGCAGATATATTTTCATGAAGTTTGCTAACCAAAACTTATTGATCACTTCATCTTCTCCATCTGCTTTGTTTAAAAAATTGCCACTATCATTAGTGACATGTTCAAGTGGTCGTTTTTTTGATCTTCTTGGGAAAACGCTTTTCAACATCGCTAGATTCTTACATCAATAACCATCTATGAGATCGAATTTTCTTTCTTCCAAACATTTTATCTTATCTCAATTCTGAAATAAAAAAATCTCGTTACAGAAACTTACAGCTTTCAACTAAAACAACATTTCCGCTTATCATTTTTTAGCATTCCATCCAATTTCTTCTTATACCAACAATAAAAGTACCCTAAGTTACGATGTCCAAACATGCAATTTCCTACATTTAATTCTGAGCTGATAACAAAAAGATTTTTCCCTACCCAACTCACGAGGTTAAATTTTCAGAAAGTAACAGAATAAGGAACACTCACGCAAATCTTAAAACTTGTTTCCCTGTACAACACTAGCAAGGTCCAATCATACTCAAACTTCTAAACAAAGTGGTATGTATTTATAAGTATGTAATTAAAAGATGAAATTACTTCAGGAGAAAAATCTGGAACATATAACCCATCTCAAACAAATGATTGTTAATGCTAATAAGGAAGAATATTCAAACAAATTTTCCCCCCACCTTCAATAAGATATGCTAATACACTTCCTCATATCTTCAATTCAAGTCCACTTCCCTCTTCCAGAAAGGTGTAATTAAATGTGAGATCGGAATTCACTAATCCGTTCATATTTGTTTCTCTTTCTTATACAGTCAGAACAAGGTATGAAAGAGAGGAAGCTTGTAGAAAACGGAAAAGTGCCACATGAAGTATGGGATAAAACTTCATCCTCAACTAAGTGATCAAATATGTTGACGTCGTAAAAGTTAGATCATTATCACAATGTACAAGAATGAAACAATAAAATCAGTATCAGCACAAGTAATTTCAAACAGTGTCTTTTTTTGACATAATAAACTATTTTTAAGATATAATGAATGTTCTCTCTATTAATCCAGGACAAAATTACTCTTCCTCTTTGACATCACTTACTGAGATTAACCTAAAACCAAGTTTCACGAATGGAAAATTGTTTAATATTTTCCGACGATTTTGTGATTTAGAAACAACTAGAAATAGATAGGAAAGGAGCAAAGAACATTTCACGTTTCCCAGTGACCACAACAGTGAAAACTTTGTTCGTTTCATTGAACAATGAACAACTCGAGGTCAAGCACTGAATGCAAAGCGGGGTAGAAAGAGTGTTACCACTAGGAACTGAATCAGCTATGACACACAAAGGGATTTAGCAACGTTTTGATGCATCACAATTTCATTGCAAAAACAGATTATAATTTAGCTAATTTATATAACATTCTCCAGAGATTTTGAAGGGAAATTAAAGGAAGTAGTTAAAGGACTCCGAGGGGAAACCTAAAACATTAGAGAAACCAAATCAAAAACTCTTTTAGCTCAAGACAAGAAGTATATTATTAAGATCAAATTGGAGATACAATATGATAAGCTTTAGCAAAGGTGTGAATGAAATATGTATGACTGCTTTGCATGCAACACAAGATATTGTCTACATATTTCAAAACTGGTGAGCTCGCAATGGTACAATGACCTGTTCAAAACTAAAATGACTCGCTAAACGATAAAAGTTTTCTGTACATTACAACAATGATTTTAAAAGTGCCCAAACCTTTATAATTTGCACTATGAAATTATTTACATTTCAGTAATTTCCACTTAAATTCGCTGCAGAAATAGGAGAAAATAAGATTTTTTACTGGTACAGCGCGGAGTATTACCTCAGTGTTAAAACTTGGCTCTCCTAGAATTACGGAAAATAATCTCTTTATATGTATAAAGCGGCAAAACTTGAAAACACCAGGCTTTTTCTGATACATAATTTCTATTTTCATTTTATAGAGAAATACAATAAAGAAACATGATAAAATATATTATTTAGACTTTTCTAAAATTTCATAATTCCTAGCGAAATGATATGCAAATCTTCCATACAGTTATCCAGAACGCTGCCAGTATAACAAGCATAAAAAAAGATGTCTGGTAAATGTGCACTGAACTTTCACTGTCAAAAACCGATCGAAATAATGAAAGAATGGACAGGGATATTATCATTTGGTATCTAATGGTAGATCTTCGTGAATTTATACCTTAACACGTCATGTTTGCAGCAGAAACGAGAAATGGAAGAAACAAAACAAGTTGACGTAATCGCCTCGAAATTAATATTCAGCTTGAATGTCGATTCAAAAAACTTTGAGAAGCTTCCATTGCATGAATTGCGATGGGAAGAAAAAATGGGATAAAGAGCATTTCAACTCCTCCTGGAATTATAATTACCTATTCAGAGAAAGGATTTGAAAAAGGAAAAAGGATCAGAAAAAGGATGTTTCAAAAGGATTTGCAATTATTGTAATAATGTACAGAGACACTTATCACTCCTTACTTCTTATAAGCGAAGAAATCATTTTTATTTTATATGCATATATTAAACGTAAAAGTATCGAAGATAGGATGGATAATATCGTTATCAGACACGATTAAAACTGCAATGAGCGGCATAACACTGCTGCATAAAAGGTGATTGCAGACACTCAAGAGATCTGAACTCGAGGAGAAAGAAGAGAGAGAGAGAGGGAGGAAATATGAGGTGGATGAGATTGTTGGGGTTATTTGCACCGGTATCGGAGGGACAGTAACAGCTCACACTAGACCGTTTGTTCACGCAATCCTCCAAGCTGATCATATACATATATATCAGTCATGTCATAAGGAGGGATTATTTCAGGGACACTGAGAGGTATGACAGTATAGAGTTATCCCAACTTGTCATGATCATACTTCATATACTAAGTACCATCTGTGAATCCTTGTTTCCCAAGAGAAGTAACTGCTATACTACTTCTCTTAATTAACAATAAATAATGATTGGAGATAAAATGATGGCGAGGAGGAACGGATATCAGGTATCGGCGACAAGGCCAGTGGGCGATCGTACGGCGAAAAATAGGAAAGAGTTAATGCCATAAGGTGGGATGGGGATCCCTCTTATACCATCATATCGTCAGAGGAGGGTGATGCATTGCACTGCAATTCATTCAGACTTGCACAAACCACTGCACTGATTGATACCCGTCCTAAAACGCACATATGATGCTGACAGACGTACTGAACGTCTGTCTCCCCGTCTGCTTGTCTGTCTGTCCTTTCGTGTGTGTCTATGCGGAGGCGTCTCAGCAGTTGGTCGTGGTTCCTTGGCTCCTCGCCTGCTCTATCCATATCATTCTACTTGCCTATCATGCCATCTGCACGTGACGAATGTTGGCTAAGAGCCAGCCAAAATGACGGACGTAAGGAGAAACAGACAAAAACAAGCTCCATCCACACACATAGCTAACAGTGCATCAATATTGCTATTGTGATGGAGCGAACATTACGTTGTCCCACAGATCGTTGTCAGTGAAAAACGTATGTAGTACGTGCGTGTCTTCATCGTAAGTTTTAAATTGCTGCTTTTGTGTACTCAGTGTTTCAATGAGAGCAACGGGAGTTCGTTAAACGAGACACACGCATACATGCACACATATACAAATAGCTAACATGCGAATGCATTTAAGTTACTGAATAATGAGCCTACAGCGATTTTGCGCACCTTCACTACTTCATTTGTATTCTTAACGATCTGTTGTCAGTTCAGCTCACTCGTGGAGGATGTTTTGTAAAGGTAATCAATCTATTCTTGCAAACTAATAGTAGCAGTAAAGCTATATCACAGTTTCGTTTTCTCTGAGTAACATTAATCATTCAATCATCTATTAAACAAGGAGGTTTCTTCCGCAAAAGTTTCAGGCCGAAAGTTCAAAATAACTGTCAAAATTAAGTTTCGTTAGAAGTAATTTTTAACCTACTAAAGAGTGCAGGTTTTATCCAGTATTTGATTTCATTTTCAAAAATTTGAAAATAAACAAGCTTTTCTGGATGTCTTCCTCTCGGTTGTCATCTATGTAATTGACATTATACGTAGAGTTCCCTGAGATGAGTTGGAAAACGATAAATTCTATTGCTTTGGACATATGGACACACGTACTTTCTAAGCGAATGATGGTAAAGGCGGTGTTTGTTAAAAAAGAAATACAAGAAATGAAACCGATGATGAATGGAGTGCTTCTATCTCGAGGTGGTCGAATAATAGAGAGGAAACTACAGGAAGGAAAGGAGAGCGAAAAAGGAAGAGTAATAAGAAACCCTTACACCGCGGAAACTGGCCGATAGAATAGTCAAAAAAGAAAGTTTACAAGGAGTCGGACTGAATGTTATTGACTGAGAGAAAACTTTGAACCCCAAATCGAAGTTCTCCATTGTAGAAACTCTAGTCATTGGATAACTTGTTAGAGGACGACTGGAGAGGATCTATTCTTGTAAATTGGATTTCCTCGATGTGGTCATAAATATGTCTGGATCATTAATAGTTCAGTTGGATTAGATTTGTGAAATCTCCAAATAGAAACTTCTAACCGATTCACTTTCTCCTGATGAAATGTTCAACAACCTCCGTTGTTTTTTCTTCACGTAAACTAGAAAGCGAAGAAAAAATACGCTGAAAGTGCCTTTTGCAAATTCCAGTGCCAATAGTATAAGTAGGATACAGAAATGCGCTGCTTTTGAATGCAGTGACGATAATAATTTACTGAATCAGACGTCCTTCACTCCATCAATTGCTTAAAATCAGAATCTACTGCAATTCCGGAATCCGTCTGCATCCAGATGTTAGAATAATGTGACGAAGAAAAGTATAAGAAAGTCAAAAAACATGCAGAGTAAAAAACAAAAAACGTTTGTAAAACAGAAATATGGAAGTATAGGATTTTTCTCAATGTATTCTACAGTTTTTCTGTGAGGGTCTGTCCAAAATAATAAGAGCCCTTTTCTCACAACGTGTACTTCAAAACATGCAGGGTGAAACAAAAAACGTTTGTAAAGTAGAAAAGTGGAATCTAAGGTTTTCTCAATGTAAAACTTCAGACATTCTACAGTTTTTCTGTGAGGGTCATAACAGACAGATAGGTGATTTGAGTAAGAAAGAAAAAAGGTCATTTCGGCATGTTTTTTGGCTTACGAAACAGAAATTTTGGCAAGAGGGAATGAAGGGAAAGGATTTCACAATTAATGTAGATCGCTTTTAAGTGTGTGTGTGTGTGTGTGTGTCTGCATTGTCAAAATGTGTGAAGAGGTGGTGTTTCTTTTAACAAATACCGCTTCTTCTGGATTTGTGACGTACTTTTGGATTTATGAACAATTTTGGGATTTTCCAATTATTTTAAGAAACTCGCCAAAACAAATTTTTTATTGCAATGCTGGATTGTTCGCAGATGGATGTCAATGTTTAGCAAGACATAAAAGGAATTTTAAATAAAGAAAAATGAATATTCAAAGTGAAGAGAACAAACATAACATTTCAACAGATGGATAAAACGGGATGCAAGATGATTAATCATTAAAAAGACTGAAGTATAAAACGACCAAATGTTAATTTCAAATGATAATTCAGATTTTCAATTATAAGTGATGAATCATAGCCGAAGAAGCACGGCAGTGAAGTAGTGCCCGATGTATATTTTTGAGATTGTTTGCCTAACCGTTTTCTAGCGGTCAAAAACTTTTCCAAATAGGATTTTCAGGATTCTATATTACTTCAAGAATTTCGAGAATCGACTAATTTCAATCAAACTGGAAATGAAAATTTTTAAAAATTTGGTTATTGATATACAAACTGAGCAAGCCTTGATATACCTTAAAAATTAAATGATTTCCAGCAGTTTATCCCTGTAATGAGAGGACAGCGAACTATGTAAAATCTAAGCATAAAAAATACTCTGAAAAAAATTTTGAAAAGGACAAATAATAATTTGAATAAAGAAACGCTTGACTCTCCATCCAAAGCAAAATAAAAAAAAAAAAAAAAAAAAAAACTTTATGAATGTGTTTTGTTAATTGAACAAACATCTTATCATTGTAGACAGAATAGATTTTTATAAATTAAAATAGTTATACAATGTATTCCGCACTTTAACCTTCGGCATCAACTTCCAACTTATGTATTTTGAGATCTAGAAAGTTTAGACTAAAAGAATTATTTAAAGCCAGAGCTGTTAAACATGCTTTATTTTTTCTAAGTAGTGTAACAAAAAAAAAAAAAAAACGATCAATAACAACGGCTAAAGTGCCATAGTTATGATTCTGAACCAGCTTAACATCCTGCAGGTAGAAAAAACTTTTTTCTAGTTCTGGAACCTAAAAATTGAGTGTTATTTTGTAACGAGTATACTGATATTTTGTAGTGAGTAACAGTTCAGAGTTCGTTTCTTTTTTTTTTTTTTTAAATATTTACTGCATTCAAACTAAAGTCAAGCCCAAAAAGGCATAAGCGTCATACGTCTCACCTGATTATTTGAAATGCATACACTCAAACATTTTACTCTCACAACCTCCCTCACATTTACTAGATTTCAGCTGGACATTCAATTCAGAAAATGTTACCTGAGAATGAATAAATTGCAATTAACACGTTCCAATAATGGCATAAAGAACACGTAACTAAAGGAATGGAAGTATACGACACATCTATGTATCTATTCTAAGCATATATTTATTTTAATTACAAAGCAAAATGATCTCATCTAAAAGATTGCTTTCGGAGAGCCTGTAAAAAACAAAAGCATTTAAATTAATTCGGAATCCAATTGTTTAAAATACAATCTTGCTAGATTTTAATTCCATATCTAAGAATTTGGATTACGGAAGACTTTTCTGATCAAAAATCCTATTAACAGTTAGGGGAAACAAAGAGGTATGAAAACAATGGGAAAAACAAAACGAAAGTAATCGTAAATGGATTTTTACGAATTAGCAAATACCTAAAAAAAAAAAAAAAAAAAAAAAAAAAACACTGTGATAGTTTAGAACAAAATGTGAGATGCACAGAAAAACGCTCAAATCCTATTAATCGGGACGTGTTATTCCAGTATTCAAGGTAGGACTGCAAAGTTGTTTTGCACATATGACGTTTTGAATAAAAAACTCTTTATCATATGTGCTTTCATAAAAACTTAACAGCAGTCCGGACCGTAGTTTGCTGATCGTCCACTATTACTCCTTATGTAATCACTGCAAAGGAATGCAACCTCGTGATTTCCCCATGTGAAATAATCAACTGGAAGGAACGTGAGTGTTCAGGTTTCTGAAATTGGTGGAAATAGAGAAATGTTAAGAAGTGGGGAACAAATGAAGAAAATGAGCGAAATGATTGTACGAGTAGATCGATCAATCTATTTGTCCATGTTTTGAAATTCAAATTTGATGTTTCGAGATTTCTTGGCGTAAGATCAAATTGTATGCCATAAATTTACATCAGCATCACTTGATGTAACAGGGTGTTGACAACACAAACTGATCTTGCATTGCAAAATTTATCGTACTTTTTGGCCAATGATTAATTAATGATCATAATTAGTTGAAAATTCATCCTACGTTTAGTTTGAGTGTTTCAGATTTTTGATTAATAACGTAAATGAAAAAGATGCACATAGCTGCAACCATACAATTATTTAAAAAAAATCGGTCACTTCTACAAAATTCTTAGAAATAAAATTAATTTTAAATAACATCATACATACAATTCTCTCGAATAATTTTGCGAAGATATGGTCAACAAATCCCCACTCCTTAACTAGTAGCACACTCAGCTCCCTCACCCAATCAACTGTTTCAAATATGAATTACTCGCAACATTAGGAAATAAAAATTTTCTTCCAGCACTTGAATGATTAACTGGAAAATAACCAATTTGCGCTTCGATTACATCATCCAGTTACTCGGTCGGCAACCACCAACTTCCCACCTCATCCGAGAAATTTGAAGCACATTTTGAATTATACTTAGTTCAGTCACGTGCTTTACCCGTGCACTTCTACCTCCAAAATTCCCAGATCGATCCTTGAATTCTGCTATTTCTACATGTTTAACATCACCGAGATCTCACGCATTCATTTAAAAGCCCTTATACTCCTTCTACATCAAAATTTCAAGGAATGACATTTTATAAAACCCCTCCTTTCCCTTATCTTCTCATCTTAAGATAACCACATGTACACTAACATCCACATTTCTATCGAGTTAAGCATGATATCTTAGCAAAATGTAACCCCAAGACTGATTGCAAAAAACCAGACATAGCAGCTACAAGAAATCCCTTGTTTCTTTACTGTACCTGCTTTCATTTCCTCTATCCTGTGATTTTTAAGCACAAACAGCACACAGCTGTCAAATAATAGTCTTACATGAACACGTTCATTTTTCTTCTGTAGCATAGCATTATGTAGATGCAATCAACATCCGTGTTACACGGAAGGGATATGTGATCGTCCACAAACATACAGCTTCAACTTCGACAGAGCGGTTGTCAGAGTAAAACTGTATCGCATTTCTCATTTGTACTGTTTCGTCCTTCCTTATTTAATTTATAAAAGTCACGTCCCTTAAAACTACGACTGTGTGCTTGACTAATTATCATGCTTGTTATCACACATCTGCCAATCAGACCTATTAGTTAATAACCTTCCCCACCTAATCTATGTAATGAAGATGTTTAGGGTGAACTTCGTAAGATTAATTTACAAAAAAAGAATTAAAAAATAAATAGATAGAATTCGAAACAACAAACATAAGGGATATATCAATAAATGAATATTTGCTAGATCACTGAACAGCATTAACAATAATAATACCAGATTTGAAATGCTAACAGCCGTCAACAGTGATATTGATCACTTAATAGTGATAATAGTTTCATCTCAGCTAAGTTTATATTTAACATTAAGTATACTTATCCGTAACAGATTATTTAAAGACAAAACTAATGCAAAACAAACATCAAAAAAATAGAAAACAACCAATAAACACAACATTTTGAACGAGTAGAAGCGGAATTCTCGAAAATTTATCAAGGTGGTTGCCGAACCAACATATATTACATATTTGTTTGAACAATTCTTATAAAACAATTCCAGTTATGCTGGTTGTTTAAAGTCAACAACTAAGTCTCGCTTTACTCATAAATAACAGCTTTGCGCATAAGATAACAAAATTCAGAGTTCTGAATGCTCTGTCTCATCCTTTGTTTCATCTTTTTCCTCGACATACTCTTTGTCTTTGTCCTCTTCCTCAATTTCAGGCTCTTCTTCTACTGGCTCATCCAATGATACGTCTATCGTTCGGCGCAGAATCTGAAAACATGCGGATAATTTCCAGTAATAATACAAGGATGGAATGATAACATAGTAAACATGTCTTTGAGGATTTAAATGATGTTACCTGCTCAACTCGTTCAGCAAATCCAATCTGATCATTCAGAGTGAAACCGGACCGTAATGTAGCCGTTTCAAACAGTAGTACAGCTGTATCAGTAGCTTTCTCACTGCTTTCGCCAGACTTCACGCGACGCAGTAATTCCTTGATAACAGGATGGCGTGGGTTAATTTCGAATATTTTCTTCTGACTTGCGTAAAACTCCTTCAAAACATCTATGAGAATCATGCGGAAACAATTTTTTTTACTTTGTCCGGGATAATCAATGATTTAGGACAACCTGAGTTGGGTCGTAAGATTTCGAATGCGCTTGAGATTTCATGATCCGTTCCATGTTACCTGACCAACCGTAAGAAGATGCGATTAGTGCACATGGTGATTGTACCAAACGTTGCGAAACGAGTGCTTTCTCAATCTTATTCTAAGATCATGCAATAAATTACATATTTGAATTCAAAAAAGACGAAAATAACAAATCTACACACAAAGCTGCAGAATCAGTGACAAAATCAACAAAAGCAAAAAAAAACTTAAATTTTAGCATTTATCGTTTTTATACTTGTTCGTATAGGCCGCTCTTTGGCAGATCATGGGATAGCTTAAGATTCCACACCTGTTATTTCAGTATACAATGATAATCCACCGCACTGAACCTTTTCTTTGAGCTGACAATTCCAGTTAGCCATTACCAAAACAACGCTGAATCGGTACAGTCAAAACTAAACTTGCTGCCTACCTTCAGAGCCACATTTCTGAGCCAATCCGTCAGCGGCTCAAATTCTTTTTCTAATTGTTCTTGCATTCCTTTACTTCTTTCACCGTCATCAATTTTCAGTCCTTCTTTAGCAGCATTCTGGAATTTCTTTCCGTCGAACTCCGGCATCGACTGGATGGTATATTCATCCACAGCTTCCACCAAATACAGTACCTCATATCCCTTCTTCAATAAACGTTCAACAAAAGGAGATGATTCCACCTGTAAAAAAATAAAATTCAAACTATATCAACTAGATTTAGAAAATTTCCAACGTTAACCTACTATTGTTTTATTCATTTCCAGTGCCTCTGGAATTTTATTCAAGGAACTATTGATTATTTCACACACACACTCACACAAAAATAACCTCTTCTCGTGAATTTCCAGCGACATAAAAAATCATTTCTTGCTTATCCTTCATTCGGCTCACATATTCAGCAAGTGAAGTCATTTTGCCCTGCAACAATGAAAATGTCATTTACTTAAACAAAAAGTGATTAACTTTTCATAAAACTTTCTTTGTTTCTGTCAAATAAGTCAGAAGATGTCGTAAAATGTATCAACTGCCAGATATTTTATTTGATTTCACACTTGGGTTAAACCAACAAAGCGATGCGCAATGAAAGATATAATATGATTATAAGTAATAAGATATTATTAAAGGTTAACTCCAAACGTAGAAAGAATAACAAAGAATGACCGAAAAAGATGAAACCAAAGAATGAATGCCCAACTCATCTTTTCTGGTGGAATATCTGTTAGCTTATTATACCGACTCGAATGACAATTGGGATCTAGGGGAGAGATTTGATTTATGAAAAACAGAGATTAATAACAGTTGGTCCTTCGTAGTAAGAAAGAGAATGTAATAAACTTAATCGCTTAACGATCTTGATTAGATTAAATGTAGATGCAAAAATGTTTGGTGATTGATTGATCAAACATCTGGCGAAGGATATTAGGATTCGAATATAAAATATATATAATATGATTATAAGTAATAAGGTATTATTATTTTTTACGACAGAAGAGCTCTTATTTAGGGATGGAGATATCCTAAGAAAATCCGAAAACATTACTTTTCCATTGGAAGAATAGAAACGCAGGAGCTTTGCAAGACGTGTTCTATTTGTGGGATCTTCCATGATGCCCAGCTTGATATTTGTGCTGTATTCTTTCCAAAAATCTTCAAAATCACTAGGTTCCATCTTCTTGAACATATCCAGTACTTTCCTGACAAGCTTCTTCCTGATGACCTAAAACAAAACTATCTTTCTAATTAAAGAATGTAAGAAAATCAATGGCTTTATATTGCTTTCCCCTTGTATCTACTTAACAGATTACCCAGTTATACAATTCAAGCAAAAATACCTTCAAAAGTTTATGCTGTTGGAGGGTTTCACGGGAAACATTTAATGGTAAATCATCCGAATCTACTATACCACGGATGAAAGATAAATATTTCGGCATAATATCATGAAAATCATCAGTGATGAAAACACGACGCACATACAGTTTGATATTGTCTGTACCCTGAAGATAATGAAACTTTTTACACTAATAAAACTAAGAAAAGTAGCATTCAGGAGGAGATTTAAAACTAAAGACAAATTCACGACAATGAAAGAGATCCACTGTAAATAAAAAAGTCATACCTTTCCATAATTCTGAAACATGTCGAATGGACTATGTCGAGGAACATAGAGAATAGATTTGAAGGTAACCTCCCCTTCAGCCGTAAAATGTACATAGGCAAGAGGATTTTCGTGATCCTGAAAATGGTAACGGTCAGAATGGTAGCAGCAATGCATCTTTGGGGAGAAACTACGGCGGCTGAAGAATGAAGGAGATCAAACTACAGATGAATTATTTAAAAAAAAAAAATATGCCTTGAAATTTTGAGAAACAACTTCAAGTAACCGAAAGTAAACTAATATCAATAAAAATATGAGAAAGTTTTAGGAAGATAAATATTGCAGAGTTCATTTAATGAACCTTAGTAATGCTCTTGTAAAACTCTGTGTATTCTTCCGCTTCAACATCATCATTCTTTCGCATCCATATGGGCTTAACGTTGTTGATTTTTTCCCAATCCCACGTTGTTTTTTCGACTTTTTTGGTTTTCTGTTCTATTTTGTCCTCTTCAACTTTACCATCAGCATCTTCAGTCTTTTCGTCATTTACTTTTTCTACTTCTTCAATGGGTTCATCAACTGATTCTGTCTGAAAAATAGTGAACATAATCTTCTGAATGCCAAAAAAGACAAAAATAAGATAAATAACCTTGGACTGCCACAAGTAGATATTAAAATTGATGAATTGACTATACTTTTCCACCAAGTTCTTCAATGTATCGGCTTCTAAGAAGTCATAAGCCTCTTCCTTCAGATGCAATGTAACTTGTGTGCCACGCTTAAGAGTTGCACCCCGAGGATCTTTTGCAACTATAAACCTACAAATCAGCAGAATTAAATAAATCCAATTTTATTCATTAAACAAATTCATGAAGAAAGGTAACAAACAACAATCATATATAACAAGTAAAACTACTCAAAATCAACAACAAAAAAGTGTAATCGATATAAGAACTTACGAAGAACTGTCAGATTCCCAAACGTACTGATCATCATCATTATGTTTCGAAGTTACGACAACACGATCTGCAACAAGATAGGAAGAGTAGAAACCGACACCGAACTGTCCGATCATGTCCTGTTGTTGTTCTAATGATGTAGAAGAATCCAACAGCTTTGACAAAAACTCTGATGTTCCTGACCGCGCAATTGTACCCAAATTATTGATTAAGTCTGTTTTTGTCATTCCAATGCCAGTATCCGTCACATGCAATATGTGATTTTCTGGATCTGCCTGAAATTCGACCAGAGATGGCGAAATGTTTTGAAAATTTATTCAAATACCCAATTGCCGAACAGCTAAACTGAAAAGCCATACCTTAATCCGAACTGAAAGTTCATCAGTAGCAGAAAGAACCGATGGATCCGTCAATGATAACAACCGAATTTTGTCCAGTGCGTCCGAAGCATTTGATATCAACTCACGAAGGAAAATCTCTTTATTTCTATAACATAAATGCTTAACCAAATGTTAGTGCGACCGACAAGTAAAGTTCCCCATAAATCGTTAATCAAATTAACAAGCATCCAACTCCAATCTAAATTTGGAAAAAATGACATATAAATTTGAACTAACTTATATAAAGAGTTAATAATCAGTTTCATCATACGATTTACTTCAGCCTGAAAACTGTGTTTCTCAGCCCGAATTCTTAACTCTTTCATCTCTGCAACAGAGAGCCCATCCAATTTAATTGCTTCTTCCTCCCTGAAACCGAATTTTCTTTCCAATATACAAATAGTATAACTACAGCGGTCGAGAACAACACATACAGCCTATGCAAATATCAGAATTACAGACAACAAGATGTAAACCAGCCTCTGAATAACTTCCTCATCTGTTTTCGAACTGGTCTTAATTCTTCCAATATTTTCTTTCACTGTTGCTTCACTGTTTGACTCAACTTTGGCATTTACCCCCGTGTTTGGAAAAAAAGCTGAAAAAAGACCAAACATGCAGCTTTTTGCTTAACTGACTTTTCAAGGTTTTAACTATTTCACTGTCTGATATTTAGTTGGCAGTAATATTCGAGCAGGGGGTTGAATGTTTTCGTTCCATTTGCTATGAAGATAAAATGAAAGCAAAAACATGGTTAAATTCAATGGTTGTAATGATGCTGCTATGAAACAAAGTTATAAATGGAAATATCTCAAACAACATACCGAGAACAAAAAAGACACCGATGAAGACAATGAGTCTTGCGGCACAGTTGCTAGCCATAGAGGTAATATACAACGACCGTCCCTTGTTTGCAACAAGGAGGTCAAACGATAATCACAATGACAGCTACTCTAAAAAGGACATTCATTAAAACTCTCGCCCTCGGATGTATACATCAAATGCAAAAGCGCTACGTATGTTCAGCTGTACGAGGTACAGAAATGTCTAAAGCACACACTTTTCAAAGAAATCGAAGAAAATTTCTAAACGTTGGTCTAATCCACTGACACATACACAACACGTAAGCAAATGTACGCGTACGGCGTCACCTAACATCACAATCACTCTATACAGTAAGGTCACCACCACTTTATACCAAATACCATCCAACCAACTAACCACCCTGCTCCGCCCACTCCCGAACTTTCTATGATTAAACACAATTTGATTGGCCAGTCGGTTTCTATGGACGTGTATTTCTCCGATTTCACGGGGACACTATGAAAATTTAACGAACGTCCTTTTCGGTGATGCAACTTTACGGCGTACGCATGTGTAAACACGTCATGCATTTCATTAGAATCGCCTCGATGTTTGTCAGTTTTTTTCTTTTAATTTGATTTTGGTAAAACATTGATAAAATAAAATCTCACTTCAGTGTTCTATGTTTGGTGGAATAATGCATGCTTTTTTGTCTTTGATATTGTCAGCGACGTCCATCAAAAATCATTGACCTACAATTTCTATACCATAAGTGTCAAAGAGCGTTTCTTTAGTCGGATGTTTTTTTACTAGATGCAAAACACCGGACTGTTTGACTGTTTGATTATCCTTTGCTGAGCGTTGACCAGTCTCAAACTTTCATAAACAAGTGCCTATCCCAAGATGCTGAGACATACTGTTGTGTTTAACATTTGCTTGGTTTAGCTGAGGTAGCTCATTTTAGCGGCTTTCCATAATATTAAAATGCGTCTTTATAATCTCTGAAGTTCTTTTTTTCGTCTTGAATTTTTTGAATTTTTCCTTGCAATACTGTTTCCTTAGATGTACTTAGCTGAAGGATGTGCTGAAAAAGAAATGAGAGTCAAAACGCTGGTTGACAGCTGCTAATGGCGGAACTGAGGATGAGAAGTAGGAATGACCAAAGGTAAGAATAGCCGACGATTTCTCCATTTGTCAGCTAGCATTAGTAGCAATTAAAGCGGTATGTCAAAGCATACATACTGAATTAAGCTGACATCCTCCTCAAATTATGCAAAGAGCAAAGAGAGTTGCGCTCGTTAACACTGTTAATAATTAGAATTAGTGAAATGAGAACCGCACATATGTATATTGCTAAACACAGTGGAGTTCAGCAGCACTGACAGTTAGTTCTGTTCCTTGGAGACATTTTCCGATGATTTTTCTCTCAGGCTGATGAACGCCTGTGCAAGTAAAATGATGAGACTACATTTAATGCAGTGCTACGGATTTGGATTTTGAAATGCGAACAGAAATGGAGTGCCGAAGTGCTGAGAAAATCTAGTATTGAGACTGGCATAAATATTTCAACTACAAATTTGATTTACATCTCATTTCTGAATCAAATTATGTGTTAGAAATATTAAATGCATTGTTGCGAGCTTATTTTTTTGCGCTGTTTCAGTCCCGACAGGTTTAGTTGAGTTTGCTTGTTTAAATTAAGAAGGAATAACTTATATAATGAACATTTTGGAAATTTCCCATATATAAGTAAAATATATGCTCTAAGAAAAAGAAAGATACTAGCACATTCACGATTTCTGGATGTATTTTCAGTGATTCCATGCCAGTATTGATTTTTATATGTTGTTCGTAAATGAGAGTTGAATGGGTAACTTGCTGGCATGTTTTGAATGAAGCCAGTCTATTACAAATATGATGATAGGGTGAAACTAATCACAAACTCCAAACCTCTATCATTCAAGACAATTACGAACCTCATAGCATTCTAACCTGTCGTGGCGGTTGTCCTGTCTTTTTTATATAGAGGTTAAATATATACAGATGTAACTTATAACACCGCTGATTTGCGATTTTGATTAGTGTTTAATGTTTGAAAGCCTCCCATTTTGTACTTTTATAAGATCCAAAAAGTGATTGATTCCTCGCTGTGCTGAGATGCGTTAAGTCTCCCGTGATTAGGTTTATATCTGCTGTCCAGGTTGTTCGTCTTAAACGTTTTTAGTTGATGACGAATATTGCATTTTCTCAGAAAATTATTTAAGGTTGCTGTGTTATAAGAAAGAATGTTCGAGATAGTTCATTCGAATTCTATCTGATACGATTTATTCATTAAATTATCATATTATTGGTGATGTACTTTTCAGTTCGGAAGGCGCACGATGGCGGAAGCGACGACATTACCATCTGCCAATAACATAATTTCTAGTGTTTCCAATAGTACCATCACTTTCACAGTGAAAGAACAGGTTAGAAGCTAAATCTTTCGATTGAAATTATTTTATTGCAAAAGCAATATTTACTTTAGCTCATGACGAAGAACAATGAATTGAGGATTGGAACTGATAAATACGCATCTCATTTTTCACTATATTTCATTAACTGCTGACTTTTGAATATGATCTTATAATTATTATGAAATGGAGAGTTTCGTTAGGTTCTTTTTCTATGTTTGCGACCTGAAACCATTGTGTGAATCATTAACTAGTTGCTTAAGGAAATTTTTAACTGGGTTTGTGTACGCAGCACCTAGAGGCTATGTGAATAAACCACCTTTCGAGAAACGTGGAAAATAGTTCTATTCAAATTGGATTTCCTCAATTTTGAGATTTTCTTTTTTGTCTTTAGTTATGGCTCGTTCGCTTGAGCTTTCCCGGACATTGAATGCATATAACAATGTAATGCAATGTGAGGTATACATAATATCTCAAGGGAACCCATTCAAAATGTTATTCACTATATTTAGTTCATCTTTCAGATAACAGCTTATGGTTCCATATATGGTATGGCACTGTTCTGTATTGTTATCGGTAGCATTCGCTCTCTTTATTTTGTGCAAAAGCATATGCGTAAAAAGCGACTCATAGAAACTTCGATAACAGTAAACGAAGCTAAAAAGTTTCCGTTAACAGCATCTTGCGTTCTATTTGGGCTTTATATTTTTTTCGGGTATGTGTATTTCGTCGTATATTAAATGTGTAAGGAACAGTAGTTTGAAAACCCTATTGTAATAATTTAAATAAAAGAATGTATGTAAACATGCTATAGTTATTCATCTCCCACGGGAAGATGGTTAGAATTCTGTGGGTGAATGAAGTCAGACATCATGTGACCCACACTGAAAATTTTTAGCAGGTAGTATATTACTTTATTTTTATTAATTTTATGCACTGACATTCTCTTTTTGAGAATGAAATATCAGGTCACTGAAGTTAGGACCTAATCAGTCTGTTATTTTTTCCAGTAATGATTAGGAAGAATTCTAACCACTGCGCAGATAAAATTTATACAAATTTTCACTTGAATTTTAAGATGCGATGCTGAATGCCGGCTGAGAATCTATTCAACAGTAAACAATTATTTGCCCCCAGAACTTTCAAAGCGTCTTGCAATATTCCCCTTGCTGACTAATGCTACAGGTATCTCGGTGGCAATAGAAGGAGACTCTTCTAGAACGTTGTTGCAAAAGGCGTTACATTTCTTGCCTCTCATCAACCAAGTCAATGTAATGTATTTGTTGTTGATGTTGCTGTGTTGGGAAGGTAACATTAAACTTTAAAATACAATTAAACTGTAAAGAAAGATTGGATTTTTAGACTGTTGAGTTTTAAATCTTGAATTTGAATGCTTTTTTAACTTAACATGTTGGCCTGTTATGGTACTATTATTCAGGATGTGTTGCTCTCGCTGCAATTTTAAAGCCAATATTCTCATATGTTCTTCGTAAGCTTCCCATTGGAAATCATCAGCCAAAAATGAATTATCCATATTTTTGGTCACTGAAGAGAGGCAAGATAGAGATGGAAGAAGGTGACGTTGAAGAAGCAGCTAATGATGATTTTGTAGGTAACATGTTTTTATTCTGAACAAGAGATTTCTGTTGTGAGAAATTTTATGAAAAGCATTGAAAATTGAACAGCACTCAGGTCATGTAAGCATGGCTGCATGAAGATAGCAAACAGCGTGTTATGAGGAAGTTTTTATTATTTGTTGTATCATGTGTATTTTCCGATTCATCTTGAGTTTCAGGAATATGTTCTCAAAGTTGAGTGGGATACTCACGACATTGTTGCCATACTTTGTTGCTTATGTGTGGGTGTATCACATCTTTACAGAAGGCACTGGATAACGAATAACATACTTGGTGTTGCTTTCTCGATTTACGGTATTGAAAGCATACATTTATGTAGTTTTAAGGTTGCTTTCCCGTTGTTCATATATGCTTCATGTAACCGGCTTTGTCGCAATGACTTTTTTTCCCTTCGTCTCGAATTTTTAGTTGTGCATTCTTGATTCCCGTCGCATATTTAAACACGAATATGTATTCTAGGCGGGAACAATGTTGTTGGCTGGACTTTTTATTTATGACGTTTTCTGGGTGTTCGCCACCGATGTGATGACCACAGTTGCTAAAGGCATCGATGCTCCATTACTGCTTCAATTCCCACAAGATATCTATCGTTGTGGATTAAATAATGCTGGCAAACATGCAATGCTCGGTGAACGTTTAATAAAATTAAGAATATAGTTTAGGGATTTATCATCATTACTTCTCTTTGTTTTATTTAATTTCATAACTGCATGTCTTGTATATTTTACACTGTGTTAATCATTTTCAAAAAATCAGATCAAGTTCACCTGGAATTCTACCTGTATGCAAGCAAAATCAATGAAAGTACTTTTTATTCGTAATAATTTTCTGGAACGTAACTTGAAGATCAGGCGTCTGTGGCGATAGCAATAATTCATTGTTTGTAGGTTTGGGAGACATTGTAATACCAGGAATATTTATTGCTTTACTTCGACGATTTGATCACTACATTGGTTCGGGAGGTAGTTACAAGAAGCCGCGTCACTACTTCCTCATAACCACGGTGGCATACTGCTTTGGTTTGATGATTACAATGGGCGTGATGCATTTTTTCAAGGTAAAGCAATTTAACGTTCAAGTTATTTTGCTTGTTCGTAAATCGATACAGTCAAGTATTTGCTCAGGATTAAACCTTATTGCAAGTTAACAGAGAACAATTCTGTTTATAATTTCAAAATTTGTAATTGTTTCTATGTGTTTTTAACTTATAATTTCGTTTTTCTTCTTTTTGTTAAGGATTCCTTTTTAGAATTCTTGATGTGTTGTCACTGTAGGTGTAAAAACTCTTAACTGCATACTTTCGAAAATGTAATAAAACTAATAAGGCAATGAACATTTTGTCATCTTATTGACATTTCAGGCAGCACAGCCGGCATTGCTTTATTTAGTTCCAGCATGTGTATTAGTCCCGCTTTCGGTTGCTGGTATCCGTGGTGAAGCATATGAAATGCTTAGTTATTGTGAAGAGCATCTAATCGAGAAAAAACATTCGAAAAAATCAAAGGATGAGAAAAAAACTGACTGATACTTTGAACGGTGTTGATTCTTTTATCTGTTCTTCTATCCATTAGATTCTTCTCTTTACTGACATTGCTTTGACCATTCCAAATGCAGAATTGCCTTCTACTTTGTTTCCCTTCAGTAATTGGTTTTCATCAAACATAATGTAATCAAAACGGTGCAGTGTCTCTTTTGTTCGGCTTTTTAAAGACTGTTTAATTCCCTACATGAGATCGGTTCCAATCATTATAAGCCGTATAAAACGTGTTTTCTGAGACAGAACACTTGCAGTCGTATCAAACAGTTACCGAACGTAACTAGTTTCTCCGTTCAATTAAATCTCTGAAATATGTTATCGAAAAAGTCTGAGTGGTTGAGTGTAGATTTGTATTACTGAAAACGTTGGTTCCCGAAACCTAGTACATATAACAAGAATTGCATTAGTTTTGTTCTAGTCTTCATATACTGAGGTTGAAATTTTTATGATTTGATAAGTATAAGTTTTCTTTTCGTTTCTTAACGACCCATACCTTCATTTCATATTGTTTGTATGGTTGTATATTTGGAACAATTTTTGTTTTGTGATACATGGCTTATTTTATATTGTTAATGCATTTCTTGGATATTTTGCTTGGGTTTTTGTTTTTAAGAAGAAAATGTCAGTTTCTCTTTTTGTATGACTAACAGGTTTGCCTATGTGGCTGTGATTCCCATAAACTCCAAGCATCCAACCAATATCTTGATTGGAATATGCCCACATTATCTCTGAAGGAAGGAATCAAATATCACAGCAGTTTGTTAAAACATAAGCGGAGTGGGGGATTTAAATTTCTTGTGACTACACGGATTTAGTTCCACCATTTGGAAGCCAAATCAAATCCATCGCAAAAGTAACTACGACAGGAAGGGGTACTGCACTGAAGTACATCATATGGAATATAGCCACCACCTTTACAAAGTTTCTGTCACACTTATCTTAAACTTATGGTCTCAAAAACACGGCAGATCTGGAAAGTAACATAATTCGGGACGTCGATTGTAACCTCTCGCGATGTCACCAGTTAGTGTTGTGATACGGCCCCGTCCAGGGCTAGGCAAGGCCAGTGAAAGAGCGCACTGAGTTAGGGGAAGGATAATGATCGTGGCAGTGGTAGTGCCTGTTTGTTAATGTGCGTTGATTATAGTGATGGTCTGTGCAAAGGTACACACACCCACACACATCCACCTATACAGACACACCCTCACACACATCTGCCCATTGAGTATTGTCATGAGGGTAATAGGATGTCACCATGAGCTCCCTACAGGATGTCGTCTTCCTTCCCGCCTTCCTCCTTTTCATAGAGCAGTAGCACAACACTGATAGCAGCAGCAGGAAACGCTTTCCCCGCCACGGACATAATCAAACATACATACATATGTAACACGAGTGTTATCAATAAAACTCGTTGATAACGAGACTTAGCAAGGTGGATAAACAGAAAAGTATGGGGACCTCTTTCAAAAATTTGGTGAAATATGGGTAGGAGAATGAGTAAAAGGAAGCAAACAGTGAATAGTGAGTCAGTTATAGGACTGATATCGATAGTGATGATGATGATGAGAGAGTATAACAAGGCCATTTAACAATGAATAAGAACTGGAAAGATGCTTTTCGAGGGCGAACAACTGCGAGAAAGACGAGGTCGAATCATGAAGATAACAATGAAATGCTATGGTTAACATAGGCCTCTCCTTCTCCATTTTCCTCTCCGTCCCACAAAACCATTATCGGTTGGCAACCTTCCCAGTCCAATTCCTCCCAATATTAAAATATTAAAACTAGTATCAACGAACCACCAATACCTTGCTCTTGCACACAAATGTTGCAGACGCAATCATCAGTTCCACAATATTACTTCAGAACGAGTGAAAAATGAATCTCAGTGTACAATGTATCATCCAAATCATTATCTCCTCAGCTCAATTAATGATATACAATAATCACCAGATGACCTAGTTCTAATCTACACACATGAAAATTGCGTGCCAACCCTTCTTCACGGTGAGCTCTCTTCATCCAAATAGCAGCACTCAAGTTGATTAAATCTACTCTGTTGCTATGTCAGGTAACAAAGTTCAAATCACAACACCTGTACCAATCCAGGAAATTCATTCACTAAACCAGCAAACAAGATGGGAAACCCAGCATTCTTTTCTTATCAAAAACTTTACCATTGCATTCTAGAAATTCTGGAATTCCAGCATACTGATTTACTATCTCATTAACTGAACCAAATGCATTCCCGTATATAGTGTACAAACTCTATAAAACCATTATATACTGTATCTTTCTCTTATCAGGAACATTTGAATGACATTTTTTTTAAAGAGTTACAAAAAACTTTTGCTCGCACCATTATAGGATATTATGCATGTCCATTACTCGACAAACAAATTATGTGAAAAAAGAAATGACTATGCGAGAAAAAGCAAGAAAGGAATTGCAAAGAAAGAAAAAATAATTCTTTTGACACAGGCTTCTACATAAGAATTAAATTGAACTGATAAAATCAATTCAAGTTTGAAAACGTAGACAAATTTGAGAACAATTATGTGCATAAGAGATGGTTTACACCAATCAAAAAAAAACAAAAATGCTATTGTGGAATGGAAAATACAGATGAAGTGAATAAAAGACACACTGGTAACAGAGAGAAAGAGAAAAAATAAATGAAGAGCTGGAAAAAATAAAACAGGTAAAGCTCGGTAGTGCAAAACATGCGTACACAACGGTTTGGAAGTAAGAGATTATGCTTATGCATCGGTAGCTCAAAGGAGGAAAAAATGAATTAAAAAAATTAGCTGCTTAAGAGCTAAACAGGGAAAGCTACACACATATTAACGGAACAAAAAGCACAAAATTAAAGCAGTGTCATTGAAAATCCTTAAAATGAAAAAATTTTTAAAATATGAAAACGACTGGAAAAACCCGGCTGCTGGTCGCTATATATAACAAAGTGACTGTTGAAAACTGGAAGACATCTTCAAAACAATGAATATGCTCCAAAATAAATTTTCAAAAAAAAAAAAAAAAAAAACTGAAAGCATTGGAGCTGCACAGGCTCGACTCCAACCAACACCTTAATCTGGAATCAAAATTTCCCACTCTTTTTTTTCTACCAAATTCTCTATAAAAGTACTCAAACTGTTATAAAAACATTCAAATTGATTTATTGCTCCATCCGATAACGTCCAATAAGTTATAGTTGGCACTTGGTTTCATTTTAGGAATCACACTCGAAAGATGGATCAAAAACCATAGTCGAGAATTACTTCAAAAAAGCAGCCAAGGCAACTCCATTTGATTATATACATAAGTGAGTATCAAATACAGCAAAAAAGAACTGTGGTAAAAAAAAAAAAAAAAACTGCGCCCATTTGCATAAGCATACAAAACTGTTGAAATGGTTCCAAATGATGAAGTATTATGCCAGATAAATCACATTACTAAACCATAAAGAGGAAAATGAACAATAAACCAAATTCAAACATGAAATGTACGTACTATTATGCAAATTTGCAAAAAAAAAACTGCCGTTTTCTGCAATTATGCTGAGGAAAAAGAAGGACCACTTATCAGCTATGGCTTTCGATGTACCACAGTCAAATGGGTGCCGTTTGATTCTGGGCCTGTAACGTATTCTGCTGCTCAAATAAAGGCTGCCCATTGAGATTCCCTTGCAGTGTATTATGCTGTTGCTCTAGAAGTGCGAATGTAGCTGCAGCTGAAGGTGAAATGGAAATTAATGATGAAAGAACCGACTGTGGATTATTGGACACAGCATCATCTTCTTTGACACGACGTCTGAAACGCTGTTGAATAATATCCTTCCGCATATGTACCGGTCGATTTGTCTGCAAAAATCGTTTGCGAAAAAAATTTATTAGTACTAAATATTAGCTCCCTGACTTGTCCAGTAAGAAGCACGATGACTGAAATGAGTGGAGAAGTATTTCAGCAAGAAACACTGCTGCATGGTAGGGTATTTCAGTAAAGTTCAATGAATTATTGTTGGAAGAAAATGAGAAATATTTTAGGGAGAAGGGAAGAACTTTCAGGTGCCAAGATATTTCAGTAATTCTATACATCTAAACGAGATTTTATGTAATAATGGAATAGGGAAATAAAATGTGGAGGGAAGGAAAAGACAAAGTTAATGATAAGGCGGATCGTATTCGATGGAAATGTTAACCGGTTACCAATAAATAATGAAAATTTACCCTATGTAAACGGTAATAAAGGCCGCAAGCATTGCATACTAATTTGCCAGTCTGATCTCTCCTCCAAGCTGTTGTCTTTGTTGTCAAACAATTGCTGCATCGCGACATCGATGGAGAATTATTGCTGCTATTTGTATCTTCTTCCTCCTGATAAAAAAACTCAAATTTGCAAAAGTATGCAAACAAAAGTAATGAAGTTGTTTTTTTTTTTTTCAAACTACTATAATTAAGAGGTATCATATTACATCCCGAATTGAAGTCTACCATAAAGGACCAATAGAAAATTCTTTTATTAAATTTACTGAAGCAATCATTCTCAACAAAATCCATTAAAAACTTTCCTCCCTAGTAAAACATCATTCAGTGAAAGTATTGCAATCCAACTTCAGAAAAAATCAAGGAAAAGCTTACTTCCATGACGAGGTCATTCACGCCGTCTTCTGTGCTATTTGGCGTAGACGATGGAGGAGGATGGGCTGTGGCTGGTTGCTGGCACAACATTGAAAGGATGTTTTGTTGCGCCGCTGCGTTAGTTCCACCAGTGGCCATTAAATTTGCGGCCAATGAAAAAGAATCAAAAAGTGCTGCTGCTGGATAGATGAAACCATCCGTCTTCACTGCTGCTTCTATTGGTTTTTCATTTACAACTGAATCCTGCAGTAAATTGGTTCAAAACTACGAGATATCCAACAAAAAAAAAAAAAAAAAAAAAAAAAAAATGCTCCATCAGCTACAATGTTTAATGCAACGCTGTTGCTATAAACTCCTGAAGTATTCCAAAAAGAAAAAATCGAACAGCTCATTCAGAAAAGAGTAGCTCATATTTATTACATATTTGAAATTTTCTTAATATTTTTTTATCTTAATAACACGCTGGCGATGTATGTCAACAGGTTAGAACGTACATTTGTATCAAATACATGTTCGTTAAAATGTAGTGGTAGCAAAATATTTTTCATACCTTTTAGTAATTTAAAATAACCTACTCTGATAACACCCATCACATATATTGCGAACTGTTTAAAAAAAAAAAGTATTCAGCGTGAAAGCATTTTTGTTTAATACTGTAATAAAATGCTTTCTAAAACAGAATTGTACACTTACCAGGTTCTGAGTAAGCAAATTGTTACTGCTATTAATTTTCTCTACTCTATGTACTGCTTCCCTGTTTGGTTTGCGTTTCCTGCTACCGCTCAATGCATGATTGTGATTATCTGTTGGTGTCGCCTCACTAAAAATTGAACACTGAGTCACCGTGACGTTATTCCGAAAGTATTAATAGAAGCAAAAAAAAGAATATACCTTTCAGCGTTTCCTATTGTTGTATCACTATTTTCAAGCAGTGAAGGCGATGGTGTCTCTTTTTCCTCTGTTCCACATTCCGAGACCTAGAAAAAATCAAATGATAATAATTTCTAGCCTTATAATTCAATAAAAACTCCAAACTGAATGAATGAAAAGAAATATCTCTTAATTACCTCGCTAATGGCTTACACACTTCACTAGTGAAAAGAACGTTTGACAATATTAAAAAATAGAACAGAACTAGAAATTAACTGCAAAAAAATCCTCAAAAATATGACCAGATTAGCCTTCTGTGTCAAAGAAATTGAAAGGAAGCTGTAATTAATTAGACCATACTCCACTACAAAATTATTTAGATAAAAATAAATGAAGAAACCCACTACTAACAAATTTTGCTATTATGGCACTAAATTTCAGCAATAAAATCGGGATGCTTAAATGAAGCTGGTCATACCTACCACTTCATCTTTCAGAGTTATCGATCTCTCAGCCGTACTTTTTTCGCCTTCAGCGCTCACCGCCACGTCAACTCCGTATCCAGGTTGCCTTAGCGCAAATAATGTTTCAACCCGCACACGTAATTGGTCCAGCTTATCAGAGAGCTGGGCAACACAGTCCTGAAATCCAAAAGGTAATATGGAAATAATATTTTGTGTCAACGGTTAATGATTTTTCCTTAGATTTCCCAACAATAAAAACTAGCTACAACGACAAAAAGATTAACACAACATAGCAGCGCCATTACGATGACATAGAACAGGACACTACAGATTTTGTTTAAAGGGAAACGCATTGTCTGCAAAATTCTTTTTACGTATAGATACTTTTAACCCAATTACTTCCAGAAATTAAATTAAAAGTCACTAAAATCAAACCTTTATATCAGCATGAAGTTGCCGACACGATGCACAACCCATATTTGCAGTTAATGGGAGAGGAGAGGAAGCAACCATTGTCATCCTTGCTGCACACACATGCACTCGTAGAGAGTTCTATCTCGAACGTTTCTTCAGCTGAGATCGATGATGGTGCCTTCAACAATAAAGAATGACGTCATTTCTCGTTATCTTCAAAATAAAATGCTCAAATAATTATGCTTTAGAATGCCGAAACAAGCAGCAAACGAAAAAGTCTATAACAGTGATAGTAAGGAGCAAAAAGATGGCGATAGCAAGACGAACAAATTACATCTGTTTTAGTAAACATGGTGATAAATAATATACATACTATCCGGCTGCTGTCATGAAAAATCAAATTCACTGGATTACAATCACTAGTGATGTAAGATGGTTAAGCAAGTAAACTTCGAGACTGAATTACAGATAAAGTAAGAAGTAACAAAATGCAATGGTAATTACTCAATTTGCTTCAATTACTTCAATCACATTGAAAATTACATGGAACATCTGCAGAACGGATTTCTGAATTTCAAGTAGCAATGACGAAAAGCATGAATAAAAATACGCTGAACAATATAAAGTTTGTAAAGTCGATGATGAGCGAGGTGAGTGTTGAGTAGAGAGGGAACGGGAAGATGGAGGAATACTCAATGAGTCACAACAGTGAACATCAGCAATACTCTTTTGTAAAACCAGTTCACAACACGGTCACTTGGAACAAAAGGGGGAGGAAGAGGGAAAGGAAGAAGAGGAGGAGGAGGAGGAGTGGAAGCAGTTGGGACATTACGTTGTCACCTAGGTTAATCGTCGAACGATGATAAAGTAAAGTTGTCGCCTAGATTAGTATAACGAAATGTTATTTGCTTATTTGAGTACTTGCTGGATTCAGCGCCACCGCAACTGCAACACTACTTGCTACCACGAATATTTTCAGCTGTGTGTCGTACAGGTCAATCACACATATGTCACCAGATGATAGCCACGCCTCTCCGCAGAGGCTATTCCCTCATTATTTACATATCTCCGATCGTCCAACCCGCTACCTCACGACCTACCCATATCCTCATATTTTTAGCAATCATAAATCGACTATTCAATATGAATACATTATTAACTTCAACTGATATTCTATTGCATATCAACACTGGAAGAAACAATTCCCGAAATAGCATCAATAGAACAGTTTTTACTTCCTTCTAGGTAAAGCAGATGCTGCTTCGATATTTAAACTGATAAGGAGTAGTCTCGCTGCAATTCATAACACAGTCATAAATCCGAATCCAGTCGACTTTTATTAAAATGAATTACATTTCAGTAATACTGAACAACTGTGTAACCTTCTTACCCTTTCCGTCTCCTGCATATTGCGAAACGAATTCTCCTGCACGACCCACGTACAACTATAGTTTCGTTAAATAGGACGTCCAAAATTTACTACTCATTGGTATATAGCATTCAGTAAACTTATAAAGCAAAGTGGCATTAACAGCGAGCAACAGTAATCACTCACGCTTCAAAAAAAACATGCCTTCATCTTTGAATAAACCATGTAGATATTGAGGTAAGAGATGAAAGTATCATAAGTACTAAGCAATTAGTAAATATAACAAAGTCCTACGAAAACTAAACCAGCTCATCGTTCCAGTAATGGATCATTAGAAAGAAAACAATTCGAATTACTTTTCACATTATGATATTTATGATCAAATCCCCAAATAGCGAAAAATGCAAACAGGGGCAAGTTAAAAAATAAAGAAAACAGACTGTGCTTGAACAAACCTGAAATTAGTTACCAGAAATCATTACTGTGCAACATCAGCACCAAGAGTGATTGAGATATGAGGTTAATTTCAGAAATATCCCACAAAGCAGAAAGTTCTGAATATAAAACTGGTTTTAAAGTAGTGTGAAAAGAAGTGACACAATGGTTTGACAGCTTCAAGCGGAAATGCTAAGGCATGAAAAGGTGAAGTATCAGCATGAATCACGGAAGGAAAAGCAATCCGACGGCTTGCAAGCAAAGTTTCAAATCAATGGAAGACAAGCTCTCGGAAGATATAGTGAAGCTGTATGAATGCAATACAGGTAGAACGTTAGACACTGATCATTTCGCACCTGCGACTGATTAACTTCAACCACCACCACTCAACAGCCGCAGCAGTAGCAGCATTAACACAACATCACAGAACAGAACACTACAGTAACAGTGCTAATAAGCTGTTCGAAGTAGCACTGGAAAGTGAACATTTTATTTCATTCCATGCAAATTTAATATTAAGAACTAACAGCGAGCATTTGGTAAACGGCCAATGACAACGACCACATCAACTCATTAACAGCGTCTAACAGCTTGCAAAGCGGACTTGGACGAATACTGATTTAAGCAACCAATAGTATAGCAGTAGAATGGTGTTGCATGTCGCAACAGATGTTTCACACCATTAATCAGGTGGGCTCGGTGACGAGTAGACGAAAATGTGTTAATATTCGTGATGCCGAATCGACCATTTTCATTTTTATTACCATCATTACGACATAAAACTAATCAAGATTCTACTACCTACAATGATGACATCTACTCAGGAGAAGCAACAAAATTTAAACAGCCTCTTCGAAAAAGGACATATGAGGACCGTGCAGCTAGAAAGTATATGTAAAACATGCTTCCGAATAACATTTCTTCCAACTGATAAGATGTAGCACCGTCCCCTAATGCACCAGTAAATTCGTCACAACCTTGCGAGGGAACTTATTCAAGAGGACTCAGATAAACAATAACAAAAATAGTGCAAATTGACTGATATTTATCAAAATATTATCAGCAGCATCACGGCTTGTGTCAACTGACCACGTAATTAACGTAGGCTAGGAAATGGAAGAGAACAGAGAGATGAAGGATGAGGAAGACATAACAATATCTCATCGTCAGTAGCGAGCAACATAATCTGTCACAAAGAACAACGATCTCGATCAATCACTCTCTGCAACACCTCTGTCCCGTTCTCGTCTTCGCCTACAGCTACGTCTTCGTCTCGTCCTGTCTTGTCTTTTCTGTGGATAATGTCTCGACGACAGAGGTTCGATTGGTAGTAGTGTTCCCCTCCCTCTGTTACTTGCTTCTTCGCCTATTATCGAAGTAGAAGCAAGGGAGGTAACGTTGATGGCTGGTGGAAGTAATGTTGCAAGGCAGTGACGATGACAGCAGTAACCCCTTGCCCAGTCAATCTCTCTGATAGCACTTATCAACTCACTAACTCAGGAATGGAGGACAGACACAGCAGGAGAGCCCAGCAACACTAATCAACAGAGCAGCACTCCTACCTCGAAAGCCAATTGTTAGTAGTAGCAGTCACCCTCACTCGTATCCTGTCACTTCCTCCCCCCGTTGACTGTCCCTTTGTCCCCTTCCCTTATCGTCGTTGTTGTTACCATAATCCCACCTCTTCCCTAAATATAACATTCAAAATCTACTCAGAAGTCAGTCAGTCATTAGTAAATCACCTACACGGTACTCATTTCGGTTTTCTTAACTTCTTCCACACCCTTATCCTTCCCTCTACTTCACTTCTCCCTCTCCTTATCTCCGGCCACTTACCGAACCAAATCACTCCCTCCTTAACAAATAGTGCAAACAGAAAGACGGACCAAAATTCATTTTGACCAGAAGCGACGGTCCCCCTTGTACCATCTGTCAACCACAGCCCAAGCCTTCATCCTATGCAAACATCATTATCAGTGTACGCGGGAGCGGAACTACCCATAATCAATTGAAATCCTTTTCCGAAAACCTCTGTTTAGAATAAATCCCTCAGCATTCTCAGCAATCTGTGCTCCCTCCTAATCTCCCCGAAAAATAACAAACATGCAAATAACGGCATCCTCTAATACTACCTTACACAACAACATCGATTTTCGCATCATATCAATAATAAAAGTGACAACTGCAAAATGTCGTGCAGCAACAATCCTTGTCAGCTTATTAATACAACATTATCGATTTTTTTTTCTGAATTTAATGATAACACACTGAGGGGTACGACGGCTCTCTACAGCAACCATACAAACATAATCGCGGATAATAAGTGTGCTGATGATGAACTACATGGAAAGGTCCAATACCACTGATCACTATTGATAATATATTCCATAAAATCAACGGTAGCCTAGGAATCGGAAAGTTTACGCATGTGAATGCCTGCACGAGATTGTGCATATGTATGCGGTGTATATACTTAATGGAAAAATCGAACTTGACCCACTTCCTTCGGTTCACTTTCTCTCGTGGCAACATATCACAGAATTATCCTTAGATTGTGAGTCAGTGAAGCCACAAACACGAGAAATCGCTATTATCAGTGGTTACATAAATCTTTCCCAAATAGCTTTTTCGTTTGAATTGTTAATAACATAACTGTCAATGAACGGAATGAAGGATTGTGAGGTGGAAGAGGTGAGGGAATGCTTCATCTGTCCAAATCACAAGCGTATTCGAGATCTAAAGTGAGATATAGCGGGAAAATGGACATCAAAAATTTAAATGAGCATATATAAACCTACGTTCAACACTTCACGGTCCTATTTCCTCACCAAACTAGTCACAATGTATGCTCCCTACCTCCTCAATCACACATTCCAGAGTAATTGTGCACGGTGGAAACTTCAGTAAAGTAAGGCGTAAGCTTACAAAAGCATATAGAATCTTGCACTTTATTAAAATGACAATCTCGCCTTCTTGGAACTCACTTCATTTTGTGAATATTATAAATTTAATTTTATGCTAAAAATTGAAGACTACCGAAGGCTGGATGTATAAATGGATGGATAGATGCAGACGGATGGATAGATGATGGATGGATGGATGGACGGACTGACTACTAAGTCAGTAAGTAGTAACTGATGGGAAGAGGGATTGGATAAAAATTTGTGTGCTGAAATGGTAATCAATGTTTCCTGAGTGATATGCAGCACGAGTTTGAAATGGGGTGCGCAGTCACCACCATCAGAATGCAAACATACGACTAAATGGATGGGAAGGGAGAAAGGAGAGGTGGGAGGGAAGGGGAGAGGAGAGGAGAAGGGCTGAGGACCCGGAGCAAAGGATTATGTTAATGGCTGTAGAAAAGACAGAGGTCAACCCACCGTAGAGGTCATTTTCTTTAATAAATAAAACACCTGCTGATAGGGCAATCCGCGATCGTCACACCACGTCACATGCTATTTTCTTTTTTTCTCGGAATTTGCTCGCATCAGTTCTCTTCAACATTATTTCAGCTGATGCTAATTGCCCATGCAGAGTCCTCTTTTAGAAAATTTATTGCAAAACGATCACAAAGGAAGCAAGTGGATTCAGAGCCGAATTCAGTTCTCAAAGAAAAATCTAGTTCGATATTCAAGTTCTAACTTTGGACTACAAGGATCAGAGACTGAAAATCCCAATATTTATAATTACTTTATTACAATCAACAGTCAAATGAAATGCTTTTAGTGCAGAATTTCATTAATCTAGACTTAATCTAGTCAAACTAAAAGGATTCTACCAGCAACCAACAGAATAAAACTTTAAAACGAGAAAATGAATGGGAAACTAAAGTACTACGATGAAGTTTGAGACTATGTTTGTTTCGTCTCTCCTTTATCCATCTTCCCACTTAACACTTTTGACTTTTCCAACGAATTTAAACAGAAAAAAGAAAAAGAAAAAAAAAAACTAACCTAGTAGTTAAGTAAATGAAACATCGCGCCGTCACACAGAGAATGCGTAACTTGCGAGCATTGCTAACAAATTAATTACATGAATCCAACTCAACTGCTTTGATATATGTCTAATCAATCCCAAACACCGAACAATAAACAACATGCAAATTTCTGAACTAGTACAGCTATTAAATATGCACCCCATGAATGAACCTGCGACTGAAATCGGCCTAGTGCTCTCGTCAGCATCAATCGATTTCTATATGACGCAATGCAGACTCAGTTTTTCGCGATGTTCTTACTACAATCACAGCTAGCAGAAATACGAGAATAGATGTTATTAACAGATGTCAAGGGCGATAATTATCACCAGACGACATTTTAGAGATTGCTGATATTGGTTGATAAGAAACTGTTTAGCTCACAGTTAAATAAATATAATGAAATCTGTAATCGTTCGAATCTGGTCATTCTTAGCTCTACATCACTTCCCGAAAACATGCCTCTAGTGTTTTTGCTACTCTTCTTACCTGCACCGTATTACTTCCCGTTTATAAAAAACACCTCGTAAAACTAGAATAATAAAAAGGAACGGGATAATGAGCAGCAAGGGTATTTCTTGGTGCCAGTATCAAGATGAACCTCATGAAATGCTGTCATGAAACATCCTATCAATAACCTTGCCAAAAAAATATCTGCATACCTTACAATCGAAAGCAAGGATGCCAGAGTTTTAAACGACTTCAAAAATGCATCAACCTATTTCGAGAGATACGAAACCATTTAGAGCTCGAGGTTGAATATTCCTGTAGTTGAGCGCCACTAAGCTTCTGATATGATTTTTTTAGTCTTATCCTCTCTACACCTCATCCAAATACGACCACCGGCAGTAGGTTGATTATTTATAAACTTGACATGAGACGCGGTAGTGTTGGAATTTTCTGAAATAAGAACAGCGCATGACTCAGCCACCTCTCAATACTTTCTCCATATCTTATATAAAATTACTCACCTTTCCTTCAAAAATGTTGCTAAAGAGCACGTAATCCATGAGAAAAACAGATTTTATCACCAAGAGGAAAAAAATGATAACAAGGAAATGGCGAAATATACATCCCAACACTTTGCATTAATAAATAATTAATATACAAACAAGTGATTTACTTTAAGCTTCTAGACGGATGAATTAAAATCCGGAATTCCACTTAAAGAAGTGAATCCCACAAGTCCTTCATGATGTTTGGATAATCCACAGGCCTTTGAGAGTAATTAGCTACGAAGGTTACAAATAATTAAATAACTTCACGGCACATTCACAATATAGATTATTAATTCTTAGTTCAATAATAATAGATAATGACGTAATGCAGCTAACACAAATTTTCTATGCTTATCGACGAAAGATTTTTTCCTGCGGTAAACCCAAATTTGTAATTCTGCAAAATGGTAATATAAATGTAAAATGTCAAAATCGCATCTTTATAAAAAAAATACGTCCAAGCTACTCTGCTTTTCTAAATTATATCAATAACCCGTAGTGACAAGAAAAAAACTATTTTTAAAACAATTTGTAGGAATATATTAATAAAATTTTAGATACAAAGCAACTTTTTACACTGTCACGAAAAAAATTTTCTACACTTATCGAGAAACAGTGTATACAAAAAGCTAGAATAAGACAAAAGGAATACCCCGATCATTCATTCGATATAAAATGTTCGCAGGTATACATAAAATTAATTATTGACCTAGAAATTATAGTACAGCAACCTTTGCGTACAAATTAGTGAAAAACCAATCATGAAGGAATCTAGTCAATCTTCACCGTTGAATAAATTTTATGAATAAATTTTGCAGCACCCCAGTAGCCAATGGTGCCACACATAAATCCGAGGGCTGCACTAAACAATCCCATGTACCCGAAATAGAATACAGTCTGGAAAAGCCCATACATCCTGAAAATTCAGTCTTCCTAACTTTTGAACCATATTAGTTAGAATTCAATAAAACTCTGACGAAATCGAATTAGAATAGTGAACTTGAAAATAACTAACTTTGTCTTGAACAAGAAGTAATAGATTGAGTAAAGATAGACATAGAAGGATGTAGATGCTCCTGCCAGAAAGCTAGTCCATCTCCTAAAGAAACTGCCACAATTAGTGTAAAAAATTTACACTTGCTTTCGATAACAATATATAGATTTTATTATATATTATATAAAATCTAAGAGTGAAATAGTTTGAATCGATAATTTCGAATCGAAACCTACCATCGATAATCTTCGGCATTCAGAAGGAAATAAGTGCATACAACTGTAACGCACATTGTAACAATTGCAAGAATAAGAGTAACCAGCAGCATGAAGCCATAAACATAGTATATTTTATATGCCCAGAATGAAGTAAAGATGAAGTACCTGAAATTTTCAGGAGCACTGTATTATCACAGTAGAAATTCTACAAAAATACGATTCTTTTCTTTCAAAAAATAGGAATTACATTTCAATGAAGATAGAACCAAATGGCAGAACACCACCAAGAAGAATTATCAATGATGGTTCCAAAAACCATTTCTTATCCGGAATCGGCCGTGGAACAGCATTTACTCGACATGGATTGCTACTCTGTCCTTTCACGTTGCGTCCTGAGATCACAGAAATACTTTGTTAAAGTTAGGTAAAATACTTTTTCAGTAGATATATACGAAAGTAACTGACCGAGTACAGTGCCCACTAAAGTTAACGGGAGAATGACAAATAAGCAAATAGCGGTGACGGCAAGCATAATTGTGAACGGGATAGCTCTTGATGCATGGTAGGATATTGCGACGATGTTAACCAAAAACGCCACAGATGATATCAGAGAAGGCAGAAGAAAAGCACCAAATACCATTTGGCGTATCCATCTATAAAAGTCGATAAATGAAACTTCATAAGTCTATTTAAAATCAATTTCTTGGTTCTAAAGTTGAAAAAATGAAAAACAAATTACTGCTTGCCACCAAATCGCGCATACATTGATCCACCAGCAAAGCCATTCACTGGAGATGCTGCAGCATATACAAAAATTGCAGCACTCAACAATGACCCTCTTCTGAAAAAAAAAAAGAAAAAAAAAACGAAATGAAAGATAAAATTCAATACAGTGCAAGATTACCGAATACTGAGGTCATATCACACAATTCCTTCTTTAAAAGGCCAAACTTACTCCGTATAAAATTCGCCTATAATGGCAAGAAAAATGGTGATTATTACAACTGCAAACACGTGATATCCAGTACCCACTAGCGATGAAAAAAGCATTGGAAACGATGGTGTTCTGAACACATCTCCATGCACCTGCTTCCAACCATATTCATCACCTAGATCACGTTCCTGAAAAAATCCATCTAGAAAAAAGAACGGCTAGGTTATCTGCCCACAAAATCTACACAAGTTCGAAATCTACACAAGTAACGATAAATATTCTAGGGTGTGGGGAATTTATGAAAAAACCATAAAAATGTAATTTGATAAGGAAAATAACGTAAGGAATCTCCAAATAAAAATATCATTTTACCATATCATCAAGATCTTCATCTTTCTGATAACGAGCATAATCTTTTCTCAGTGTTCGCATGAGTATCATCCAGACCAATCCAACCAGAAAGATTACCATCATGAACGAATTGAAAATGGAGAACCAGTGTATCTAGAAATCCAGAACCTAGTGTATGAAAAAAAAATTGCACTGAGATAAAATAACCTACTCTGTGTTGAAAGAATGTTGGATCCAGATATTTTTCGAACCGTTTATCAAATTCAACATCAGAAGATTTCCAAACAACTTCGTATGTGAAAGAAATAGATGCGCCAGGTGCTAGTGAGACGCGTACATCTGAGGTCACATTAATATCCACAATCTTTAAAAAATGTCAACAAATTATTCGCAAAAAGAACTTCAGTACGATAACTACCTAGGTTAATCAGCGCAGAGTTAGATAAGATCAGAATCCAAATCAATGAATGAAAAAATTAGATGTCTAAAATAACACACTAACGAAGAATAAACTGTCACCTACTTGTTTTCCGTTATAACCAATTTCTAGTTTTTTATGTGTGAAGAGTCGATAATTTGGAGGAGTTATTGATGAGTCGACCTCACCAACCATACCTAAAATCAGTTTCATTTCTGATTGCATTAGTGAAAAAAAAAAAAAAAACATCTAGGAAATATTAGCATACATATAATCCCTTAAACTCCGATTGCTTGAACTTCTACAGCTAGATGAAATACAATTACATAAAGCACCTACCATACATAGGCAGTTCATCAAGATACATTTGATACCAATAATTGTTTCGTACTGCATAAACGAACTGCTTGTAGTCTTCTTCACTAAGAGTTTTCTTACAAAACTCCATTTTTTCCACATTTTCTACAAAAATATTTTTTTCAACAATAGAAATAGTTTTCATTTATCAAGACGGTTAAGAAATAAAGCTGCAGACAATAACCTTTAAATCTGATATCCAATCCTGAGTAATCAAGTTCAACGCCCAGCAATGCTTCTCCCAGTGTTTCATGATAATGACTAATTGAGTACTTCGGACCTCTACAGAAAGGTAATGAAAAATATGTGTAAGTTTCCTGCCGATTGCTGTATGGACCAACTGTATTCATCCATAACACAATCTTAATTTTAGTAAACATCAGAAAAGGGAAATTTAGATCACATACAGCTTGCATACTGAATTTATACATAATTATTTGTTTCCCTGCAATAAAAGCCACCTCCTCACTGTGCATTGTAATGAAAAATGTGGATTTAAAACTTTTTCGAATATGTAAAAATTAAGATTCACTTTTCAGACCTACAAAAATACGACTATATAACTTCAAAGTGCTATCAAAATTTTCTTCCAGATTTTATACCATCGAATTTTAATGTTCTTCTTTTTGACTTATTCCATTTTTAAACATATGTTAAAACAACACAAAAAGATTTGTGGGTGAATGTTGTTGGCTGACCTCCTCACCGTCACGATATAGATGATCATGTTCATCGCCCTCAACAAAAAGATATGCCCATAGCACTAATGCACAGATAACGCAACGCATTATTCGATGAGATCCAAAAAATATCATTCATTCATTAAGCAATATGAAATATCTTTTTCAAAGTTTATGAGCAATGTTTATGAAAATAACTATTACGACAAAAATCTTGTCTCAAATTGGTTTACATACATGACTAAATCTAAGTAAAATTCAAAATGTTTATAAATTAAACTCACGAGAACTAATTAACAACCAGTAATATTCGGTTTCTACCAATCAAATAAAAGTGAATTTAAAATTTCGCCGAGCCTGCAAAGAACAAGATTCAGTTTTTTGACCATCAAAATATATACATATAATTGTAAAATGTTGTGAAAACCTTAAAAACAAAATTATTTAAAAGATTCTGTTAAATGATCCAAATACCACTCCTTGAAATTTCAATATTCTTCCTAGCGATGAGATTTGTTCAAATCACATCGCATTCCAATTGATGAATATATTTATAAAAATAAGTGAAAAAAATTACAAATATATACAATGGGAATTATAAATCTTGATCCCTTCAGCAAGGTTCAAGCTTCACTGCTACGCCGTTCAAAATGATCCAAATCGAAGTTTGAAAATCTCTATTTTCAAATGAATATACTAATAACTATACAATTACTTGAAATAATTGTTCCTGTTGCCTGAATGCATCTTAAAACTTCATATCAGACCTTTCAATATATATAAATATCAAAAATCCAGAACGTATGCTTCGAGTTGAAAGCTATCCTAATTTCCAAAATTCAGGTCAGACTCTACCAGAAAATGGACTCAGAAAGCAAAAATATGACATAATCTGTTTTTATGTATGTAAGAAAAACATCCACTTCAGCCTAAACGTATGGTCTGTCACAAGAACTTCCCTTTGCAAAGAATGATTATTTGTAGGCTTACAAATATTACTTATAGAAACTGGCACAGAAAGGGAACTAAGTAGACACAAAATGCAGTCACGAAATTATAACAGGCATATGTTACGGCGAGAAAGGATAAGAGCGTACTCTATCCGCCATTTATTCCATGACTTGATTAGGAAGTCAATGAGAACATAATCTTTAGAGAGAACTTGTTCGAACTTGAGTATGAATGTAGACTTGTAGCCAATATATAATAATGTAGAATGGACAGCATTTTAATAAAAGTTATGGGAATTCATAACAAAAAAAGAAAAACAATTTAAAACATGAAGCAATGGATCTATGTTAATCAATTACATACGATAAGCCCACTTCTTTATTCATTCGTCTGAATAATTTCATTTTAATGAACTTTATTGGAATTCACCATAAAGAAGGTCTAAAGTGGAAGGGAATGAAGTCGCATAAATGTTCTACGCTCCTTCAAATTACATTATTAAACACTGGAATTTATTCAGCTCAACACTAATCTACCTTTTGGGAACTCTCACAACATTAAATTCGGGAAGCTAAACGTGGAAACTTTATATACGCCTACTGCTACGCAAAGCAGGACGAATTCTAAGCCCCATAAGCTTTATGTTCACTGTGCAATTATTCAAACCACAACAACACGAGTGCATTTTTGAGAATTCTTATAAGACCCTTGTGATGCAGTTTAGACGGCTGGCTTCTTTTCCTTAGTTTTTACTGGTTAGATTGGAATTTTGAAGAGTAAAATTAGTATACGATGAACTATGCCGAGAGAGATGATTCATAAGCAATAAAATCTTCAATTGGGCATTGCATAATACAAGTTTGACTTCAAGCATTAAACATTTGTGACTGCTTTAAGGCTTGGTTCTTTTTTTTTTTTTGTAAGATCTTACGAATGGAATGTATCGAGGAGGCTATTTTTAAAGCTATCAAATACCGCAAGTTCAACTCTTTGATCACAGAAACTTTCGATTTGGCTTGTGTCCAGGCGAAGGAAGCATTAAAAAAAGGAAAAACTCCTTTTCCTGTGGTTGTCAAAGATTGCTATATGTTTGTTATCTTTTTTTTGACATTATTCATATTTCTCAGCTTTATTGTGAAATATGTACTGCAGCGCTCATTCCTGTTAATGCTCAGTGACATTGTCTAAGGTGTCAGTCATTTCGTAACAGTTCAAAACAATGTATTTTTACACCCATAAAAGATAATTTTTATAGTAGACCGGATTAAATGTCTCAACTAAGGAGCTTTTATTTAAAAGTCATTTTTATAACTTCAATATCCGGACTGAGTATTGAGCAGTATTCCTTCGGCAAGAATGTTCGGAGACTGTATGCACTGCCGGATTAGTTCTACTCTATAATATATTACAGGGTTATTTTCTCACACTTTTTTAAATATTCAAGTTCCTATTCGTACCTAAATTTTAGGACAAGGAAAGTCCGAACAACGTGCGCATCACGAAATCTATCAAATTTCATTGCGCCGTATACTGCCACTATTGTCAGCAGATTATTTAAAGAGGGTAATTTATTTATATGTTCTGCTATTATTTTGTATGTTAAATGAAACGGCTATTGAAAAATTATTATTCAGGTGGTTGTTTGATTGGGAAAGCTAATATGGATGAGTTTTGCATGGGAACATCAAGTTCAAAAGGTTATTTTGGACCTGTGAAAAATGGATTAAGTGACCAAGCAAATCTCGGAACTGATTGGCGAAGTCCTGGCGGATCTTCTGGCGGTTGTGCTGTAGCAGTGCAATTGGGTATTTCATCAGTGTTGGTATTTGAAGCATCAGATTCCAGTTCTAGTTTTCACGTATTGTACTTACCGCCTTGTGTGAGATATTTTGAGTATTACAGAAGTTTGGGGTCGGACACTGGTGGCTCATCACGGAATCCAGCAGCATTCACAGGACTTTTTGGCTTCAAACCTTCCTATGGAATCCTATCAAGATATGGGCTCATCCCTTTAGTTAATTCACTTGATTGTCCATCAGTAATTGCTAGAACTGCTGCGGATTGCAACTTCTTACTACGTAAGGATTTATAAACTTCAACCAGTTGTTAGCTTGTAGTAAATTGTCGGAATCAGTTAGCACAACCATAATCTGAGGTAGCCGCATCTTTGCAACAAGTTTATTGATGTCATCTTTCTGGTCTGGTGCTAGTTTATGTCGTTGTAGCCAGAAAGTATTAAGAGCTTCATAAACATTTCACTGAGTGGATATATATATTGTTATCTTGCAGAGGCTATGAATGGTCGAGATGCGTTGGATTCGACCTGCATTGATGCGCCGCCATCTTGTTTTATGAAAGGAAGACCAATTTATGGGATGACTGTCGGCATACCCAAGGTAGATTGTAGAATCAGTCATTATTAACTTTATAGGACTTCTTCAAAGATTCACAGAGTGCTCATAAAAACTCATAAAACTCCTTTCACAAGTGTTCTGTATGTTTGCTTAATTTTACTTCCGCAGTAGGAATATTACAATGAAACATTATCAAGTGAATGCTGGAAAGGATGGAATGAAGCTGCAAAAGCTCTAGCTGCGTTAGGCTGCAAGATAAAAGAAGTGAGCATGCCATCCACAACCTATTCCATAATTTGTTATTATGTGCTTGCTGAAGCCGACATTACATCAAACATGGCAAGGTGAAATTTATATTTTATAAAACTTCGTGAACTGAAATTTACATTCCATAAAACTTAAAACCTAAAATATAGTTGTAGACAATTCCCATATTATCAGATACGATGGAGTCAAATATGGCCACAGATCAAATTACGACAGGTCAACTTTTATGCTATATTCCGCAACAAGAAATGAATCTCTCAATGAAATTGTTCGTAGGAGAATATCCGCAGGGAACTATTTCTTGATGAAATGGTATAGCTTCTCTAATTTTGCATTTCAAATTCAATTTCATCAGTGTTGGACTGGGAATTAGATTTTCCGCCTTGATAGATAATTATTATAAACACAAGAATTATGCAGAAGTCGTCAAGTCGTCCAGTTCATTAAGACTTCTGATGCACACGACATGTTAGTAATTCATAGACTTACCGTAGGATATGTGATCTTTCATGTTTTGACACAGTATGGGTGTTGTTAGATCTATGAGATTTCCAATCGGATTTTGTGTGAATTAAATAATTTAAATTCAAAGTAATTTAAAGCTTTTCGAGTTAAATGTTCCGCTTTGAGATTAATTATAGCCATTACGATGAATATTTTGGACAAGCTCTTCGTGTGCGACGCCTAATCAAAATGGATTTTGATCGCGTCTTTCGGAAAGAAGGATGTGATATCCTGTTAACTCCTGTGACAAGTGGTATACCACCACTGTTTTCCGAAATTAGTGACACCGACGGGTACAGGCGAGAATGTCAAGACGATTTTTACACACAACCCTGTAATTTGGCAGGTGTTCCAGCAATTTCAGTACCATTCATGAGAACGGCGGATGGATTTCCAGTTGGCGTGCAGATTATCGCTGATCATTTGAAAGATGGTATAGCACTGGATGTGGCAGAAAAGCTTTACGAATATTCTGTTGTGAAAACTGTAAAACAACCATCTGTAGCTAAGTAGAATTTTATAAACATTATGCAGTAACTTATAAGACATAAATTTCCGATGAAACTATTACCATTCGTTCAAATTTGTAAAGTCATTATGATTATACATGCTTGTACCGTGTAAATAATGAATGAAGAATACGCAGCGTGCTTTTCAAATCACCATTTACAATGTCCTGCACTCTTGCGCGTGGTTTTTGCAAATCGGCTTCATACATCAGCTGATATGCGAACGTAACGTTATGTATTTTCTGCTCATATGTTAATGCCTTAAAAATGTTGAGCTCATATGAAATCGATCATAGAAAGAAAGAAGGCTTAATATTCAACTCAAGACGTGGTTCCTCACATGCTGACTAGAACAGTCAAACCATTTTTATCTTTAAAAGTAAACAATAATGTCTACAAAATAAACCCTGCCATTATCAACAGTACGAATACCTGTAGATCGAAACTATAAAGTGGAACAAAGTATCCTTCCAGTAAACCCATCAAAAATATCAAATAAACACCATCCTTGAACTGATTCTCCAGATCTGTCACCTCCAAATTAATTTTGTTAAGATGTTTATTACAGAAAGCCAACAGTGAACTCTTTACATGAGCCAGTTTGTCTGGTCCGTAGTCGAATAGAGTATCAAAAGCATCTCTCTCACCCTAAAAATACAAGCTGTCTTTCAACTGAAATGAAGCAGAAATGAATGAAGTGTTAACTAATCGTTATCACTTTCAATCCAACAGCATAGTGAAATTCGTGAATAACCTTGACACCCAACTCTGACTGGGTTGTTGTAAGCTGTTCTGTGATATAACGGCTTTTCAGTTGATTGTCTTTTTTCTGTAGGACGAGGATCTGTGCATTCACATACTCCGGAAATCTAACAGGAGCACGGAAGTATATAGCAATCGCAACCAATAGCTGTATAATTGCTACCATATCCTGCAACGAACATCCAATTACGTAGATAGTGCCTCACAATTCCTAAGAAATCCCAAAAAAACCAAATTTAAGATAACACTATCATTAAAAACAATCAAGCCAGCTATATTCGACACGTAAATAAAATGGACCAAAGATCCAAATCCCAACCGCATAAAAAGAGCGATAAGAAAACCATGAAGGACACGCACAAAAGGATAAGGAGACTTCATCCTCCTACCTTTCCTCTAGAGAATTCCACAGAACATAAGGTCAACTTAAGGACAACCACAGATAGTCAAGTATTCTGTAATTAAATAGAAACCTTGCATGTGTAGACATCATTTGTACTTTATGCACTGACGACTTCCTACAATTCATGTCATCCGACAACTTTGGAAGGTGTCTAATCATTAGTTTCATTCGATACTGATAATTTTACACAACGCTTGCATAAAAATGAAAAAAGAATGTACTGAAAAGAACCAATACTTTATTGTGAATTAGATCAGCATTCCATTTTGCTTTTTCATACTGTCCTTGAGCGATGATGCGATTAACAGTCTCAATCACTTTGTGCAGTTTTTGCCGCTGTCCTTCCTCACTTTGCGATACTTCAGGTACTTCAATCTGAACGAATCACATTGCTCACAGCAACTAAATTAATTATTCATCATGGGAAATAAACTAGCGATTAATTCAAGATCCAAACATTTAAAAAAAAAAAAAAAACCATTGCTGGCATACCAGATATATTTGGGAAATAAGGAATACATACCATACATATATACGCTTCAAACGAGAGATACAGACCTTGATATTCGCTAGTTTTTCAGTAAGTTTTTGTATGATTTGACCGTCGTACAAGTCTTCTTGTATGTGTTTCACAACGATTCTTTGCGATGCTAATTCATAGTTCAGCCAGCGAATCAAAAGCTGTATCACTTCTTGTATACGTGGGTCATCACGAGATTCCATGGTCAGCAGTCTTTTTTCCTCGCCTAGGAAGAAATTTCATTTCATTTTAATATCATATTAAGTAAATTTAAATATTATGCATAAATGTTTTTGCCAAGAAGTCATCTGGTGACACAGAGTTTAATATTGGCAGCAAGTTTTTGTATAGCCCGACAGTCTTTTTGTATGTGTTTCATAACAATTCTTGATCTATATTGAAGTCTGTTTCATAACGATTCCTGGTCTACATCAAGGACAGCTGACTTTTTAACCACAACAGTTGTGCATAATACCTAAGCTTCACACTAATTTTTTTGTGTATAAATTTCTACAAAACTGTGTAAACTATTCAGAGATCTCATGAGACTATGAGAACTACAAATTACTCCAACTCATTTTTTGAATAAATCTCGCTCTTATATTTCTAACTCTTCTTTAAATGTTTCACTTGTGATTGTGAATACGAAGGAACACATATGAACTATAAGGCATTTCAAACTCGCTTTTCATAAACAAACTTCAAGCTCCACAAACTGGTTGAAAAGAATGAAAAGCAAGGTAACCGAAAATACTTATGCACTTAGAAAAGCTGTCTTGTAAACCTACCTTCTTCAAGCATAATATTCTGCAGAGTCGCTGAAACCGGGATAACTGCAGAATCAATTGCTTTTGCTCCTTCTGTTTCAACCTAAAGCTAAAAATTTCCAATATCCTGCTAAGTTACTATTAAAAAATTGGAAAAGACCACATAGAATTGACAGGAACTACGGATAAATCAACGCGATAACTTCGCAGCACTTCAATTTCATAAATTCTTGAAGTCTATCTTTAATACATTCAGATCACGCAGTACAACTATGTGTTGAGATCTATCAATTTTTCTGCTCCATTCACCATCTTTCTTCATCCCAAACCTTTTCCATATACTCTCTCACTTTGCTTTGCAGAATACAATGATTCTTTGTTTAATAAATACAATATCTAGTTAAGGCCGTAATCAAGTATTTGCTATATTAATTTCCAAATCAAACATTATATTCCATGCTATCAGACAACGTGACGTTCAATTTTCAGAAATACTTCAAATTCAATGAAGTTAATCAAACTCATCCGACTTCATCCACTACATTCTACTTCATGCATGTGAACATCATGAGATTTAAATCATAAAAAGTGAGAATTGAATTAATTCAACCATGTGTAAAAAACTGACTTCAATAGCTTCATTTTCAGCTTCTTGTTCCAGTTGTTGAGATTTCTTCTTTTTTCCAAGAGTTCCTAGCTTTTCAAAAAATGATTCATCCTAAAACCAAGTTTTCACAACTCACTTACTGCAGGTACATACTAAGAAGGTATTACAATTGTTAAAGAAAATGCGAAAGAAGTTTGGTAGCATTTCCAATGTCGTTGAAAATACATTAGGTAGAATGTATTTTCTAAAATCCTACCCCATGCAAAATCCACTTTATCCATCAATAAAAGGGAATTACGCACTACTTCTTTTCTTTCTGTAAACAATAACACAATTACTCTATTTGGAAAAATTTTTTACCACACACTCACTTTAGAAGCGTCAGAGAGGAAATCGTACCATTGAAAACGAGAAAAAATTTTCTAACCTTCTTCTCCTTCCTGATTGTGCCCTTCGATGGAAAATTTGGTTCAGTGGACAATCGAGACGTCATATCTGAAGCTAACATTTCCACACTAACACCGCTTTAGCCGTAGTCGCAGCAGTTAAAGCAGGAAGAAAGGTCGACTAGGTGTTATCAACTGGTCGTCAGCTGTCTACCTCTGTCAGTCCGCTGGTATTCCGCTTCTGAGTCAAACAACTACACTACTGGAAAATAGGCTTAGATACTACGAACAACGCGATAGTAAAAGATACTAGGAACAAAGGTAGTATATTTCAAGCTAAATGGATCGATCGTTTCGCTTCAAACATATCTACTTCTGAATTCCACAAAATTGACTTCCAAAGATAAAGAAAGAAAACACACAAAATTACGGATCAAAACGTCAGTGAATTTCGGCGATATCCGTTCGGAGAACTCTTCCCACTTCACTCTTCACAACAACAATTTCACATTTGAGCGTAATACTGTTTGCAAGTATGACCATTAAACATTAAACAGTTCATCTTCATAATCATAAAGTTTAATAAGTATAACAAGAACAAGAGCAAGCATGAACAAAATAAAAAATAACATCATTAAAATGAACAACAGCAATGATTTCAAATATTTACACAACAAAAGGAAACAAAGGTAATGACTCAAAAACAACACTGTTGTAAAGAACAGGATTTTTTTTTCTAGCCTGCATTTTTTAATTGTGCAACTTCATCGTCTAGTTTCAAATTAATCGTTTTTACCGTGAACCTAAGTTTTCGAAAATTTTTGATTCAATAATATGAAACAATCACAAATCTTACGAAGAATGATTCAGTTAACATTTCAAAAAACTTTGTATCTTCCTGCTGTTGAAGCATTTCGTGCACCTGTTTGTGCCTGCAAATAATAAAAATTAAAGTCTCTGTTTGTTGAAATGCAAAAAACTTCCTCGATATTATTGATTAGTTAAATCACTAAACTATAATTCAAAATTCCAAAAGGAAAGAGGAAAAAAATCACCATTTGCCGCACTGTATCCTTCATAATTCTTAAAATTTCTTCACGTGCACGACGTAACGCAAGCTCAGACCGTGCTTCCAAAAATAGGAAAAGCTTTCTTTCACCATCTTTCGGCTCCTTATTACCTGGGTAATAGGATCCTTTCACGGAAATTCCTACGTCAGCATATTCTTGCACCTGAGCTAAACTGTCCTGAAATTTTGATAAGTTTTTATATGACTTTTTTTAAAACCCAGTGTTTTCAAGTTCAACGATTTAAAACATCATTTACACAATCTACATTAAAACTTTCTATGAAAACGGTTATTTGGATTTCACTTACAAAAAGGAATATGGTAAAACTCTTTACCCTGGAACATATTTTATAACGAATTTGCTGCGGGAAATCATTAATTTCAATTTCCTCTTCAAAGTATTGCAATTCTGTTTCTGTCTCGACTCCTGGGATTAATTCTGATGGAATATAATTTAAGCGTTCATTTAACTGCTCTGCTTTCTGCTTCGCTATCGACTTTGCCTGGAGAAGAAACAAAGAATTGAAAACTTTTACTATAAAAATCAAAAACTTTCATAATTATGCAAGTTTCAATTTAAGCAATAAATAAATATCAAGTATTAACAGAAATTTTAAATACCACATCTAACAGAAGATGTCTCTAAGAAGACATATTTAGGATAACACAACTAACCGATAATGCTATCGGTACCGCATCATTACCACGCATGACAGCCTCTGCTGTCAAAGAAGCTGCGTCCTTTTCGACTGGTACGGTAACTCCAAGTTGCTTTGCTTCAGCAATTTTTGCCGCCATTGCTCGAGCCTATAAACCAAAACTTTAGTTTAAAAAAAAGAATCATTTCATGACACAGAATAAAAACCCTCACACTGGAAAAAACATGAATTTATTTACTAAAAAAACATCGTAGAAAAAAATCAAAAAAAAAGAGAATACTTTTTCTAATTTGTCACCAGCAACCCCTGAGCCAGAAGTTGTACTACCAAAAGTATGACCCTCGACAATACGTCTTCTGCCCTTCATCATACTACTGAGCTGCTGCTCTATCTCATCATCATCATCATCATCCACAGCATTTTCCATGCCATGCATTAAACGCGTAACTTTTCTCCGCGTCGCTTCTTTCTCATCTTCGGCCTGAAGAAAAAAACCTTTTTAATAGTGAGAAATATAGATACAGTGTACGTTATTATAACATTATATAGTTCTCAAAAACTCATTCAAAAGTCACCTGATCATACTTGTAACCACTTCCAGAAAATCCACAACCCCCGATATAGACCGTTTTTCCCTCTGCTGCCATATGTGCTTTATAGTCTTCCCACATTTTTTTCAGCTGTTCTGGTGGCTCCTTCCCAGCTGTTTCGAAAGCGCGACATACTTCGCCTGCCATGCGTTCCTGTCCTATAGACTGATAATATAAATGACATAAAATTCAACGTGTTTAAAAATTTGATTAGTGATTTATAATTGACGAATAACCGGTTGGTAAGATGAAAGTGTAAGCATATCCTTTATTGCCTGCTCTTCCCGTTCTACCAACACGATGCACATAGTCCTCATAATGATTTGGACAATCATAATTGACTACAAGGATCAGTTTCTTGATATCTAATCCACGTGCAGCCACTGATGTTGCTACCTGCGAAACGATAATTTTCATAAGGTAAAAACAAGTCGAACTTTTAATTTTTAAACATTTTAAATATTTACAAAACCAATCTTCAAGTAAAACAAAAACATGTTGCATGAAAAGAAAGATAATTTAAACTTACTAGCAGCTTAATTTTTCCAGCCTTATAGTCAAGGATTGTTGAGTCACGATCGAATTGATCAATACCACCATGTAATGGAGCACAATTATAGCCACTGCGCATTAGTTGTGCGACGAGATCATCTGCTTTCTCTTGTTTGTCAACAAACACCAAAACATTTCCGTTTTCCCAATAGACACCGAGTAATTCCAAAAGTTTTAGCATTTTTTGGTGTTCTTCCAGAATTACAACATTTTGATTGACATCGTCACAAACGACGCTTTTACCTCCTACCTGAATATAATTTAATTTCGAATTTACTTAAAACCCAAAGCAAAATGAGTTCACTTAATAACCCTCAAATCCAAATACACCTAAAAAATTAATTACCATTATTTCAATCGGTTTATCCAAAATCTTCCTTGCAAGTGCTTCCATTTGTCGCGGAAAGGTTGCAGAGAACAAAACCGTCTGTCTATCGGGTCGTATATTATTCACAATTTTCATCACTTGTGGCTCGAATCCCATATCGAACATTCTGTCTGCCTCATCAAGTACCAGATATGTTACCCGTCGCAAATTTGTTACTTTGCCTCAAAGATTTAATCGAAAATCAAAATAGAAAAAAAATTTTACAGAAAAGGATAGCGTTATTATAATGCAGAATAAGATAAATAAAAAACCTGAATTTCCAAATCCACTAGCTCAATGCCTGAAGAAAATATTAAACCTTTATTTGCAGCGAGCATATCCGTAAGACGCCCAACAGTACACACAACAACTTCAGCTCCACGTTTCAAATCCCCTATTTGATCAGATATTCCGACACCACCATAAACACATGCAACACGAACATTCAGCTGTTTCGCGAACTTATTCGCTTCCTTCCATGTCTGCATTGCAAGCTCCCTTGTCGGTGACATTATTACGGCTGAAAGTCACTCACATCCGACGAAATTTAGAAATTGAAGCGCTAATTTAATCGTAACAGCTAATATACTAGAATTATTTCTGTGAAACATACCAATGGGACCATCCATTTCTTCCAATTCTGGTTGATCTAATATGTGTCTAAACATAGGAAGCAAGAAAGCAAGTGTTTTACCACTACCAGTTTTAGCAATACCAATAACATCACGGCCACTAATTATTGCTGGAATTGCTTGACATTGGATTGGTGTCGGTTTCTTATATTCTAACCTAAACATTCAGCATTAATAAATTTTTATAGATTCTCAGCTCTTCCTCTGGTTTTTATCAATGGAATAATTACTCGCTTTAAACGGAAACAATGTAAGTTATTAAAATGTTTACTTCTTTAAAGTACTCAAAATTTTCCACTCGACGCCACACTGTGCCCATGATCTGATAGGTTTTGGACAATTTTTACCCCTCACGCGTATATCGAGTTCTTCTCGATATTCGTCAACTTCTTTCTTCGTTATTTTCGCCAGTTCAGCAGTTTCCACATAAAAATTCTTACGAAAAGGGCGGTAGTACACCTTTCAAAAGAGAAATCATATAGAACTCAATGTTTTACGCGTCACTAACATAAAAATAAAAGATATTTATCTTTTATTTTTATGGTAGTAAAAGATATTTATCTTTTATTTTTTTTTATGGTATGATTATGAACGTTTAGGAAACTGATGTGAAATGAGAATCTACAAAATGACTAGTTTTAACACCCTTTTAAGTCACAAAAATACAATAAAGATCCTGAAATGTAGTTGCCTTAGAATGGTCAGTCTGTGGTAGTTGCCTTCCTTTCGCAATCAATGATGAAGCTGCTTTCTCAATATCGAAGTCGTCAATAACTGGCTAAAATAATAGTAAGTTGATTAAAGTAAATAATGGATGGAACATTATCTGATGCACTGATTACCATCCTCAAAAGCATATTGATGAGTTTAATCCAACGAAACAACTAAATTCTGCGACAAAGCTTAGTATCACAGCGAAAAAAGTGCTTGTAAAATAAAACGGTAAACAAAATGATGTACCTCTATCTCGTCTTCTGCTTCGATGATTTCACCTTTTTTTGGCTCTAAATTTACATCTGACTTGATCACAACTATGCGGGCTTTTCCTTCATTATTCTGGAACAAAAGTAGAGTGAAACAAGTTTTGACTTATATTTGATCTAACTACTGTAAAATGTTTTTCACCTGCTCCAGCCCGTATTTAGAAGCACGAACTTCCTTACTGACTTCAGACATGAATGCATCCAATGGATCAACTTCATCGTCATCCTCTGACTCTTTTCTGCAAACTCTTGCATGGATATTTACCAATTAGAGAGTGTTACGAAATAAACAGTTCCTTTTTAAAGAGTGCATGTTTTGGCATAAAAATTTATTGACGCACAACTCCTCTTGTATAGTAAACAGAAAAGATTTGCAAAAACTGTTGGAACTGCACGACAAAATAATCAATCAGAAAGATGCAAAGAGTTAAAAAGTATACACAGTAGCCAGTGTTTCAAAATCATAAGAAGCATTACTTTTCAATTTCCTGTGGTGTACTTTCTTCGTCTTCTTCTTCGTTATCCAGTGTCCATTTCTTCTCTTGTTGTTGCCGTTCCTCAATTTTCGAAATACTTTCATTACTTGTTGTTATCTCCCCTTTTTTCCGTTCCAAACGCCATTTTTCGATTCTTTCACGACGCTTTTGCATTTCGATTTCTAATTTCCTTTCAGCTTCATTCTGCAATTTACAAAAAGAAAACTCTCATATATAAAAAACACTTTTTTCTAGAAAGATAAATCAGAAAGATGGATGCTTTGAACCCTTTTACATTATTATTATTGCAAACCAAAAACCTTATCTGTCATGGCAACGATTTCACCCAAATCTAAATCTTTATCCCTTTTCTTGTCCTTTTTACCATCGCGATCAGATCGATCTCGAGAACGACTTCGGTCTCTTTTCCTAGGTGATCTGCTGCGTTCCTTTGTTCTCTTATCCCGTGGTGAGTGACTTCGATCACGACGAATTTTTTCGCGTTTTGGAGAACGATGTTTTTTTGAATCAATTTTATCCCGGCTACTGCGCGAGCTGTGTTTTTCATGTGAACCCATTTACTGCAAAGCAATGCTTTCGAAATGCACACCATCAAAAGAAAGTCTTTAGTAAAACAGCGCAATGAAATCATTTAGGAAACACTCACAGCCAACTGCGACAAATTTTCCAGTATATAATGACTTTTTTTTTAAATACTATAAAGCCCTTACCAAAGTCATTCTATTTGACTCGTTATTTACTTAGCTACTAATTCTGAAAAGTTACACTGCTACCAGAAATTATAAAAAGAAATCAAGAACAATGGTAAATTGAACAAAAATCAGAGCTTACAAAGAATGTAAGTGACATCCAATATCCTCGAATTTAATATATTTAGTCTCTATGTTTCAAAGCTCAAGCTTTGTTCTTAGACATCACCACATGTCCGCCAGCGAACTAATGCTCTATACTTACGTCTCATGAACTTCCTTCCCGTGCTAATTCAAACCCTATTATTTATTTAACAAACCTTGCACCAACGGGAAAATACCCAAAAGACCATCTAAACAACCACATATAAGTAATTGAAGGGCGGCTCGGGCCAGATGGAACAATTTGTTTGAGGTAATTTCGTGATGATTGGGGAATATAATTAGACTTGAGGGCTTGAAAGTTGACACGAGTCTCTTCCGTTTCTTTACAATGGCAATCAGGCAGCTGGGAGATTTATGCCGTGATTTGAATGGGATTGCTGGGGAACTGAACAATGCCGCACTTGTTGACAATCTTCGACTCATTCGACGACGTATCGAGAATGTATCGAAAAAAGCAGAGCAAAGTCCTTACTGGCGTGGACAAAAACCGTCGCTGGTGGCTGTTTCAAAGACGAAATCTTCCTCGCTCATTCAGTAGGTCCCATTTTCTTTGTTGAAAACACCTTCACTACTCTGAAAAGAATCGTGATGCAGACTCATCTTGATGTGCTCTTAGTGAATCTTATGACTTCAGGGTTACTTTTTGAAGAAACCCGCATCGTTAATCAACCCAACGATCTAGCAGTTGGATTAGAATCAGAGCTTTTTTTTAGGAATGAAATAGGGATTAGAGTTGGGATGTTTGCTTTCGAGTTGTCGAAAATTTAAGTTCTTAACTGTAGATAACGTTTAAAGGTGTTGCTACGATGCAGGACAAATGAAATTTGGTGAGAATTATATTCAAGAACTTGTGGATAAAGCAGAAGCGCTAAAATCAAAATGTCCGAACATACGATGGCACTTTATTGGTACAGTTCAGTCAAATAAGGTGCTGTTTTGAAATTCAGTTAAGAATGCTATGGAAAAAGAGCAGCCCAATAGCGAGCTCAGGATCACTGATGTGATGAGGGTGCACTGAAACTGAAAAGCATATGTGCAGATCAAATTTGAATTACTTTCATAAATACTTTTTAAGGTGTTTGATGTTGATCACTTTCCCTGATATACTTTAACTTGGTAGATTGCTAAGCTGGCCGAAATTGATACCTTGAGTTGTGTGGAGACGATCTGCAACAAGAAACATGCCTCTATGCTGGAAAAAGAGGTTGCAAAGCATAATCGGAAATTGAAAGTTCTGGTACAAGTTAATACGAGCAAAGAAAAGCAAAAGGGAGGAACAACGCCTGAAATGGTTATTTTACTGTCTCACCTTATTGCTTTGTAATAGTTAAAATTTTCCAGCTTGGGGATTTGGGACGTAATAATGAAAGATTATTTCTATATTATGTGAAATGCAAAGTAGTTAAGGAATTCAGAAATCGCGTAGGTGCATTTGAAAGCAGAGTAGTCCAGGTTTTTCGCAACTGGTTCCCTCGTGAAAGAGCTTGGTTTTTAGGCGATAGAATTAGCTGAGTTTATTCGGATACACTGTCCTTCGCTGAAGTTCGGTGGTTTTATGACAATTGGTTCTTTTGCTCACAGTGTATCGGAAACTCCCAACAGAGATTTTATACAACTTTTCGAAGTACGAAAAAGGTAAATTGTATCAGTTTGGCTATGATTTCAAATCTTTCAGTTTTATCATTTGCAGATTGTTACATGTATTATTCTAGGTTTTGCGAACTCACACAAGAAAATGAGAGAGATTTTGCACTTTCAATGGGAATGTCAGATGATTTTGAAGCGGCAATAATGTTGGGTAGTACGTCGGTGCGTGTTGGTAGTGCTATATTTGGTCATCGCTTACTTAAAACAGAGCAGTGTAAATGACCTTGTGGAGATGTCATTTCCGTGATCAGTTTGGCTCATTTAATTTGTACTACTAATTTTGAGTGTCCTGTAAATTTTTTCCTCTTACTTGCGTTCCATGAAAAAAAAAAGTTTTATTCTAAGTTTCGTTTCAATTTCATGGATAATATTTAAATATGTGATAATATATTTCTTCTCTGAGCATTTCCACACATCTTTCTTCCTTGTAGATTAAAAGGCTCATTTAATTAAGTTGCTGCATCTAACATTGGCATTTGTTGTATTAGTTGTAGGTCTTGTTAAAAATTTAATCATTTTTAAAAATGAAGCAATTTTGTTTTGTCTTTTCTTAATACTAGACATAAGTCTGAAGATGATAGACTGAACGGTATTCACTGTGGTGGTAAATGGCTCTTGTTACGTGTCGTGTTTTGAGAAATGAATATCCAAAACCGCTTCCGACGTAAGAACACATGTCACGGCACTGTACTACATCCACACCTTGAAAGGCTATAATGCAAAATGTTGGGCGGCCATTGATATTGCAAGCAAAACGTTGAACGATTTCTTAAAATACTTTTTAGCAATTTTAATTGGAAGATGAAAAATGGACATAAGCGAGGATCACTCATGCAGAAATATATCAAAATATTCGTTGTCGTCTTTCTATACTGGTAAATTAGTGGATTTGAAACGAATTCCTAAAATTGTGATTTTGATTTATTGGCAAGCTTTTTAGAATTGTAATTCGACTGAAAATATTGGGAATATTGTTTGTTTAGGTTTTTTTCAATAGGCCTCGTGTTTCTGAACAAGTATTTGCTAAGCAGTGATTCACTTAAGGTAAGTGCTTCTCATAGTTATGGGGGAAGTTTCTATTATATTCTGGGAACAAAATATCACTTTTTATGTTCGGTATAGGAGAAGAGTTGAGTATGTTCTGTTAATGTTACTGTATATTCAATCTCGAAATTTAAAATTCTGGATTGTCTTAAGAATTCCCTCAATTTGCAGCTCAATGCACCATTGCTTGTAACCTGGTATCAGTGCTTTGTGACAGTGTTGTTGTGTTGTGTTTTTTGTTGGGTTTCTAAACTATATCCATCATTGATTACATTTCCATCCATACGATTTGATCACCGGATTTCGAGAGAGGTATATCTATATATTTTAATTTCATATGTTTATGGTACTATTTTTTTTTCGAAATTTTGGACTGTCGTATCACTAGCAATATCTGGATAAGAATCTAGATGCACTTGAATTTGTACTGCCTTTAAATTACTCAAAAAATTGGTCCTTTCCTTTATAATTTTGCTGTACATTTTAATGTTGCATTTTCAGGTGTTACCGCTTTCATTTGTGTTTGTTGCTATGATAGCTACCAATAATCTTTGTTTAAAATATGTTGGTGTCTCATTTTATTATATTGGAAGGTCGCTTACTACTATTTTCAATGTGGTGAGGTTTGATATGAATGGTATTGCTCCCAAAGTACAGAAAAAAGTTAAAGTTTAGAACATTTAAGGTTAGAACAGCGGGAAGAGATGTTGAAAAATAACTACTCGAAGTTGAAATACCGCGAGTAAGTGTTGGATCAGTAATTCTTGGCACTAAAATTATAGAGACTAAGATAATTGTTAACTGTAGGGATGGCTTTTCGATAGTCTTTTAAATTGTAATTGATGCCAAATATCAAACCAATTCCACTTGCAATTCAGATATTTTCATATATCATTTTGGGACAGCTAACGTCACTAAAAACGATTCTGTGCTGCTCATTAATTATTGGTGGTTTTCTTCTTGGTGTGGATCAGGAAGATGCCGCGGGTACATTTACTTTCATTTGAGAAGTTTCATTGGTGATTTCCTCTTCAAGGTCCTTATGGATGATGGTTTTGGCTTCCGAAATGGTTACTTCGCATTAGATTTTTTTTGTGATTTTTTATAGGAACTTTATCCATCAGTGGTGTTATCTTTGGAATAGCAGCGTCCATGTTTGTTGCCCTGAATGCCATTTATACACAGCGGACTCTTCCATCGGTTGGCGACAGTATTGTGCAGCTCACCTTGTAAGCTAAATAAATGAAAGGTTAAATGGTAAAGCATCAAGTCAAGTTATTTCTCTTTGGGTGGCCTAATGGGGTTACAATTGATTTTACAGAATTTTGAAATCCTTGGACTCTTTATATTTTAGGTACAACAACATAAATGCACTAGTGTTATTCCTACCTATCATATTGTTCACTGGTGATATCAGTGAAGTGTTTTATTTCCATTATTTAACCTCCTTTCGATTCTGGACTTTGATGACGTTGTCTGGTATTTTTGGTTTCTTAATGAGCTATATTGCTGGATGGCAGATTCAGGTAGTCTTTTGTTGCCTTTTGCATTCATCAACAATAATTTATCGTTTTTGTCTGGCTCGAATTTCTTTTTTTTAATAATTCTATTGTTTAGGTAACATCGCCTTTAACACATAATATCAGTGGCACAGCGAAAGCGGCAGCGCAAACTGTTATTGCAGTTGTATGGTGGCACGAAATGAAACCATTGCTTTGGTGGGTAAGTAATGCAGTTGTTCTCAGCGGCTCGGCTATGTATGCAATGGTTAAACGAAAAGTTAGTTCCTTATTTCTGGCGAATTTCTGGATCAGAAACAATAAACTGAATTTCTAATTTAAAATGGATTAATTTTTTAAGCGAATGACCCAGCTGCAGGTTTGGAATTGAATTTATGAATTTGCATTTTGATTTTTTATCTGTAAATAGTGTCTATTTCATATGTTCCTTGCCTTCCAGGAAATGACTGATAAGCATGAGGCTAATAAATCTAAATTGAATAGAAGTATGGAGCAACAATTTGTACCGTCCCGTTTCAGTGACGATGATGAAACAGTGTAATCAGTATTACGTTATTTTATGTGATTCATCAGCAAAATCTGTTTCTGCATCGCCTTTTTATCATGTAACTGTATGCCACCTAAAGTAGCCGCTTTTTTGTGCTTGTTTCATTGATCCCTATATCATTGTTAATATTTAATTGATATCTCTTACAAAAAAAAGTATATTTAGCCAATTATGTCGTGATGTAACTTGTCTGGTAGTCCGTTTTCTAAATTCTTATCCACTGTATTACACATGCCTCACGCTTGCTGCGATGGATAAAAACTTGTTCGAAAACAATTATTTCTGTTGACAGTAGAATAAGTGATAGACGACGTTAAACACGAGATTTCAGGAGAATCAAGAGTTAGATTAAGGTGAGTGAAATAGCAAATTTTAGAGATACTGAACATTTACATTCTGATGGTCGACGGAGCTTAATTTTCATTACATCGTATCGAATTTGTTGTAGGACTTTATTGGGAACCAAGGTCTTTTTGCAAGAGGTTTTTTTTCAAAAAAAGTACTCATTTTCGTTGTGACATTTGATCGTTTCAAAGTTTTCAAATTGTAGAGAAGTGTTTTGTGGTTTGTCAATATACTCAACTTCTCCTGGTATTTATGTATCTTTTAATCAAACAGATTTCAGTAGTTAGAGTGTTTTAATCTTTGAAAAGCTACACAATAAGCTAGAAAGTGTAACAATAGTACTTGATAACTTTACCCCTTATCTGTTCAAATCCTCATAAGCTTTACGAAAGAGACAAGATCTAACGATTTGATAATTTAAGATTTTATCCAGGGAGTGAATTAAATAGGATGGTCTACGAAGGTACCTTTGTCCTCGTTATTCGGAATATCCATTTTGGGAGTTCACCGCTATAAACATATATGCATATCTTGGGATGTGTTAAATCATTTTGCCTAATTTTACAGTAGATTTTCTTTAGTGACCACTCCGAAACTACGCCAATGACAGTCCGAATTCACAAAAAAAAAATCACAAAACGGGATGTAGACCTAGAAACTCCAGAGAAGTTAACTGCGAATCTGCACTTCTACTACAGCAGATCCCCCTCATTTAATTCACAAAAGATTGCGAATTTGATTAAACCTAATTAATGCGTCAACTCTAAGTAGTAACTAAATTATCGCTATGAAATGTGCCAAACAGTAATAACATCTTGAATGCGATGGGTCAGTTCTTGGCAGAAAGAAATGCTATGGATTGAAAATGATGAATTGAATGTATTACTTCGAAGGTGTTAAAGCAGATGCAGGAATCCCAAAAACAATTTTTAATTAATTGCAGACTGCATTAGAGAATATTTCTATTTCCGACAGATTTATTTTTCAGAAATAAATTCATAAACTGAGTGTTCGTGTTACCATAGTAATTTTTCTTTAAACTAATTACGAAGTACATCCATGACTGGTATTTATATCTAATGCATTATGTAAGCTGATAGTCCAAGATCTTGTTTTAGGCATTCTTCTACGAATATTGCATGGTAACTCTAGCAAACGTTTTCTTTCCTAAAATGACAAAAAATAAATGAAAACATGCAAAACAATGATTGAAACTGAGTTAAAATTGGGAACGGCAGCCTGAGAAAAATTACATTCTGATAGGTTTCTAACAAAGCAATAAGCGTTCTTGCGGTTGCAACTGCCGTAGCGTTACAGGTATGAGCAAATTTTTCCACACCACTCGAATCACGATATTTAATGCCTAAAGCATAAGGTTAGAATGTCAGAAATGTTTTGAATTTAAATTATCAAACAAAATTAATGCCACAGAACAAAAACAATGACATTTATATTTTCAGAAAACATAAACGTTCGTAAAAATACAAACTTAGCCGTCTTGCTTGATAATCAGTGCAGTTTGAAGCACTTGACACTTCACCAAATATTTTTCTTCCTGGCATCCAAGCTTCGATATCGAATTTCCGAGCAGCTGAAGCACCTAATTCTTCCGAGGGCATATCCAACAGTCTGGAAAATTGATGAATTGATCAGTTTTATAACAATAGACAAACAATTAGTACATGATGTCAATCAACCAATGCAGACCTGAAGTGCAGTCCCAGGCTTGAAAAAATCGAAGTCTGTATTTCGACCATTTCACTTAGCAGCAGGTCACTGTCATTTTCATTGCAAATAACAAACATTTCGATCTGCAATTTTATAAAGGTGAATCTGTTTTGTAATGGTGAACCAGATGCAAGTAGAATAGACTTCAAATACTAAACACTAAATTATTCCATTAAATTTACCTACTGATCTG